TGCCCCAGCGCGCCCCATGCTCCCCGTGCACCCCTGCGTGCTCCAGCGCGCCAGCGTGCGGACAGTTCAGGCACCACATGACACATGACACAAAGAGCCACGTAGTGGCATACTGTAATTTACCGACAACCGATTAGTTTTTCTCGTACATTCAGGTCTCGTTCATTTCGCTGATTTGAGTTTAGAATTCGAGTTTTGCTACAGTAAAAAGCTTTCAGAAACAGTCATATTTAACTTTTTTATTACAGTAAAAAATTCTCACATAAAATTACATCTTAACTCAAATTACAAACTCGAATCAACGAAGTGAACGGACCCTGAGATGATGACCGTCTTCGAAAGCATCATAACACGTGGCGACATCTGCAGAAGTTCAGAAAAGCTGTTGGACAAACGGCTCCAAGCTTTCGTCCTCTCTACCTTCCCCAGTCCACATCAATCCAGCCGTTAGATTAGATTCCCAACCAACCCTAACCCTACCTCGAGTTAAACTTAACCGCAATTCTATCATGGTTAACCATTTTACCCAATTTACTCCTAACACTCCACTTAATTACGATATGCCCTTCCCCTCTCCATGCTATAAATCCCCCGTTGGAGACTCGTTAGGTTTGCCAAACCAATCCCCCAGGGGGGCCCTTTAGGGAAATCGAATAACTCCAAAGCGCCTCTTCTCTTCTTTTCCTCACTTTCTCTCTCCTCTTTCTTTGTTCTCTCTCTTCAATGGCGGCTTCATCTTCCTCAAGAAGAAGAACCAGATCGAGCGGACCAGTTCTGCGATCTCTCTCGCCCTGTGGGAGGTTTTACTCGCAGCCATCGAATTCTTCCATCTCGTCTTCGTCTTCGGGTTTTGCGTCCTCTACGAGTTCAAGCTTTTATTCCAAGGCTTCAACCTTCTTCGGCCATCAAGAAGACCACCACTATGAGAGCCACCGACCGGCGTCGCCGACTCGCGTCAATCTTTGCCCCTCCGCTCCCCGTTCGCAGTCCGTACGATTCTCCATCGATCACCGTTCGATCTCTCCCAATCGATCCATCACCGTGTCGAAACAAAGGCCGATCTCGATGACCAAAAGGACCTGTATGTGCTCTCCGACCACGCATCCTGGATCGTTCCGGTGTAGCCTTCACAAGAACGTGAGCAGCGGAGGGAGTCACAATGCGGCGTCGTATCCTTCAAACCGTCTGAACATGCGCAGATCGGCGATGACGAACTCGCTGGTTCGGATCGGCGGCGTGGAAGGCGAGTGGGTGAAGAGAGCGCTGACGGCTCTGATCCGGCCTTCTTCGCACCAGCAGAGGAGGAGATCGGCGTTCCAGCCGACGCGAAGCCGCCTCTCGGTGATGTCCAAGGCAGACGACCTCTGATTCGGTTACTTTATTTTCACAGGTTGGTCATTTTCAGGTCATATATCGTTTTCTGAACTCAGATTCCGGCAGAGATGTCAGAATCCGGCGTGTATTTACTGAGTTGAATTTGCAATGGAGTGTGCTGTGCCGTGGAGTTTTCACCGGAACGCGAGCGATGCCGTTCCTTCGTTGGAATCTGAGGCGGAGACTTCGTCGGCTCTGGCGATCTCGAGCTCCACCATTAACGGAGACCGAGTCGTTCAGGAGAGTTTTGTACTTGGAGATCTCAAAATCGTTGAATTTTTTTTTTGCGACAGGACTGAAGTACTGATAGAACAAAAACTCCCCTTTGTACATATGATTTGCTTATAAGCACATTTTCGGGTCATAAATCTTTCACTAGCAAAAGCAAAATACTAAGAATCAAAATCGACAACAATTCTGGGATTAATATAATATCAGGACTGAGGACTTAAAACTCTTAAATCAGAACTTGGTAAAGCTCAGAAATCAAATCAGATGCGTAAACTGTTCAATTCACCGGCGTTTGAGGCATTTGGTAGATCGTGTCGTTCGTTTACGTTGACGGATCCGTTGGCCGTTACCATTTATCGCTGTTCCTTTGCGTGTGCCGTTGATTCCGCCGTTCTTGTTTACGGGTTTGTATGTTCGAGGTATTCCTTTCCCTTAATTATTTATTTATAAGTATCATTTTCTTTGACGTATTCTTTCTTATTTTTGTTATATATTTCTTATGTATTCTTTGTTTATTTTGTTTTCCTTTGTATTTATATTATTTTCTAACTTTGTTTTAGTTTTTTTGGTTGCTCTGTAACAGGTGGTGGGCCGTGAGGCGGTTGTAAATTAAGTGGGACATTAGAAGCTTTCTTATGGAAAGAAATAAAAAAATTAAAATATCGGGACATTGGACTTTTTTTTCTTTCTAATTTTATAAAATATGAAAATTGAAAATGGACATAGGATCTCCCCTTCCCAGACCGCGAAACTTCTCTAATGTCGACGTGGTTCCGTGATACTGACAGTGAATTCGGACCTTAAACAAAATGAGGCGGAAAAAAAAAATAAAAACGGTAGAAAATAGATACATGAAAAGTTTAAAGAATCATATAGGTCAATTTTTAATTATAAAAATTAATAGGTCATAATTTATTAAGTTATGATTCATAATCGGATAAATTAGGGATAAATTTAAGTTATGATTCATAACAGATAAATTAGGAATAAATTTATTAAGTTATGATTTATAGTCAAATAAATTATGAATAAAAATTGTGATAAGATAAGTTATGGATAAAAATAATAATTTAATCTATTTATTAAATTTAATTGATTTATTAATTTATGTAAATTATTAACTAATTAATTTTAATTTATCTTAAATCTTAACATATTTATTACTTTCTCTAAAAAAAAAAAAACTCAAGAAAAACTAATGGAAGCATGGAATATATTTTCCTAAATCGCGAACCAGTGGAAAATCAATACCAATAAAGGAAAGATAATTCTTTTTTTGAATTCATAAAGGAAGGAGAATTCAAAAGTGACAGCCTGGCAAAATGAAAATAAAATATGGCAGGGTATATAACTGATGCCCATCTTGAAAGAAAGGCATTTCCATGGGGCACGATTTCTTTATACTTTTCTTTAAGAAAAGATAGAAAAGAAAAAGGGAGAAGAAAGCAATGTTTGACTCAGTTTGAGCTTCGGAGTTGTTGGGCGGTGGCAATGGGGCACAACACGCTATATATTTTGTGGTTTTGTTTATTTTATTAATTTAAATTTTATTATAATAAAAAAATTTTAAAAACAGTTATATTAAATTTTTTTTTACGATAAAATTTTTTTATATAAAATTATATCTCAATTTAAATTAAAAATACATATGAGTAAACCGACCCTGTATTTCTTGTACCAAACGCAATGTATATCTCGCATGGTCCTTAGATGCACGAAAAGCCAAGAGCCAAATAATTTAGAGCCATGTACTATATAACGTAACGCATAAAGTGGACTGCTATCCAAAAAAAAAAAAAATTGTAAAGTGGACACAATTGCTAGCCTTTGCCCATCCAGGCGGCACTGATATGGGCCATTGATTTATTGGATTTTGGGAGGGATGACAAATTGGAGAATTTGGGAGTTTGAGGAGACGTTTATTTTTTATTTTCGTTTTTAATTTTAAATCATGATTTATGATTTTTTACAGTATTTTTTTCTTATAAAAAATACACATAAAATAAAAATAATTTTAAATTATAATTTTGAATACACAGATTAAACGTCCTCTCAGATTTCCTCGTATGTGAAAGAAGAAGAAAACAGAAGGAGAAAAAAAAGAAAAAAACTTGACATGGCCATGGGCACAACATGCGCGCTCAACTGGACCCATTCATTCAGTCAATTGCGAATTTGTGACAGCTCAAAGTCATGGCTCCCGCATCAAACTGTAGACTAGAAGTACATGACCACTTTATTAAAATTGGGAGCTTAGGCTTTAAAGGGGCCCTGCCATCCAAGATGCAAAGTGAGTTTCGTTTCATAGCGATTAGGGACTGAGCTTTTGGACAGCTTCCACGAGAGCGAGTAGGTCCGCGTATAGTTTTTGAGTAGGTCTGCTCGTAGGCTTGCTATCCGATGCTAGATTAGTTTTTTTCCCGAGCCTTCCTTTTTAATAGGTGATTTATGAGATTAATATATCAGTAGTTTTGATTTTTTTTCTGTTAAATATGTATAAAATTATGTAAAAATTAAAAGATATATAAATTTAACTGTTGAATTTAGAATTTTTTATTATTAAATATGTATAAAATTAAGTAAAAATTAAAAAATATATAAATTTAACGGTTAAAAAATCTAATTTATCGATACACCTGCTAGAGAATCTCTCTTGAAAATATAAACTACAATAATTCTCTATTTTTAATCGTTAGATATAATATCTCATTAGATTAAAAAAATTAACCGCTTCATAATTCAAACAAAAAATTAGAAGAATTTTGTAGTAATACACGTGTATTTATAAAGAAAAATTGTGTGATAGGATATGAAAAATTATCATACTAGTGAGAAAGAATATAACTATTAGATTTTAAAAAAAAAAATGGTTAATAATTATTCTTTTCTTTTATAATTTGACTGAATTATTCTAAAGAAATCAGGAAATGTATGTCTCTTAATTCACATTTTTTTTTTGTTTTTTCCCCTTATTTTAGAATTCTTTGCAATTGCTTCTTAAATTGATATTAAGGGAAAAAATGAGTACACAAGTCTTGTAATATTTACCAAAAGGTATAATCTTCATTGCTTTATTGACTTGGGGCATTCCCCTGGATTTTCAATAAAAAAAAAGGAATGAACTTCATTCTTAGGCTCTTTACACATATAGCCAAATTTAAATCGTAAATAGTAGAGTTTAAATATAACAAAATTTAGAACAAATTTTGATATCATTAAAATAAAATCTGATTTTTATTATGATAATTACTATATTATTTTCACTATTTTTGTAATATTCTAAAAATTTTGTTAAATTTTATCTCAATGGATAAAATTGTGCAATTGTATTCGGGGACCTTGTTGTCATGTTTTGGGTGGAGAAAATTACATAATTTATTTTCTGAATTTTTACCCATCATTTTTAATTAATACACTTTTATTAGTATAGTTATTTGACTAAAAAAATTATTGATTAAGAATAAATTATATAAAAATCTTGACCCATACATTTTTAAAAAGTATTTGTCTTATTTTCCTTTATAGGGTAAAGAAAATTACAGAATTTATCTTTAAGAGTATATAAATCTAAATTTTTACCTTTAATTCTTAATAAATATATTTTTATTAATATAATTATTTAACTAAAAAAATTATAAATAAAAAATAAAAGATAAAAATTTTAATTCATATACTTTTAAAAAGTATTTGTGAAGATTATGCTCGTGGGTATCGTTTAGGGGTATAAATCGGCCGGGTAGGGTAGGGTTGAGCTGAAAAATTGAGCATACCTGACCAGTGCGGGTTGAAAAAATTTTAGGTCGCGACACTCTCTTAAGTCTACAAACCCACAACTTTTCGGGTGATCTCGGGTAGGGTCGAGTTACTCGGGTTGGTGATCTCAAGGACCACATGATCACTTTTTAGTCAATTAATCTGTGCTTGTTACAGAAGAAATCATTATCAAACAAAACATGTCTTTCCTTCAAGAAGGGGTCTAAATGCAAGGTGAACAATAAAAACACTCACTTTGAAATCAAACACTTCCAATATAAATAAAGAATGTCCTAATTCAACAACTATGACATACAAGCATTTTTTACACAAACCGTGAATCCAAAACATAAATAAGTTAACAGTTTAAATGCATAAAGTCCATAAACTTATGAAAGTAAGAATTTGAAGTGTTGGACATTGTTTTACCTACTTTGAACATGTTCGGCCGGGTAGGGTTACCTCGGGTTCATGTAACCCCACTCCGCGCCCCATCTGCGCAGTGCGGATTAGGCATAATTAAAACTGAAAATTAAATAGAAAATTAGAAACCTGTGATTTTTGAGTAGGGTCGGCTCGGCTCGGCTTAGTTCGTCGGGTTCAGAGTGATTTCTTACGGTCCTAGTATCGTTGTGGCCCAAGTACTTTTGATGTGAACCTGTCCGAGGGCTACTTTAAAATAGAGCCTTAAATCATCCGAATAGCCTATAGGACAAGTCTACCATGTGCTTATATTTATTTGTACGCTACTTTAAACTGTGTGTATATGTGCAAGATTCTATAAAAAATATTATTTAAATAGGAATATGTATGAGAAAAATTATTTAAATAGAAAATTAGAGAAAAATATATTTAACTATGAGGGTCAATTTGGAAAAAAAAAATGTTTAATAGGGTCAAAAGATAAAAATAAAAGCAATTTTTTTTAAAAAAAAAATAACATTTTCGGCAAAATGTGGAAGCGGAATCCGTTTCTACGGATTTTATATATTAATAGACATAAATAGATTTTTCAATTAAAAAACTGAATTTTTTCAAGTTTGTAAAAAAAAAAATGCAAAAACATGATTCTTGCTATTTTCTAAGATTTTATTTTTTAAATAGAAAACAGACTAATACATTGCTGAACAAGAGTGAAAGTTTTCATTAGGACAAATTTGAGAATCTTCTCATTAACTCACCTCATTAATTTTCTATTATATTAATTTAAATTTATAATTCAAATTTTTTATTTCTCTAAACAAATTTAAATTTTATTTTTTATTATAATATTTTCTCTCACATATATTCACTTTTTAATTTAATTGAGAAAAGAACCAAAGAACCGGAATAATTGATATATATCACTTTTCCAAAGGGCATTCCCGTTTGTACCGCAAAAACAAATTGAGTAAATTTAGACTTTGGGCTGCATATGGGCTTTACTTGTTGGGCTAGAAAAGCATACAAGGCCTTGGTTTCTTGTAGCGAGATGCGGCTTTGCGCCGACCGCGTGAGATAACCAATCCAGTAAATCCATAATGACGGGGCGCTTTCTAAAACGACGTCGTCCGTTCACCAAACGGAAACTTTCGCCACTTCATTCCCCAATTTCCACGGTAAACTCTTCAATCCAATAATCGTTTATTAATGTCGTTCGAACTCTCTCTGTTATTTTCGGCAACACCAAAATCTCGCGATGTCCCGGTTACCTTCCTTTAGAAGATCCACGCCGTCCATCCGCCGAATCGCCTCGATCCAAGGGCTCCAGTTCCGTCAATTCCACGCCCCGTCGTCGCCATCTCCGATCAGCCACTCGAGCTTTGAATCTACCAAGCGCGGAAACCCTGCTCTCGGATCTTTCCTCAAATGGATTTCTGGAATTGGAGTGGGTTCAGGCCTAGGGATTCTGTTCTGGTCTTCTTCTTCTTCTTCGTCAACCGATTCTGAGTCGGCTTTCTTCAATAGGCCAATCCTGTCGTTCGCCGACGGATCGCCGGCGAGCTCCGAAGCTGCGGTGCAGGATCGGCGATCGCGTTCATTGTTTAACAAGCTGTCTCTGCCTGAGAATAGCCCTAAGTTTCTTCTCTTTGGAGGCAGGTCTTCGTTTTTTTAAGTTTTCATCTTGCAAAGTAAATCGGATATGGAAAGTGAATTACTGGTTTTTCTTGTTGTGAATGCAGATGCTTATAGGAGGAAGGTTTTCTTCAACTATGAGAAGCGGATAAGGTTGCGAAGTCCTCCTGAGAAGGTATTTTCTTCTTAATGATACGAGCATTCCGATATTAGCCTCGTTACACCATCTCCACCGCTATAATTGATGTGTCAATTAATAATTTAGGTAAAAAATACTCTCCAATACAATGCTATTTAGTGTGATAAATTTTTTATATGTTATGTTTTTTGGCAAATTTCCCACCAAATACATGAAAAATTTGACATTTAATTGCTATTGATTGAAATATTTATTTTTTCATGTAATTATTACAATTTTTGTATTTTTAATTATTTTAAAAATACAATTTTACTTTTACAACTTTCAAAACTTAATGATTATGGAAAAAATAAATTTAGCATTTCAAATAGCATTATGCATTGAAGTAAAAATGAAAAAAACATACCATATCACATCGATGCTAAATATACAATTCGTTAGCATTTGCATTGGAGATCGTCTTAGTTATAGCTTTGGTTAATCAACAATATACTCGCCTTAAAGTGTTGATAATATGATTGTGTTTCATAGATGCCTTTTTTAGTGGAGTTCGTTGTTTCCTAGGAATTCAATAGTTTTTGTGCCTTTACATGTGATGCTGAAAAATTTGCCACTTTCTGTCTTTTATCATCTATACGTTTTGTAATTCATTCCAATGTATGTAATTTAGCTTGTTATGTACTATCTTCTTCTTGTCGTTTTTCTGACAATGGTATGAGCTCTTCATATGTATAGTTTGCATCTGAGAATACGAAAACCTGTAAATGCAGTTAAGTTGATGAAGAATTTTGAGGTTTGATAATGTTTTATACATGCTTAAATGCTAATCTCCTTTATCATCTTTTACCAAAGGTTTTTGAGTACTTTGCATCAGTTCGTACGGTAGAAGGAGAACTACTAATGAAACCAGCCGATCTTATGCGGGCGGTCTTTCCTGTTTTCCCTCCATCTGAATCCCATCTTGTCAGAGATGGGTATCTGATAGGGGAAAGGAGTCCTGGTGACTTACATTGTGAGCCTTCAGAATTATTTATGTTATTTGATGTAGATAATGATGGACACATATCTTTTAAAGAGTGAGTTTTGTTATCATTATCATATTTTGTGATATTAAATGGCGGGTGGTAATATAAGTTCTAATGTGTAATTTGTCTCACAGGTATATTTTTTTTGTAACACTACTCAGCATTCCAGAATCAAGCTTTTCTGTGGCTTTCAAAATGTTTGACATTGACAATAACGGGTTGGTTCTCATTAACTTTGAAAAGGGACTTTATATAAAATAAAAATATCCAGTATAAGTGTTATAGTTGAAGTATGTTCATTCAATGCAAATGCGAGTTAAATAGTCACTTGCCCACCATGGCTGCATCAAAAGTCAATTCTTATGGCAAAGTTTAGTAGCTTCAGAGCTTGCAAAATGATCATCTTCTTGTTTCATTGACACCATATAATGCCACTTCTTTTCTGTCTCCAAAATGAGAAAAATCCTAACTTAACTGTAAACCAGTAGGTTAAGGTAGACTAAAATGGTGGTAGGCATTGCTGAACTAGTAGTTGATACTTATAGATCGTAGGATTTAGTGTATTCTAACATATTTTCATTAATGTTAAAGACCTTCACTTTTCTACGGGTGATGACTTGATCATATATATCCATTTACAGAGAAATAGATAAAGAAGAATTCAAAAAAGTGATGGCTTTGATGCGAGCACAGCACAGGCAGGGAGCTCACCACAGAGATGGGCTTCGGATTGGGCTAAAAGTCAACGGTTCAGTTGACAATGGAGGCCTTGTAGAGTACTTTTTTGGTGAAGATGGAAGGGAATGCCTGAAACTTGATAAGTTCGTCAAATTTATGAGAGATTTGCATGATGAAGTATGCTGCCCCCTCCTCCCTTTCCCTAAACTTTAAATGTTTGAAATCTTTTTCAGTTTCATTGTTCATTTCATCTTTATAGAGTGTTTCTTACACACACACGCACACTATGATTATACATCTGCCACAAAGTATCAAAAAATGTATTGGTTCTTCCAAGCATATTTCTTATATGATATTTGAATAGCTGGTGTTAAAGATTTAGGCATTGTTGGATCTGCGTAAGTGGTAATTTTGGCTGCTGTAGGATCGAGATGAGAGTAAAAGCTTGTATTGTATAGATGATGCAGCATTTATGATAACCTGTAAAGAAAACTGAATTTGTAAGTGGTTCTAGCAAATTCCGGACTGAAAAGAAAGCCATTAGAGTCTGGTCAAGCTGAGAGAAGCCACTAAAATCAGGTCAGATGGTGTTGAAAAATTAAAGCATCCTTATATATGGGAATTGCCAGTAATTAATTTTGATCAATTCCTTTCATCTGCCTTCATGAAGACTTGAAGGCATGTTTGGGTTCTTAATGGACATGTCCATTTAAACTTTATCAATCCTGTGTTGTTTTAATTTGTGAGTTATGAATGATGTGGGATGTGCCATCTTTTCCCCCTCTCCCCCTTTGCTCTTTACTCTAGCAAATTATCTCATATCATCTCGTATTTGAGCGCATAATTGTATCTTGTAGATACTGAGATTGGAGTTTGCCCATTATGACTACAAATTGCGGGGAACTATATTGGCTAAGGACTTTGCATTATCCATGGTTGCTTCTGCCGACATGAGTCATTTAAGCAAGTTGCTTGATCGGGTTGAGAAAATGAACAGTGAGCCACATCTTAAAGACTTGCGCATTACATTGGAGGAGTTCAAAAGCTTTGCAGAGCTTCGCAAAAAGTTGCAACCATTTTCTTTAGCTTTATTCAGTTATGGAGAAGTAAATGGTTTGTTGACACGAGAAGACTTGCAACGAGCTGCTTCCCATGTAGGACTCCTAACCTTTTTTCGCTTCTTCATGTTGAGTGTCGACTCATTGATGGACTCTCACGTTCTCAAAGAGTTCTTTCATTTTCTTTAGAACTTTATTCGAATTTTTGGGGGTTTTATAGTCCTTAATCAATACCGAAATCTTAAATCCTACCTCAAATTAATTTCTGTTCTTTATTGCAAATGTATTCTACACTCATTTTCTGATTGTCTGGGAAATTACTGATTGATTATCACATACAAGATTTTGCTAACCTTGATCTCCTCATCTTATCTGTAAATGTGCTATCAGGTTTGTGGCATTGATCTCAGTAGGAATGTGGTCGAAATCATTTTCCACCTGTTCGATGCAAACCGCGACGGAAGTCTAAGCTTGGATGAATTTGTCAGAGTTTTACACAGAAGGGAAAGGGACATAGCTCAGCCCGTGGAGTCGGGACTCATGGGATTTTTATTTTGTTGCGGGAACTGCAGTCATAATAATTCCTCTTCTGCATCTTTGCGTCCTTAATTAGATGTGCCGTGGTGCGTTATTTGACACTCTACTAGAATGCATATGATAGATGAGAAATATTCTGAAATTGGTGTAAAGCTGAAAATGCTCTGTATAGGTAGTATTAGATCTAACTACGAATAATGAACCCGTTTAGTTTATTGATTTGAGTTGAGATGTGATTTTATATGAGAGTTTTTTACTGTAATAAAAACTATTTCTGATAACTTTTTACTATAGTAAAATTTGAATTGGTAAAGTGAATGGTCAATAAAATTTCATCATCCAAGTCAATTTATCAAAGTTTATTTGCCTGCTGACGAGGGATTAGTATCTCTAGACTTTAATTGCAATTATTGTCGTATAATGCCAACGCCATTGTTGAACAATAATCGCCGGAACAAATATATATATATATATATATTTTCTCCCGAGAGTCTTTGGTATTAATAACAAACAATGTTAACTAGACAGTCTAGACTTTTAGCCTGACCACCTTAGACAAGGGTTATTTTAGTTTGTTTAGTTATTCGAATTGAAACGTGATTTTATGTAAAAAAAATTTTATTGTAATAAAAAAATTAAATGTGATTGTTTATGAGAATTTTTTTTATTATAATACAATTTAAATTATAAACTCAAATCGGTGAAATGAATGAGACTTTTATAATCAGTGTCACTATTACAATTCAAAACTTCTGTTTTTAAGAAAGCTATCCGGGAAAGAAGGATAGCCCTGCGTCCCTGCCTACTCCCCCACCAGGAAAAAAGGCTTTTTATTGAGGGTTTGTCTCGAGTGATTCATGAAAAAATCGATCCTGCATGGTGTAAAATTGTATTTATTTTGCACAATAATAATTTAAAAATTAGTAAATGGTTCTTCACTTAACCCCTATCAACATGAATGATTGTTTAAACTGTTAGGTTAAGTTTTTAACATGTTAAAAATTAATAGCACATAATATAAAATTATTTCTTACCATTGTTTAAACCGTTAAAAAGTTAAATCTAATGTCTAAATTAGATAGGAAAAAAATACACATTCTTATCCTAAAAATTTCCTTTAGATAATTGATAGATTAGACATCAAATTAAATAAAATTCTCCATTATTAAAAACGAAATAGAAAAGAGAAAAGCCACGTGGGGGAATTCATCCCGGGGATTAGTGATATTTATACCAACATACCATTGGGTTACTCGAGTATTCTTCTGGTTAAGGTGAATTGGGTCCCACGAGGATTTTGTACCTGACTTACGCAATGTGGACTGTCATATGTGTGCCAATCTGGCTGAAGGATTGTATTGCCGAGTCCCAACCAAGCAAAATCTTTCAGACGCGTGGCATACACGTAACAATCTTACCGCCAGTCCAATTTTCTTAGAAGGAAGAAATACGCAAAAGTGAACATAATTTTTTTGTAAAGAAAATAAATTTTTATATCCTGTATTTTCTTAGAACTATTTAGAGACATAATCTTAATTTTTTTTTATAGTTAAAGATGCGTACCATTAAATTTCATTTAACAAGTAAATTTATGCATTTTATCAGTCACACTTACGACTAAAAAAAGTAAACAAAATAGCCTTAAAAAGGAAAAAAAATAAAAATCTATTTTAGAAAAAAGAAAACTAAAAAATCTCCTACATGTTTGTTTTTTCTTTAAAAAAAAACATATAGATTTTTTTTTTTTGTTATTGGTATTTCTGGTTATTTTCACAATTATTAAAGTTAACAGTTGTCAAGAGAAGGTGTACATTTATCCGTTAAATGCAATCTAATGAATGTGTACTCTCTAAATAATCTTAAAATACAATGATAAAAAGGAAAACAGAATGCACAAAAACAATTATAAAAGGAGAATTAAAATGGCTTCTTCTATATTTCTCTTAAATTATATACACTGTATAGGATAAAACAATTTTGCATTAATTCCTACGCTCTTATTGTGTTAAGTTTTGATATAAAATGACCAAAATATTCAGTCAATCTTATGGCATGTTTGGTTCATATATTTAAATCATGATTCTTGATTTTAGAGTTTAAAATTCAAATTTTTTATAAAAGAAATATTGTGTCAGAATTAAAAATAATGATTTCAACGTAAAAAAACAAACGAGCTCTTAGTTATCAATTTACTTGTTGTGTTGATCATTGAAGTATAGTTATAGTTGGGGGTTCGCAAAAACCGTCTCATTTTTTGGATTAAACAAGGGTAAAAATGAAATTTTAAAGTCTGTATTTTGAGAGAATAACAGATAAGTAACACTAAGATCTCGTTCATTTCATAAATTTGAGTTTTATTACAGTAAAAAACTCTTCAAAATAATCATATTTAATTTTTTTATTACAGTAAATTTTTTTTATATAAAGTCATATCTCAATTCAAATTAAAAACTCAAATTAACAAAGACGTGTTCTAATATTTCGTATTTTCTCACGCGGCCATTATTCATGTTCATGTTCATGTTCTTGTTTCAACGTTCTACGCATAAATTTGAAAAAAAAAAAAAACGAAATTCAAATTCCAATAATATGGTGGCAGCAATGATATACACGCGCTCATAGAAGGTGGCGACAGCCATCCCAGCCAGGAAGGTTGACCTTCCGATTGGGAATCCCTAAAAGAGAAAATCCAAGAAAAAAAAAAAAGAAAAAGCGCATCTTTTCCACACAAACATTTCTTGCCAAAGAAAGGCCATTTTCATGTTGTCCTGTCGGAATCTCTTTCCCACCTCATCCGCAGCTCATCATTGTAAAACAAAATATTCATTCCAATTCCGACTCTTAACGAACCCAGAATTTTTTTGTTTTGTTTTTGATTTCTCTCTGAATCAGAAACTAAACAGAAAATAATCAGAGAAGAAGAAGAAGAAAAAAAAGAGTGGGTTTTTCTTTCCTTGTCCTTTTCGTTTCTATTCTCTCTCTTTTTTTTTTTTTTTTGTTCTTCCCTACCTTTTGTTGTTATTAATTATTGTTGTTTTGTTTGGGATTGACCTTTCGTTTTGTTTTTCTTTATTTGGTCCATCTCTTTTCAGTTTAGTTAGGCTTAAAATTTTGTCAAAGGTTGAATCTTTTTGTTGAAATTTATTACTTTTTAAATTGGGTTTGTTTGTTTGTTTGTTTGTTCTTCTTTGCTCTGATTAGATTATATGTAAGAATTGATAAAATTAGGGTTTTTGATTAAGGCAACGAATCAGAGCTAACAGAACTTTGATTTGGGAAGTCTTTTTTTTTTTTTTTTTAATACTTTGAAAACGAAATTATGGGAAAGCCAACTGGGAAGAAGAAGGATCAGCAGGTCCCACAGAAACCTGGAAATAATGCGAACAATAAACCTGGAAAATCCTCTGATCGAAGCTCGAAAGCTTTCGATGAAGACACGGCGATCTTCATAAACATGTCTCAGGAGCTCAAAGAAGAAGGCAACAAGCTCTTCCAAAAGCGTGACCATGAAGGAGCTATGTTGAAGTACGAGAAGGCCCTCAATCTTCTTCCCAAAAGCCACATTGACGTTGCTCATTTGCACACGAACATGGCCTCTTGCTATATGCAAATGGGCCTCGGCGAGTACCCTCGGGCAATCAATGAATGTGGTTTGGCCTTGGAGGTTTCTCCGAGATATAGTAAGGCTTTGTTGAAGAGAGCAAAGTGTTATGAGGCGCTGAATCGGCTGGATTTGGCGCTGAGAGATGTGAACACTGTTTTGAGCATCGAACCGAATAATCTTATCGCGTTGGAGATTTTGGAGGGGTTGAGGAAAACGATGAGCGAAAAGGGTATTGTTATCGATGAAAAGGAAATTGGCGTGGCGGCCAATGTGGTGCAGCCGAGTTCTTCGCGGCTGCGTAAAGTGGTGAACGAGAAAATGAAGAAGAAGAAGGGCAAGAAAGTTGTGGACAAGGCCGCAGTGGTTAAGGTGGTTGTGGAGGACAAAGGCGGCGCTGTTAAAGACAAAGAAGTCATCGCAAGGACTGTTGTTGAGGGAGCTGAAGTGGCCAAGAAGAAGCCTGTCAAGGAAGAAAAACCGGCTATCAAGACGGTTAAGTTGGTGTTTGGAGAGGACATAAGGTGGGCGCAGTTACCGGCGAATTCTAGCTTGAGGTTGGTGAGGGAGATTGTTAAGGATCGGTTTCCTGGCTTGAAAGGTATTCTTGTGAAGTATAAGGATCAAGAGGGTGATTTGATTACAATAACCACTGCAGATGAGCTGAGGTTGGCTCTATCTTCAGGTGATCTGCGGGGGTCACTGAAATTATACATAACTGAGGCGAGTCCTGATCAAGAGCCAGGTTATGAGGGAATGAGTGATGAGGAGGAAGATAAATATAACACAAAATCAAGTGGTGCTATCGAGAATGGAGAAACGGAAAAAGGGGTTACTTGTGTTGAGGACTGGATTCTACAGTTTGCGCGGTTGTTCAAGAACCATGTTGGTTTCGATTCTGATCCGTACTTGGACCTTCATGAACTTGGAATGAAACTACACTCAGAGGCCATGGAGGACACTGTAACAAGTGATGATGCTCAGGAACTTTTTGACATTGCCGAAGATAAGTTCCAAGAGATGTCAGCTTTGGCATTGTTTAATTTGGGAAACATCCACATGTCCAAGGCAAGGAAGCGAGTGAGTTTCCCAGAAGACGCTTCGAGGGATTATATTGCTGAGCAACTTAAGGCTGCCTATGATTGGGCGCGGAAGGAGTACATGAAGGCGGAGAAGTGGTATGAAGAATCTCTGAAAATTAAACCAGATTTCTATGAAGGTTATCTTTCGCTCGGGCAGCAGCAGTTTGAGCAAGCAAAACTCTGCTGGTATTACGCAATTGGGAGCAAGGTTGAATTAGAAACCGGACCTTCCTCTGAGGTTCTTCAGCTTTATAACAAGGCTGAGGACAGCATGGAGAAGGGTATGCTGATGTGGGAGGAGATGGAGGAGCAACGTCTAAACGGACTCTCCAAATTCGATAAATATAAAGCGCATTTAGAGAAAATGGGGTTGGATGGTCTGTTTAAAGATTTGTCTGCTGATGAAGCTGCAGAACAGGCTGCAAATATGAAGTGTCAGATATACCTTCTATGGGGTACCTTGCTGTACGAACGTTCTGTTGTGGAATATAAGCTTGGCCTGCCTACTTGGGAAGAATGTTTAGAGGTTTCCGTTGAGAAGTTTGAACTTGCAGGAGCTTCTCCAACAGACATAGCTGTTATGATAAAGAATCACTGTTCCAATGAAACTGCACTAGAAGGTAAAAATCTAATGCTAAAGATTTTGCTTGTTCGAATCAGCTTATATTCTTTTCAACCTCATAGCTTTCAAAAATATTAGCACTGGGAGTATTTAGTTATTCAGCTTTTATTGGAATGCAGGTCTAGGTTTCAAGATTGATGAGATAGTGCAGGCATGGAATGAAATGTATGATGCTCAGAGGTGGCAATTTGGTGTTCCATCCTTTAGGCTTGAACCATTGTTTCGTCGGCGGGTTCCTAAACTTCATTCTATCTTAGAGCATGCTTGAGTTTTCGTAAATTGGCTATTATTTAGAAGCAAATTAGTCAGTTTTTCTTAGCCCAACTTTGGAAGCTACCTAGTTGCATGCTAAGATAGGTAATTCATCTATCCATTTTCCTTTTTACTTTACATTTTTCTTTTTCCTTGCTTGTTTGAAGCCTATTGCTTTTCCTTAACTTGCTTTATACAATAATCTTCAATTGGTTTACATGCTATTAACCGTCTCCATATTATGAGAGTTTTTTGAAAACTCATTTCTTGACCAATTTAATTGGTTTCAAGAAAAATCTACTGCTAGGGGCATTCTTGTATATGCATGTTATGCATATGTTTATTACTTTATATTTGTATGTAAATGACACGCGCAAGATTCTCGCAAACACTAGGGAGTTTTTAGAGACTTAGAAATATTTCTAGCTAAGAAAGCACCATTGCATCACACCAGCAGTTACGAAAATATTTTCTTTTGGAATAATTAAGACATCCACAAACATGTAAACGTGAATCCCCTGGCTTTATGGAAGCACTAGATAAATAATACATGCTATTAGGTGGCAACACTACGCGCACCTAATGCTCTCGATGCCTGCAGTGTCGAGGAGTAGTATAATTTTGAGTTTGAAAATGACATAGGAGCTTCAACGGAAGTACCCACGTACAACAGTTATTCTAGAAAACATTTTTGAAATTCTATCAATGCTGTATTTAGTTGCTCATGCTTTTTCTTATATGGATCTCCTGCAATCAATCTAAGATTTTCTTGGCTTGTTCACAATGAAATGGCAACCACCGGCAAGATTGCTTTTGCAGAGTGGTCTGCGATGGATTTTTCTTTTGCTTTAGTATGAGTTCTTTAAAACCTGTTTAGTCATCTGTGTTTGTTGGCAAAATTTTAAAAGAACACTTTATTTCATCTAATCTTTTGCCATCTTTAGCATCTCACTTGTACTATGAACAATTTTTGTGGCAATTTTTATTTTTACTTGTTAAATGTCAAATGTGTCACAATTCTACTGAATGAATAATAATCTCTATGGTTCATTCTCTTATTGCAGGTCTTTTTTTGTTTTCCTACATGGACTGTTTGTGTTTTGCTTCTTGTTTGCTGGGGGAGCAAGACAAAGTTTGGTTGGTGTTGCTTTTGAATGTGAGAGTTGGGGTGATTGAGATTATTTCTTATTTTTTGGATTTTTTTTTTTTTTTTTTTTTTTCACGGAGAAATTATTCACACAGTTTGAGATAGTGAGTATATGATTGAATTTGCCCATTTTGAAATGAATAAGTAAAAGGGTAATTCCGTTCTGTTGAGAGGTTTGTTGATTGTTGTAGATTGTCATTTGTCAGTTATAAATAACAAATGACAATGTTTGGGTTTTTTTATTTATTATTTTTTATATGTCAAGGAACGACATTCTTTTATGTGTACATGTGTTCTTTTCCAATCTGTGAAAGGATCAAAGCCATTTTTGTCATGATACGGTTTTATTATTTGGACGGTGAATAATAAAATAAGAAAGGAGATTCAATTCTCCCATTGACCATTTTAGGGACCATTTTAGAAGAGAATTTCTCTCTTGACTATTATTGTGTTATGTTATAAAAAGAGCACGAATTATTATGGAATATATACAATTAGTTCTTTTCGTCAAAGTGTTAAATGCTCTCAATGTCTTTATCTTTAACTTTATTGATATTTCTGTGGAGCTGTTCTCTATGAGGATACTTCATGTTTTTGAACTAAAGATGTAATTAACCGATAATTCATGTTTTTGAACTTAAATCTAATCAAAATCACAAAATAAAGATGGACGATTACGGTTTAAAAAGAAGCCTTTACACCAAAAAGAAGAAAGAGAGAATGTATGACCTTTGGCTCCATCTTCCACTGAGCTAAAAGGTTCATATGTCATTCCAAAATTCAAGTCTTTATCTACCTATAATCCCCTATTATTTATACTAATCCAGTAAATCGTTAAGATTACTTTTCACTTATTTATTTTATAGATTTAAATTATTATTTAAATTTTTTTATTATAAGACCCGTTTGTTTTATGTGTTTAAACTCATAATTTTTAATTCTGTTACAGTATTTTCTTATCACACAAAATTTAAAATTCAAATATTAAAATAAAAAATCACTGAACTTGAGCCCATAATATTTTTCTTCATAAAATTTGAATCTCTTTCGTATTATTGTGTACTTAATAGATTATGAAAGTGAGTTGGGCCATATGAAATAATTATAATTAAAGTAAAAAATTAATCGAAGTTTAACTTTAAAAAAGATTTTCAAAAAAAGAAATTAAAAAGAAAAATCGAAATTTAAGACCTCTTTTAATTTTTAATTTTCAATTTTTTATCCTTTTCTTTTGGGGGCTGATTGCTATATATACGTGTGCTCTACTCTTCACTTCACCATTGCAGAATCCGAAAAAGCAAGGAGAGCATTCAAAAGGCCATTTCAAGGCTTTGCATTTTCCTTCTTTTTTAGGGTTTCCTCTACTGTTCTCCTCCCAAATTCCTTCCATGGAGATCGTCAGAAGACCATCGCATGCTGGTTCCTGGTACACTGACAACCGTAAGCCTCTCTCTCTCTCTCTATCTCATTCTCTGTTGGTTTTCCTATTCACTTGTTTGGTCGCCGAGAAAATTGGACGATAATACATTAATCGCCACTTTCTATACGTTTGGTAAGTGATTTATACTATGATTTGAATCATGATTCATGGTTAGCTCTAGTATTTTCTCTAAAAAAAAATACACGTAAATCAAAAATTCTAATGTATGAACCAAAACGTAAGGTAGTGTCCCCGGGAAACAAAAAAGTAAGAAACACTATATATTTTTGTTGCGCGGAACAAAGGAAAACAAAATTCGGAAACAATTTCATGCACTTTTCGAGGTGAAAGTGCAAAGGCCTTAAATTTAGATGCTTTTTCTTAAAACTAATAGACGGAATTTTCGAGAGAAATTGGGTTGAAGGTTTAACTTTTAAGTAGAAGTTTTCTAAAGTCATCATTTTGATTTTTTTTTTTTTCAGCGAAAAAATTAGATGAAGAACTTGAAAGATGGCTCAGAGAATCTGGGCTGACTAAATCTCCTGACGTACGAGGTGTTATTGCTCCGTAAGTCTATTTATAGCATTGTCTTGCTGTTTTATATAAAAATGTCAAAATTTCTCCAAGAAATTTGATATTTTTCTGTTATTTATTTATTTATTTATTTATTTTCAACGTTAACTAAACAATATCCACAGGCATGCTGGGTATTCCTATTCTGGTCGTGCTGCTGCCTATGCATTTGGGAACATTGATCCCACAAACATGTGAGTTGTTTATTTTCATCTTTTTTCATCAATCTTATTTTCTTAATCCCATTATTGTAAATTTGTTATAAACTTGTGAAGATCAAATAGAATGGCTCTTGACTTTGGTTACTAATTTTGGATGAAATTCATTCTTCAGTTCTCGGGTGTTCCTTCTTGGTCCATCTCACCACTATTACACCCCAAAGTGTGCTCTTTCCGTGGCTTCAGTTTACAAGACTCCCATAGGGGACCTGCCAATTGATTTGGAAGGTGTCATAGTTACTTTAATTCGTAAAATCTTTTTAGTCCCTGAGAGAAAATCTGTTTGTTATGTAAAGTAGTTTAGTCTTTTTTCTTCTTATATCCTGTTCTTTTATTTATTAGTGATTGAAGAGCTAAAGGCCACGGGAAAATTTGAACTAATGGATATTCGTGTCGATGAGGCTGAACATAGCATGGAAATGCATTTGCCGTATCTTGCCAAAGTTTTTGAGGGGTAACTTTTAGCATATGTAATGTTCTATTCCTCGATAGTTTTGAACTGAGGCTGACTTTTGATTATATTAATGCAGGCACCCTGTTAAAGTTGTACCCATTTTGGTAGGTGCCGTTAGTGCTGAAAATGAAGCTATGTACGGACGGTTGCTTGCAAAATACGTGGATGATCCCAAAAACTTCTACTCTGTATCATCGGATTTTTGTCATTGGGGATCTCGGTAAGTATCAGTCGTTAAAGTGTGAGCCTGTATAAAATCAAAAATAATTTATGCTTTCAGAATTTACATAATTTGTTATCATGTTGAAATGCTTAATACCAGTGTCATTTCTTCTACTTATTTTAGTTAAGGTTGCCGGCACCATTGGACCTTGTACATCATTGATCTATTTATTTATTCAGTTTTATGAATAAGAATTCCTTTCATCAGATACTGACAACAAAGTTGTGTTTTAAGCTGTTCGAGTATCACTTTATGCACTCAAATTTCATGGCCACATTAATTGTACATGACGATCAGCATCTTGCTAATCTGTCTGATTAGAAGTTTCTCTGGTTATGTGTGTGATCTCTTTTGTTAAAAAAAAAATAAAAAATAAAAAAGAACACTCTATTGAGGGTTGTTTAATTTGTCTCAGATTCAACTACATGCACTATGACAAGAAACATGGGCCAATATACAAATCTATTGAGGCTTTGGACAAGATGGGCATGGATATAATTGAAACTGGAGATCCAGATGCTTTCAAGAAGTATCTTTTGGAGTATGACAATACCATCTGTGGACGCCACCCAATTAGTGTTTTTCTCCATGTAAGTGCCTAACGTGGTAGTTGTATCTTATATGGAGCTGGCTACCAACTCAGCAACATTGCTTCGCTGCCTTGTTTCTTGATATATAATATATATGTGTGTGTATATATATTGTGTGAATTCTTACCGTATTTCAATTATTTCTTCAGATGCTGCGGAATTGCTCAACAAATATAAAGATCAATTTTCTCCGATATGAGCAGTCAAGTGAATGCAGAAGCATGAGGGACAGCAGCGTAAGCTATGCATCAGCGGCCGCAAAAACGGAGGCCTAAAGATGTAAATTAAACTACTGCAGCATATGATTCTGCCCCAGAAACGTTCACCAATTCAATACTCAATTGAATCTGACTGTCATATTTATGTGAACGCATTTGAAAGGACTATTTTGTGTTTCTCCTGCTTGTACATTATTTACTAATAACGGGATATTCGCAATCTAATTTTATCACATTATGTTCGAGCATACTGTTACTGGTTCTTCACGTCTTTCTTATCCCACATAGTGTCCAAATTATTGCCTCGTTCAGTTTGCCGATTTGAATTTTCAATTCTAGTTGAGATACGATTTTATGTGAATTTTTAACTGTAGTACAAAAAGTTAAATGTGACTTTTTGTGATAGTTTTTTACTGTAGTAAAATTGGAATTGAAAATTTGAATCGGTAAAATAAACGGGCCTTAAGCATAGTAGAGTATAGTACCAGTACCACAAGTGATATGATGGTTTTCTTGGTAGTGATGGTGCTGCATATTATGCTTGATTCTTAGGTAGTTTGGTAGCAAAACCGCCTTGGTAGTGACACTGACAACTTTTATTTAGGACTTCTTGCGTTCACTTTTTTTTGGGGTTCTATTCTAATTTGGATAGAAAATGGCTCATATTCTAAACTACAAAAATCCATTAAATGGTGTAATTTTGGTACAGGAACATTGCAACGTTTATTCATAACAATGTCAAATCATTTTTCTCTTCTCCACAAAATGTAGGTATGAGCGCCTTTCAACTCATCGGCGCAATGTTATTCAACAATTTCTTGTTTTTCCAAGGCATATGCTCCCACAGCATGAGCCACTTGGCACTATAAATTCCTAGTTACACCAAGGTCCATAAAACTTATTTGTTTCAGAGTTGATGGTTCTCTGGCTGGTTCTCAACCAACGGGCCAAATCCCCACTTACCTTCAGGGTCCGGAGGCTCAAGGACGTAGATTTCTCCATTCGCTAGTCCTACAGCAAATTGTGTTGGTTTTTGTGGATGTGCTGCGATGACAACCGGGCATACAGTTGAACTGCAAATGATAACCAAAATATGATGTTAATATGACAAAGTAGTTACAGCAGTAACTTCGAACAAACGACATTGTAACCCTTTTGTGTTGGACAAGCTTTTTGCTGGATAAATCAGTTGAAGGATGGCCACTTTATAACCGAGGTAAATTGGTAGGGATTGGTAAGGCTCGTGTTCTCTGTCTCAAAGGGTCGAGTCTACTTTTGGTCGTCCCATTGGCCTTGGTATGCCACAGCAGAGTTATATGGCTGCACCAACCTCTACTTTTAAAGGAAGAATGTGGCATTACCTTATATTGGCAGGAAGATAAGCAGAGGGATGAATTCGACATTGTTGTTTGAGAACTAAAGCATCAAATATGGTGATGCTTCCATCCAGAAAGCCGGCATATACCATCTGGCCATCGCAGGAGAATGCCGCGTGTGAAATTGGTGAAGAAGCTTTTGAAATATTCCACTGGAAACAAAAGGAGACAAGACATTTCATTTTAGCTACATCAATGTAACCAGCAAAACCAAAGAGCACTGACCTAGCTCATCATATGAGAGAGGACAAAAACCTGCTCTACACATTCAAGGTCTTGAACTTCATATATTGCAAGGTGGGTCTTGTGGATGGCTAGGAAATGCAACTGATCTTGGTGAATCTGGATTTGAGTGTCTGACTCTGCTTCCAACTCTTTTCCGAGTGGAACTTGCAAGAATCTGCTTTTCTCCATTTTCCACCCATCAGCATTCCATGCAAAGATCTTGAGATAACAAAAATTAATAATCAGAACTTCAAAATAGCCTTCAATCTCTTATAGAAGCCTATTTTGTTTTGGAGATCCAGGTAAAAAATCAACAGTTCTACCATCATTATAGGTAATAAAATAGCATGTACTAACCTGTTCATCAGCACCAGAAGAAATAAGCATATTTAGAGTGTTTGAGAAGGCAAGGCCGGTGACTCTTTCCGCATGGCCCTCAAGCTTGGCTTTGACCTGCAAAATGATAGCAATGATTAAGTAAAGGGGTTTTCCTTGATGCAAATAAGCCAATCTACAATTTCATAAGATCACAAAAAGTACCTTGTTTGTGCGGACATTATAGATTAGTATGGTCGAATTGTCCATGCCAATGGCAACAATGTTGTTATCTTGAGGGTGGAAAGCAAGACATGTCGCAGCAGGTGGCGGAGGTATCATGGTGATCATTGTCTGTGTTAACCAACAAAGTTTGAGAACGGATCAGTTAGATCCTAAAGTACTACTTTATCTGTAAACAGACATTTTTAACCCCTAACCACAGACCTTCACAAATTTTGGTTTGTCGACTGCAAAAAATCCTGAAAAGTTTTGCAAGTTGTACCATTGTTTATAAACAATTTACCTTAAATGTAATCATGTTGAACAAAGAAATTATCCCTCCTGATGCTGACAAGAGATACGAGTCATTCTTGGACAATGCAAAGCAGGGCACAGCCTGTTCAGGTTTGCTTCCAGTAAGGTCATTGCACATCAGCTGTAAGCCACTCTTTGGTTGCCATAACTGAGGGTGAACCTTGGTTGTTGCCTACATCAAGTATCTCCTTCATTCTATGCTTCAAATTTCGTTTTTGAAAAAGATTTATGGGCTTTGAGAATAACCATTAAATATACCACTAGTGTACCTTGCTATTCGGATTGAATTCATTTTGTGGCCATTTCCAAAGTAGATGAATGGCATTTGATGCTAATGCCAAAATGGCATTACCTGAATTAGTGTAGGTCAGCCTTGATATCTGGCATTCATCAGAGAGGAAGCTAATTAAGAAAAACTTGGAACTTGTTCATCTTAAATTCCGAATGTTACACTTTTCGTAGAAATCCTCAACAGTCTTCTATTACACGGCAATGCCAACAATATTTCCAAAGCATCAACCACTTGTTAAGACAGTTATGTTATTTGACCAGTAAGCAGAATGGTAGTTTTCAGCATTAAGGCATCTGTAAAGAATCTCTACAATTTAAAGCTCCTTGGTTATGAAAATTTAGTATAAGCAGGGAATAAAGAACCTTCCAATAAGCATGACAAGACAGAATTTTTGTAAGTTCACAGTTATTGCATTAGTGGCACAGTTTAGCAGGAGAAAGTCCAAGGTAGACGCACAATGCAAAAAATAGATAAAAAACAAAGGCATAAACATATGAAAAATAACGTTATACCTCATTTGCTTTTACGTGAGCAGAAAGTTTTAAGGATTGGCATTGAGAAGATTTTTCAAACTCAGAGAGATTTCTGATCTCTTCTTTAGCACTGGCTTCACCAATTAAGGATTTCACATCCTCCATGTCTTTTGGTTTCCCAATCTACAAAAAGCCATGTGATGTTGTATGTTTCTCAGAAGTATTACTAATTAAGACAAAACTATTCGTTATGCAAATTGCAAAAATAATAAGTAAACTTTATATCTAAGATATATATGGTTCCCTTAATTCACACCTTGGGGATATCTCTTTCCGCGGATTCAGCATTACCCACAGTTGTATTCGGGTCAATAGCAAGTTGCGTAAAGTAACAAGCATTAGGAAAGAGAAACTTTCCACAAAAGATTCAAAGCAAAGGAAGACCTTTTCTGAAAAGAAATAACGAGAGTTCAATATACTGACCTTTCTCAGAGTTTCAGAAATCTCTCTAGAGGCATCAACAGATTGTTCCTCGGCTGTTTGCAACAAATGGAGTCCATCATCAGTTGCCAATATCTTAATTCTGTTTTCGTTTGCAACAACAGCCAATAGTGTGCACTCCTTGTTGAGGTTAATACGAGGAGCGACCTTATTAGAAACAAAATGGAGGTAAGTTTACAACTGAAATTGCTCTTGTTGTCGTTTACTATAGTTAATTCGAATTAAGCTACCACTTGATGTATAAAAACCTGTTGAACCAAGGACTCTCACCACATTGATTTTCATTACACTTGTTGGCTGAGCCACATTATACTCCCACTCAAATTTTAGAAATTCGATTTTTTTCCGTGGAAGATTTCTAAAATTTCAATTGCGTCACTACTTTAGAAGAAAAATTATTACTACGTCCACACTCAACAATTAAAATATATAACTACGTCCTTATTTAATAAAAAAACATCTCTAATTTTTTTCATAATGCCACACTGATTTTTTTTTTTTGGCTCCACCACACCATTGGCCAAAATACTTCCGTTTCTCTCTAAAAAGAAAAATGGCTACACAAGAACACACCTGTAACTCTCCACCTGTGTCCATAGTCATCAAAAGTTCCTTCTTGTCCATATCCCAAAATTTAATCACATGGTCATCACCAGCAGCCAAAAGCTGGTTCTTGATTGTGACAAATTGCACAACAGACGAGTGGCATGAATCGAGCCCTTGGTACATTCTCCTTATCCAACCTTCACTGTCATTCCATTCAACTAGGAATGACTCCCCATCTTTATTGGTCCCACATGAAAAAAGCCTACGTCGAATCAATGCAAAAATGACATAATTATCGTGATATGGAAACATGCTTGAAAAACAAGAGTGCTGATCAAACTCTATATAGAGAACCTTTGACCGTCGGCGCTATAAGCCATTCTTGTGCGCCCAAGACCAGGAGCATCATAGTCAATTCTGGCTCCTATATTATCATACAACCATGCTTTAATCTTTCCGTCTACTGATATTGAGAACAGAAGCTGAAGCACAAAAGCACATCCCTCAGATGAGTATAATATGGAACACTGGCAATACTATTCGAAAGTAGTAGTGAAAGTAGTTCTTACATCAATATTTTCCTTGGTATGACAACATATAGAATAGACAGGAGTGTCATGACCGTCAAATGTGAACTGCTTGTTGCCGGTAACCATGTCCCACACCTTAACATACCTTAATGAAACATGTCAGTTTCATAACAACGAAATTTCGCAATCTGGCATAATTAACCCAACCAACCTTTATTGTCTTGTCATCACCACATGTTATGACAAAAAGTTGTTCATAAGGAGAAGAAAACGCCAAATCATTTACACTGCCCAGATGGGCATCAATCTGTTTATGACAAACTCAGCATTAGGTTTAGAATAACATATATGGACAAAAATCCTTTTACTACTATGTTTGCATTATTTTTGTGGCAGCATACCTCCAATTGCTGTCGAATGTCATCTCCACCAGAGTAAGAATATAGCTGTACAATGTGTTTTGAATATGCAACCCCTGTAATCAAGTACATCAAGGATGTGATTATCACCTTGAAAAACATGCAACTATTATTATTCTTAAACCCTTTTGTCATCAGTTCTTACCAAATAAAGAGCCATCAGGACTCCACATGATTTGATTAACAGAGACACATGGATCTTTGACCAGAGATGCCTATATATGTATTTGAAAATGGTTCAAATACTAGAGAAAGGGAATATAAGCCTCTTTTTTTTTTTATCATTTTTCTGGGGAGATCAAATTATGAAAGCAGACAGACCTTAAATGCATTAGAGCAAGCTGCAATATCCCAAACTCTAAAATTTCTTGAAAGCAACTTTTTGCCATGAGCAACATCCCACAACCCTACATCCCCAACAGAAGTTCCAACTGGAGAAATACATTTGAAGGGCTTGTGAGTAACACTCATCATAAGTTTACAAATAATTGCCTCATGTTATCATATAATAAACTAGGCAAAGAACATAGTATCCTGTATTAAAGAAAGAAAATATAATTCATATCAATCAACCTAGAAGAAACGTCTGCTTAACAGGATGAAAATCCATGCTTGTTGGACATGAGCCCTCAGTTAACGTTAGAGCTACCATTGTGGGCACATCGATGTGCATGGTTGGCACCAGATTGTGAATTTGACCAGGATCCCTAATAGGAGAAACTACCTGCAAAACATCAAAATCAATTATTTATTTATTTATTTAAGTTTTGACATGTGATGATGCTGTACATCAGATTGATCCAGCTTACCTCATCCACGCCCCCAAAATCTTTGGATGAGATATCAGAATCTTCAAGAGCCACAAAATGCAATTAAGACCAATAAATAAAGGAATGGTGCAATGTAAAAGTTGAGTTGATATGTTAACCAGAGACACCGTCTAAGAATTGAGACAAGTACCTAGCTCGGTTGGACTGTCATGACAGGTTGCTTCAACAGGGAATCCACATTGTGTTATGGTAGATGCACTACGACTCCTACTGGTGGAGTGAGTCACAACTGATGATGATGCAGCTCGAGAAGGCTAATCACAAAAAAAGTTTGAGCATTCTTAGAAAATCCAAATATAACATAGAACAAAGGAGTCGCATGTTTTGTCATTAACTGGTCTACAACCTATCCGGTAATTTAAGACAAGACGTTAGGGTCAAAATCCTTGTTCCAACATAGATCTTACATTTAGGTTGCTTTCAATTGATTCAACAAATGAAACCTTGTTTTTTGGACAGACATGATCAAGAAAAAGGGTTTCGATATCCGGATTTGGACTGGGGTCTTCACATAGAATATGCTGCCAATTCAAGCTGTCAATAAACATTAAGTTAAAACAAAACATGAATGAAAAATTCTAACCAAGTGAGCACAAAGAAATAAGAACTTAAACTTATATATAAGCCATCAACTATCAAGTACAAGAATTGAAAAAATTGTACTACCTTTGGTTAATGAGACGGCGTAATCTCTGGCTTTTGATGGTAGGAAACTTGAGTTTGCCATGAAAAAGGGGATTTGCCTCGATCAATTTCTTGACTTCTCGCGTAATAGTTTCCCTGGCAGATTTGGTATCTCCATACAAGGAGAGAGACTCGTGGTCTCTGTTGAATGTCGTCAAAATCTTCGGGATAAATATATGCCAAATTCACCACATTACAAAATCAAAAAGCTATCAAAGAGAAGTCATACCTTATATCATTGAACGTCAGAAGTTGCGCCATTTCTTTGAAGAGATCTTCATTTCCGCGCTCAAAAACTCTTAGATCCGTCATGAGGATGTCTAAGGCCTTGGCATGTTCCTTTCTGCTAAAAGGAGAAGCACACAGCACTAAAAAGACAATATAATTGCTTCTGGAGCTACTTGAGAATAAATAAAAGATATCACAAAGTTTGAATTACCTATCCAGCGTCTCAAAGAACTTTTGCTTCCTGATTTCGAAGTATGTCTTGGTTGAGTACCTATCGTCATCAAGTTTTGTGAAACCAGAAATATACCTCTCTGCCTCATGCCAATTCCCACTATGCATCATCTCTTCAAAATATCTCATGTCAAAGTAAAACCCACTTTCACTTTCAAGCCTATACATCAATTCACAAAGTATTTTAGTTGATAAGTATAATGGGGTACTTATGAAAGCTCTTTCAAGCGCTTACACGCGTGAAACTATGAAAATTTGAGAATTCCGTGGTAGGGTATGAACCCCACTCTACTGGTAAGTACAAATCTAAACCGTCGGATTTTCATCAAGTTTCGTTAACTTATTTCAGAACTGTATCTAGTAAGGTGTTTTTTTTCATGCCAGTGAGAAAAAAATAAGGGAAAAGATGTTTCTGAATTTCAGGACTTATTCTCTAGCAATGATCAGTAGGGAATATTTGCAAGACAACAATAACAAATTCTGACGCCAGTACTCTAGAAGCATACTATACAGTTATACAAGAAACAACCTTATCTGCTGGATGAATTAGATAAGCTATAAACCAATAATTAACTTAATGACTCTGTACTAATTCTAACAATGACAGAATTCTCCGTGAAAATATTGAGATAGAAAACCTACATGTGAGCAGTTTGTTTGAAGCCTTCCTCATTGCAGAACTGCAAAATTAAGAAGACAAGCTCTTTGCTCAGCGCAGACATTGCAGAGGGCACCTTGTCGTCTACAAAACTTCCAAATACCATAAAAAATATTCCAATTAGATTCAAATTATAGAAGATTAAAAAACACACACACACACACACACATATATATATATATATATACACACACACACACAATCAGAAACGAAGTCAGAAATATATCTATGCATGTCGTGAACTTGTAGCAGTACTTTACTAATGAAATGAAACCAATTCTATTCACAAAGCTTCGAGTTCAGATTCAGATGATCTGGTTTAAGACAATTGATAGAAAGTAGGGAGGAAAAAACAAATTATATTAGAAGAAAAACAAAATAGTAAAGTTGTGCAAGGAAAAAAAAATACGGGAAAAAGAAAAGGAAAGTTGAAGACGATTAGGATATTCGTCGAAGGAAAAGGAATTATCCAAAATCGAATCAACTCAATCTGAGGATTCAGAAGATCGATCATCTTCACGGAATACAAAAACCCATCTCCATAAAAAGCGTTCCAAAACATTTGGAATACAGGAAATGAGAAAAGAAAAATTAAATAGAAAGTTCAGAATCGAAACAAATAAGAGTAATAATTTAGATTGTGAAATGAAAAAAAAAAAAAAAATCCTTCCTTCGCTAACAAAAGTTTCAACCTCAAAACAAAAAGAACAATCTTTTTACGGACTTTAGAAAAATTCGGAGATTCTGATAGACCAAGATCGAGTATGTTTATGTATTAAGATGGATTAAACGAGAACTAGAAAAAATAAAAAAATAAATAAAGTTAATACCTCAAAGCTTTTCTCTGTCTCTCTGAGTTTCTCTCTCTAAAATTTGGAAGCACTTTTTTGTTCCAACTCTCAGTCGTGTGAGTCTGTGACTGCGTACAGACCAGCAGAGGAAACTGAGAAACGCGACTCGCAAAATATAGCTGGAGATAAAATCGAGGTGATAAGTAGAATGACTTATTTCCTTTTTTATTTTCCAAAATATCTAAAACTGATTTTTATGTCTGTTTAGCATGATATTTACGCGGAGTTATGCGATACGTGCGTGGTCTTATAGAAGTCAGTGAGAAGTGAGAATTCACTGTCAAGGGATTGGGTCCCACGGAGCGGAAAAGAAACGGTCGGAGGCGCAGAGGACAAGCGTGTTTGTCGTTTTCGTGGGTCCCACCAGGTAGAATTTTGGAGAAATGGGACTTTCTTTTTTCTCCTCTTTTTTTCTTAAATTTACATCTGACGGTTTCTATAGCCCGAAGAATATTTTCTACTTGATTGATTGTTGTTGATGGAAAAAATCTCACACTCTATATCATACACTAAATGACCGTCACGTGACACATCTAAAGGATTAATGGTCATGTCAGCTTGAGTAAAGTATCCCGTAATTTTATAGACGCCGATCCTGACTCTAAATTGAAAATTGAGCCCCTAAAAAAATGATCGTACTGAGGAATATATCGCATTATGAAGTTGACCACACTGTCGTCTGAAGACAGAGACCGCTTTGAAGGATCCAAAGGCGCCGAATCCACGCACGTCTTGAAGGACGTGATATATTACCTGACACATGACATGCATTTAATGCATGCAAAGTTAGTGGTGACGTCGGTGGAGAAAATCAAGCTGGCTGACTGAAATCTCGGTGATCAAAGATCACTGTTTCTCTCTCTCAGTCGTGTTGATTAGATTATTGACAAGGATAACATGATGTATAAATATGGATAGAATAGCCCAGAAGAGGGGTTCTGAATTCCCTCTCACATTGTAATATTTTTCTCAAGAGCATAGAGAAAACTCTCTCTCAATGGATGTAGCTTCAGAATTCGGGGTGAACCACTATAAAATTCATGTGTTGATCTTCTCTTTATTTTCATTAATCATGTTTTAATCTGCTTGATCCACACAAACCATCAAAAATCTGTTATTAATCTGTTGACAAATTTTCACTGTCAACAATTGTGTTGGAAATAAACTGAATAAAACTCTTGTTTTTTTCTCTCAATTAGATAGAATATTTGTGATTCAGCCAAAAAATATAAAATATTTTTGAATTTTTATTAAGAGGGACATTTTTTTATTAGGCAAATAAATCGATTAAAAAATGATAAAACTAACTTGTCATAATATTAATGAGTAATTTTTTGTAGCCATTTTTATAGTATTTTAATTAGGGATGGCAATGAGGCGGGGTAAGAGCGGTGAATGATTTACCATTTTCATCCCAACCTACCAAAACTATCTTCATCCCGCTTAAAGAGAGGTGGGGGTGGAGTCGGGGACTCCTCCTTGGGGAGCATTCCCCATACCCGCCTTAGGTTCCCATTGAATGTAATTAAGTATTTTAAAATTATTATAACTTAAAGTAAAAATAGAGTAGAAATTCAATATAAGTTTAGACCGAAATTAAAGGTTTCTCAATATAAACTAAATTCAAAACATATGCAAAAAAAAAAAAAAAAAAAAAAAAAAAAAAAAAAAAAAAAAAAAAAAAAAGTTGTAAAGCCAAGAAATGTCTTATTAAAAGCAATAATTAACACATATGTAAAAAGTATATGTATGTATATTTATTTAAAATATGTTATATTGTATATAACATATGTATATCGGGGCGGGGCGGGTTGGGGAGGGTTTTTTCTGCCCCCGCCCCGCTAAGATTCGTGGACAAGATTTTGTCCCATCCCCATCTTCATCCTTGGTTATTATCCTCCATCCTTGTGGGCCTTATCCTGACGGGGAATATTACCATTCCTAATTTTAACAAATTAAGGCTTATTATGCGACGATTAAGATAATTTTTCTTTGGCTGAAACCAAAGGTGCAGTAATTCTAAAAAAAAAAAAAAAAAGCGTGCAGTAGCAAGCATTGTATGTTATTGCATAATGATGTAATTACGAGCCTACTTGTCTTCAGTAATTAAGATTAAAGGCAGATTCACATTGGTGTACTGTTGATATATTTATTGCCACACGTGTTATTATTAGTAAAAAATTATTCTAACTAGAAGTAAATAAACATAAATTTATTATGTGTTGCAAATTAACTGAACACAATATTAAAGGAAATCAAATTGCTAATTCATTTCAATGTATCAAATATCAAACATATCAACTACGCAACAACAATAACTAAAACAACAAAAGAACACATGATTCTCTTTTTTTTTTCCTTTTCTTTTTTTGTTTATAATCAACAAAAACCACATGATTAACTATAACCTACGAGTGATTAAGACTAGCTACCCCTAACATCATTTCTATATGATCAGTTTCCTTCGGCCTCCAGATGCAACTCCCTTTATCATTATTTTTGAGCTCCAAAAATATTGTTGCATAATCCGAGTCCGAGATGCGATGGCGGCCTAATTAAGAGGACGTTTGGTTAGTGTATTCAGAATATTCAGAATCATTCTCAAATTATGTGTATTTGTGGGAAAGAAAACGTTATAGCGAACTACGAACCATGATCCGAATCATGACACGGATCTTTGTTACAAACGCATCATAAATTATTATCGTCATTAATATTTTAATAATAATAATAACAGTAATTATTGTTCACAAGCACAGGACATGGAAACGGGAATAATTTGCCTCGGAGCACCGGATTCAGTAGGATGTACTTCTTGATCTCGTTCATCAACACTTTTCTCGCTGTGGCCGTGTCCACGTAATACGTAAGCATCGGATGTTTCCTAATCATATAACAAATTATTAATATTAAAGCCCGAATATATATTACAAACAAAAGGAAAAAAAAATGAATATTGTCTTTAGATATTCTGTTTCAATTATATGAAAATAGAATTAAAAATATATATAATACCTAATGCTGTCCATCATCAAGAGATCGGTGGCGTCTTTAACCAATTTGTCGTTATATCGCTGAAAGACCTTTGTCACTGCCTTAGATTTATCCCCACTGCGAAATCAAATAAATCATTTAATGATAAGTTAAAACGACAAATTGATGTCGTCAATCTTTTGCATGGTTTGAGAAAGGTATTTTGTATATAAATATTGTACTTGTTAATAGTCCGTTTAGTTCGTTGATTCGAGTTTTTAATTCGAGTTGAGATGTAATTTTATATGAGAATTTTTTATTGTAATAAAAAAATTAAATGTGACTATTTCTGAGAGCTTTTTACTGTAGTAAAACTTGAATTAATGAAATGAACGAGACCTCAATATATTTTTGCTTGCGAATCTCGAAGATGATTTGAGTCGAAAAAATGTTGTCATGGAGAGGTCAAGCCCGAGATGTATTTCTCGGCTTCGTCGAAGGCTCCATGAACGAAAGGCTCCTCGAAGTGCCCCGCATTTAAGAAAACCCAGATTTGCGTTCAAGTCTGTATATTTATATACATTGATAAAAACAATAAATAAATAAATAAATAAATAAATAAATAAAAATCAACGTTTAATGACATTACTCTTATATAGACAACAAAATATTCTACAAAAAATAAAATAAAAAAAATTATATATGGGAAAAAGGAAATGTTCATTACGTGCGAGCTATTTCTTTGAGATTAACGGACTCAAGGTATTGTAAAATGCTGTAAACGTTTTGCGGGGTGGAGGCCGGAGTCGGAGATGCCATGATATCACCGGAAAGTGAAAATGAACCTATAATGTGGCCAAAAAGACAAATTATAATAAGAAATTTCAAAAATGAGTAAAACAGGAGGAAGTAAAAAAAAAGAAAAAAAAAAAGAAAGAGAGAGGAAATCCTAGAGACCAAAAGAAAAAGGAAGAAAAAAGAAAAATTTAAAGAAGGGATATAAATGTGAAAACAAAGGAAACTTGAGGGCTCGTCGACAAGAAAAAGAACAGTATTATTGTAAGAAGTAAAGTTCTGATTTCTTTCACTTGCATTTATATGTTTATTCGCAAGAAATCGAAGTTTTGATTCTCACTTGTGAAGAGCCAAGCCAAATTGTGTGTGCGTATGGCATGCTGGGGAATCATGAATTTATAGGGAGAATTTGGCTTCGCTCTCAGTGTCTATTGGATCCGGTGTGAGACCATTATAGGGCGTTTAATATAAAGATTCGTATCATAGTTTAAATTATAGTTCGTGACTCATTATAATATTTTTTTTCATAAAAAATACACGTAAATCAAGAATAGTTAATCATAGTTTTGAATCCGTGAACCAAACGTGGCCTCGTTTGTTTCACCGATTTAAATTTTTAGTTCTAAGTTTCTACAGTTAAAAATGTTAAAAAAATATCATATTTAACCTTTTTTGTTATAGTTAAAAGCTCTAAAAAAATATCACATCGAATTGAAAATTTGAGACTTTAGAGACTTTCTTACGTTGGGTCCCACACCTCTCTGGAAAATTATATGGCAGACGCACTTTACGCGTTTGAGAAACACTCGCTGTGTTGAGAGGAGAGTGCCAGTTATAATGTGAAAGCGTTTTCACAGTATTATGGTGAGCTCTCCCTTTGAGAAGGCTTGATCAAGAAAATAAGTGCCTTATCAACGTGTGTCGTGTTTTGTGATGATACTCCTGCATAATAGTAATAGACAGCAAATTAGTTGACGATTTTAACTACAATAAGATAGATTCAATGAAAAAAAAAAGGTCACTTAATATAATGTGTCGGCAAAAAGTATTAATTACTTGATTATTTAGAAGGTGATGATGTAAAATTAACCAAGTCCGCAAGTGACGCTCAAAATTAAAGAGGCGCATAGAGTAAATTGCAATATCAGAAAGTGCATATGCTTCCAACCTTGCATGATGGAATTTCCATCATACTTGGCGTAGATTGTTAGATATATGCAAAGGATTAATAATGATTGAATTGATAACTACATTAAAAATTAAATATTAATGACGCGTGTGATAATATGTTACATTAATTTTTTAAAAAGAGAATGCACTTTTAAATTATTAAGTAAAAAATATAATAACGCCTGAACAATAGATTATTTAATCAGTGAAAATTTCTTCATATATTTTGCAAAAAAAAAAAAAAATGATTGCCATTGTAATCTTTTAGAACATTGTTTCCAAGCAAAACAAAACACTCGGTCCATACATCACGAATGTAAAAAATAAAATAATAAGGCCCCGTTCATTTCACCGATTCGAGTTTTATAACAGTAAAAAGCTCTCAAAAACAGTCACATCTAACTTTTTTGCTACAATAAAAAGCTCTTACATAAAGTCACATCTCAATTCGAATTAAGAACTCGAATCAGTAAACTGAACGAGGCTTAAGTAAATAAAATAGAAAAATTCAGTGGAGAGTATATTAGCGAGAATGGAGAGGTCCACGGTAAGGTGCCTAAGCCTTGCACCACTGCAACATTTGCTCTCATTGGTTGTCAACGTCGTTCTCCGCCTATTGCGCGTGAACTCACGCAGTTTCAAATTGGTTCGGACGGAGCCACTCCACGTGGACATCAATATTTTTTTCCTAATTGACGTGGACATCATTTTTTTTTTTTTTATAATCAAACGTGGAAATCACGTTTGATTCAACGTTTTATTTTTTTTTATTTTTATTTTTTTTCAAAAGGCCATGTTAGGTAAACTTTTAAAAGTTATAGTTTCTTATATATACTATTCCCTTTATTACTTTGTATTTGTATTTTTGGGAAACAAAATAAATGTCTATCTTAGAGAAAAAAAAAGAAACCATAAATGTCCAATGACGCACCTTAATTGGATAAAAGCTACGTTACAATTGCAATATTACTACTGATTTCACACATGATGCTTGGATATCTCCAAGATAACAATGAATTTAATGTCTCTACACTTATGGCTATGATAATCTCAGTAGTAATGTTGAATTCCATGGTCTGATACCACGAGAAAATTAAAGCTACTCTTTTCCTAAACGGCCAAACACAAAAAGGACCAAAAGTGATATATAAGTTTTTTTTTTTTTTTTGAAAGTTTCATTTATACAATTAGTTTTTACTCATAATCACATCCCTTCTTTTAAATTTTAAAACCCAAATAAATTAAAATTGAATCTTACTATATGTGTTTGGATAAAAAAAAAAGTATATATAAACACAAAAAAGTAAAATAACAATAGAGAGTTTTGCATGAATAATTTAATTCATTTCAATTAATTATGAAAAAAGAGAATAGGAAAAAATAAAGAAAATTGTCATGCTACCTTAATGTGTGGTCTACACTATAAGTTTCATCCAAATTTTGTTTATTTTTTATTTAAGACTCAATGTGCGCTTAGTTCACTAATTTGAATCATGTTGATTTGAACTTTTTATTTAAATAGAAAAATATGAACATTGTAGCCCCCGTGTTTGGTAAGCATGCAGTTCAAATTATATTCTTTGTTTGAACTGAGTTAAATTGTCCAACTTAAAGTTTAGCTTCTCCCTTAAGTTCAACCATTTAAACTATTTTTAAACAGTAAAAATGTACTCACTCTCTCTACTTCTTACACCTACTAAATACAAATATAAATTTTATTCCCTGTTCATATTAAAATTTTAACTGCATATCCAAATGCCAATTCGAATTACAATTTAAATTACACAATTTGAATTTTTCTGTTCAAACAAAGAGGTTTAAATCAATAAAATTCGAACCAGCGAATTAAACGAAGGCGTAGTTTAAATAGTAATTTAAACCGGCGTTTAAATATGCAGTCTTTTAATCTAAACAGAAAATAACGTCCGAATTAGTGTTTGGATAAGGTCTTAAAATTGTGAGTGATAGAGACAACGTTCAAAAAAGAAAGAGAAGGGGGCATCGAATCTCTAGAGCTGAACAACCATTTTTTGAACTTTGAGAGTGACATCGCTGTAGAATATTTCTTTGAAAAGTGAAACCTCGGCCGTGGGAGTACCAATTTAATTTAAGATTAAATGCCTCACCAAACACCTATTAATTGGGATTGTAGAGCCGTTTGGAATGGTCCGAACTTGGCTGAAATAATGAAACACACGCGCTCAATTTCATTATATGTAACCAATCATCTTTTGATTTTGATTAAGAATGGAGTGCAATCTCTATCTCTATTAAGAAAAATAAAAGAACTCAAGTCCAATCATCTTTTGATTCACGAAATACAACTGGAATTGACTTGCACGTGTAAAAAATTGATATATAGTACATTATAGTGGTTCAATCAAATAAGCATGAGAATTAACGCAAGAACAACATGTTTGTGTTTACTAATCTATTATATAGTGATACAAGGCAAGTTTTCTCCGTACATTGCTAGAGGTGTCAATTAGGCCGAACCCTTCTAACTTCAAGCCCGTGGCGCCGCGAGTGGTACTGAACTTTGCTAGACGACATGATGGTTTCTCCGATTGGGTTCTTGAGCTTGAAGTGCTAAATGTGGTACGAGCTATTCAAAGAGGTTCGAGCTGAGGACAATAACCTAAAGTGTCAAAGTGCCTATGTTAAACCCCCGGTCTAGGAATGGTGTAGTCCACTTCATAATTAGTTTCGTTTTGTCATGTTCGATTGATGTTTCATGAAATGTTTCTACTCCTCGTTTTATTATCGCTTTTGTAAGATCTGATATTGAAACTTTTGAATAAAGACCCAGTTTACTTTCCAAAAAAAAAAACAAAAAAAAAAAAAAAAACGTTATGGAAAGATAAGAAAAGGAACAAAATAAGAAAATAATATTTGATACTATTTATGTAAATATGTTGTTTTGGTAAATTAATAATATTAATGTTTTAGTTTATGCCATCGAAAAACTTCTTAACGCCTCGTTCAGTTCACTAATTTGAGTTTTCAATTCAAGCTGAGATGTGATATTATATGAGAACTTTTAACTGTAGTAAAAAGTTAAATGTGAATTTTTATAAGAACTTTTAACTATAACAAAACTAAAATTAAAAATTTAAATCGGTAAAATGAACGACGCCTTAATTTATTATAATTGAAAACTGAATTTCATTCTCTCTAAAAATAGTCCAATGTACTTTAAAAAATGGAGTCCATAAGTTGAAAGTTGGACCGAATTTAATCACCAGACTAGAAAAATGTGCCAAAATTGGTTTCCATGTTAAATACATAAATAGATGAAAAAACATTAACAATATAGAAAGTCATTCCAAATTTAATCGCTAAATTGAAATAAAGTGTATCGAAATTAGATCATGTAAAATAAATAAATAAATAAATATAAAATGTTAAACAATAGCTTAACTCTCATTATAAATGATTTTTTTTTGTTTTCTTTTTTAAAAAAACAAGTGTGATAATCTTGTTAATTTTACCAAGAGCATTTTTATTTATTTGATGGAGATTTATCCTCATCAACACAAAGGTTTCACTTGTAGAGTTCACGTAAATCTCGTTATACGGAGCCCACCTTTATGTGTCCACGAGGATAAATGTCAGAACATAAATTCCTTTCTCTCCCACCCAACTTTTGACAAGTGGCAACTTTAATTGGCTTGGAACACGGAAGGAACATAAATCTGAACACAGACAAACTGAACCCAACTTTCCCAATCTCAGACCGTCGCTGTCATCTTTAGAACAAAAGCCGAGACAGCTGTTGCCTTCCTTTTCAGCCTTGGGCCCCACTTCTGACAAGTAACCACTCTAAATTCAGGGCCTTATCATATAAGCCAGTCTAGTTATCATATATAATAAGCACTCTTACGTATACCTCGTGAGTACCGCCTCAGTGTATAAATACCCAGGTTTTTGCGGCCTCCATAGGCATCTCATGAGAAGGAAAGTCTCTGCTGTAGAGGAAAAGCAAGCGATAAAGAGAGAAGTTGGTGAGAGAAAATAATAGCTTGCTTTTTTTTTTTTTTTGGGGTCACTTTGCTGCTCTGTTCTTCTTCAGTTCTGCAGAAAAAGGTCTCAAGTTTCTACCTTTTTTTACCATTTTAATAGGTAGCTTTTGTTCCGTTGTAAAACAAACTTCCTTTTTCTTCCAGACCATATTCGTCTTTACTGTTTTTCGTCTCTGAAAACTCTATTTCCCTTTTTTTGTTTTGGGTTCTTTTCTTAGTGGTAGTGGATTATTGCTTAGAGGTCTGCAATTTTGATGAGATTGAGACTAGTCTTGAATATGTTCTCTTCATGAATGAAGCCGTTTCTTCATTCAGACAGTTTCGTTTTTGTCCGTTTTCTCGTTAAACTCTAGTGTTTTATTTATTTTATTCATTTTCTTTTCATTTTAAAAGGTTGATGCGTCTTTGTGTTTATATTGTTCCTTTAATTTTGAATTTTTGATGCAAAAGCCTGCCTGATCACGAATGATACAAATTTTTATTTTTCTCAAGCCCAAAAAAAAAATAAAAGTTTTATTTGATATATATTTTTCACTATCTCTCTCTCTTTCCTTTCTTTTTTTCTTTTTTTTTTCGCTTTTCCTTAAGTGGAACCTCTATTATTATTAAAAAAAAGAAAAAGTGTTTGTTGTCTGCATTTACTCTGTTCATTTTTCAGTCTAGGGAAATAGGAACAAGAGACAGTGATGACGTCGTCACTCAGTAGGGACCTCATCTTCTTGATCCTGCAGTTTCTGGATGAGGAAAAGTTCAAAGAAGCTCTTCACAAGTATCTCTCTTCCATCATTTTCTAATCCCATGTCAGTCTTATAAACTTCAAATCATGTATCGTTTATATACGGAATCTCTTTTTATTACAGGCTTGAACAGGAATCCGGGTTGTTCTTCAACTTCAAGTATTTCGAGGATTTGGTGCTCGGTGGAAACTGGGATGAGGTCGAGAGGTATCTCTCCGGCTTCACCAGAGTGGACGACAACCGATATTCGATGAAGATCTTCTTCGAAATTCGGAAGCAAAAGTACCTCGAGGCCTTGGATAAGTAACACCACCATTCTTAAACTCTTAAACGGTACTTATATTTTTCAATATATATCTTTGTCTTACAACGTTTCTTATTGTTATTTATTATTATAATCAGGCTTGATAGGGCCAAGGCAGTGGCCATCCTTAATAAGGATTTGAAAGTTTTCTCCACTTTTAATGACTTGTTCAAGGAAATGACTCAACTTCTCACACTGGACAACTTTAGGTACATGTTCTGCAAGAGTTGTTGATGATAATGGAATAATGTGGCCGCATTTGAAAAGTTGAAGCTTATCTGGTTTATTATGCAGAGAAAATGAACAACTGGTTGGCTATAGAGATACCAAGACTGCAAGGGCAATTATGTTGGTTGAACTCAAGAAGCTTATCGAGGCCAATCCTCTTTTCCGCGAGAAATTGCAGTTTCCGACAGTAAAGAATTCAAGGCTACGGATGCTCATCAACCAGAGGTAAGAAATAGTTGTTTGCTATGCGAATTATGAGTCTGAATTTATGATCTCTATGTGATTTTTCACCCTAGTGTTGTCTTTCCTCTCATTGTTAATAGGCTTTTGACATATGAATTGATTTTTCTTGGCAGCTTAAATTGGCAGCATTCGCTTTGTCCGAATCCGAGACAGAATCCGGATATAAGAACTCTATTTCTTGACCACAGTTGCAGAAATTCCAACGATTCTTTTGCTCGATTAAATGGAAACAATCAATTGATGTGCTCGGTACTGAAAGCTGACAGTCTTCTTCCAATCAGTTCGAATGGGGTCTTTTGAAAGTGCTTTACTATTTAATCATTTTCATTTCTTTCTATCAGCCCTTCCAATCATTAACACCACCAGTGCAAACTCCTCTATCCATATGGATGTCAATTCCCTCAACTGCAAGTCATCCAGCTGTTTCCGCAGCTGCTAATGGTAGCGGTTTTGGTTTTCTAGGAAATCCAGGTAGTTACACCGTATACTTCACCATAATTCTTCTGTGGAAATTCTAGTATGAAAAAAGAAAAAAAAAATGTTCTCTAATTTTGAAATATTGTTGTCTGCTATAGCTGCAATCCCAAAGGGTCCTGGGGAATCTTCTGATGGCACATATAAAATGACATTCTCTGGAGCTTCAGACAGGGTAAGGTCTCAAACCAAAAATAAATAGATAAATGAATGAAATAATAATCTGGTTTTTCAACAAGGCATTATTTTGTTTATGCATTCTTTCTTTTTGTATAGATTATGTTGCCAGGAAGTAATGCAGTTCAAAGTGGCATCATAGACGAATTTCCTAAGACCGTTGCAAGAACGCTAAATCAGGGTTCGGTTCCCACAAGCATGGACTTTCATCCCATTCAACAGACCCTACTTCTAGGTAGTTTTTCTGTGAGCTCATCTTGAACTAGAATTGGAATATAGTAACATATTCGATGTGGTTAGATATAAGTTATGAGCTGATTTTGTATTATTTTCTCCAGTTGGGACTAATGTGGGAGACATAAGTTTGTGGGAAGCCAGTTCAAGGGAGAAGTTGGTCTCAAGAAGTTTTCAGGTTTGGGATATTGGAACAAGTTCAATTTTATCAAAGGTACATTCTCTTTTCAAACAATTCAGAAAAGTAAGATCAAAGTTTATATCATCAGAACCATCATAATTATTGACTGTTGCAAATGAATTTCAGGCAGCTTTGGTTAAAGATCCATCGGTGTCGGTCAAGCGAATTTTGTGGACCCCAGATGGCAATATATGTGGTGAGCTTGAAGATAATAAGGATGACAATTTTTGCTAGCGTAGTCATGATGTCATCTCCCGCTAAACTATATGTACCTTTTCTTTTCATTTTTGCAGGAGTTGCGTATTCCAAACACATGATGCAGCTATACCGTTATCATGGTGGAAACGACATTAGGCAGCATTTGGAGGTAAGCTCGATGCTTATCTTCTCTTGTAAAGTGTATGAAAGCTTTCTTCTTTATCTCTCTCTCTCCTTTTTTTTTATTATTTATTTTTATTTTTATAATAGTTCTTATTCTAATATTTCTAGATTGATGCTCATGTTGGGAGTGTAAATGATCTTGCCTTCTGTAACCCCAACAAGCAACTCTGCGCTATAACTTGTGGTGATGACACGACCATCAAGGTTGGTTAGCGAAAAACTGATTACACATATTGTTGTAGTTATTGTAAAAAGATATTTATATAACATGAAATTCTATAAATATTTAGGTGTGGGATGTGGCTACTGGTGCAAAGTTGTATGCTTTTGAAGGTCATGCAGCTCCTGTTTATTCAGTGTGTCCTCACAACAAGGAAAATGTCCATGTAAGGACTTCTCTTTATTTTTTCTTTTTGTTGCCTTGGATTTGTCCCAAAATTCTGTTCCTTCTCATGATGATTTACAATTTTATGCCTCAGTTTGTATTCTCAACATCAATAGATGGAAAAATAAAAGCATGGTTATATGACCTGGCTGGATCAAGGGTTGATTATGAAGCTCCCGGTCGATCGTGCACAACAATGGCTTATAGTGCAGATGGGAAAAGGTTGATTTAATGAACGAGTTGGTTTAGTATTCTAATGGTTTTGTGACTATGCATGTACATTCTTTCAAAAATTGATGCTTATATTAAACACCCTTTTGTAGGCTTTTCTCATGTGGGACAAGTAAAGATGGGGAATCACATGTTGTTGAGTGGAATGAAAATGAAGGTTCAGTAAAGAGAGCCTACCAAGGATTTCATAAGCATTCTTCAAGTGTTGTCCAATTTGACACAACCAGAAACCGGTTCTTAGCTGTTGGTGATGACTATTCAATCAAAGTTTGGGACATGGATAATGTCAATTTATTTACAACTATTAATGCTGAAGGAGATCTACCAGTAAGTTCACTATAGTATGAATTTATGTCATAAACATTTCTCTGTTGGCATTACTAATGTATTATATATATTTTCCATTTCTAAGGCATGTCCCCGAATCCGCTTCAACAAGGATGGCACACTATTGGCTGTTTCTGCAAACGAGAACAGAATAAAGATTTTGGCAACAGCAGATGGTGTTCGTTTGCTGCGCACATATGACAGTCATTCTCTCGTAGCCTCAAGAGTTGCATCCGAGACTCTAACAATGGTATGTTCTTATGACACAATCTCTTCTTAACTCATGGTTTTCTTTACATGTTGTTGTGGCGTTGCATGTACATTTTTATTCATTAGTCCAATTACAATCAGACACTTTAGAACACATTTTTGACACTAACAAAGTGAATATATTGCTCGCTAGAATGGCGGCACAAGAAACTTGGATGATGCGAAAACGAGATCAACTGAAGAATCCAATGCACCAAGACTCTGGAGGCTTACTGAGATCAGTAAGGCTGCTCAGCTCCGGTCATTAAGACTCTCACCTACAGTAAACATAGACAAGGTAGGCTTCTAATGGTAATCACGCCATGTCGGCCTCTACTGCAATATTGCTTCGAAGAAAATTAGCTTCTTTTAATTGCTCCTCCTGTTACTATGGCAGATCTCAAGGTTGATTTACACAAATTCGGGTACTTCCATTTTGGCATTGGCATCAAATGCTATCCATCTACTGTGGAAGTGGTTGCGAACCGACCAAAATTTGAGCACCAAGGTAATGCGGTTACATTAATCTTCTCTTAACAGTTCAAATTGATCAGTTTTTGTCACAGGTTTTGCTCCAAATACTGTAGTCTTATTAGTCTAAAATTATGGTGACACAAATTTCTCATGGTTCAGGCAACAACCAAGGCTGCTCCTCAGTTAGTACAGCCAACATCAGGCATGTTAATGACCAATGATTTAACCAATTCTAGACCAGAAGATGCTGTTCCCTGCTTTGCTTTGTCCAAGAATGATTCTTATGTCATGTCATCTTCCGGAGGCAAGATATCTTTGTTCAACATGATGTCCTTCAAGGTAACATTTTGGAAATTTTGAGTGGACAATAGTTTTTTCTTTTTCATCATGAAAGAAATTGCTACTGAAAAGATTGTTGGTTTTGGTGCTTATGATTTACTGATGTCAGTTTTCCTTTAGACTATGACGACTTTCATGTGTCCACCACCTGTGGCGACATTTCTTGCATTTCACCCTAAAGACAACAACATAATTGCTGTTGGCATGGATGATTCCACCATTAACATCTACAACGTCCGCGTAGATGAGGTATGCTCTTCCAGTTACAGATTTAACTTATAAGAATAATGATATAAAAGAAAGGCGAGCGAGTAAGCACATGCACAAAATTTATAATGATTCACCCCGCTGCAGCTTTTCATTTTGATGATGAAGAAGAATATTTGGGAATCACACGGCTCACACTTCTCTTACTCATTGTCTCATTCCCAAAACTAGCCCTCATTAATATAAGTCTAATTAAGGCAACCAAAATACATGTGCAAGTACCTCAATATACTCTGACAGGCAATAATTAAGCTCCACACACCCCAACACTTGCTCTAGCATAGAGGCTGAATAACTGACAAACTGTTTATTCAAAAGAAAATATGGTTATTTTCTTTCCTCTTGTCAGGTTAAGAAGAAGCTCAAGGGTCACTCCAAAAGAGTCACTGGTCTTGCCTTCTCTTTTCTTCTGAACACACTTGTTTCTTCTGGAGCAGATGCTCAGGTTCGCCATATCATTCTCCCTAGAATGCCTAGTTAGAATAGACACTGTTATACTTTCAAATCCGGAGACATGATTTTTGGTGTTTCCTTTCCTTTTTCCCCCCACCAGATTGTGTCATGGAACTCCGAGAGTTGGGAAAAGCAAAAGAGCACTTCCTTGCAGATTCCATCAGGGCGATCGGCGGCAGTATTGTCAGACACACAGGTTCAGTTTCACCAGGACCAGACACACTTCCTCGTCGTCCACGAGACTCAGCTTTCCATATATGAAGTTGCAGAGCTCAAATGCATAAAGCAGGTACCAAAAAAAGAAAACCAAATTCTTCTTTAATACATCATTGAGATTGGTATTGAAATATTTTAAAACATTGTCCTATTTCTTGCTTGCTTTCAGTGGGTGGCAGGGGAATCTTCGTCGCCGATCTCCCACGCGACATTCTCATGCGACAGCCAGTTAGTCTATACGGGCTTTCTCGATGGAGTCATCAGCATATTTGGCGCTGCAAATCTCCAAGAACGATGCCAAATTAACCCCACTGCTTATCTTCCAACCAATGTCAGGTAAGACAAGAGCCACATTAAATTCACAGCTTTCTCAATTCTCATCTCAAGTCTTTTGCAAGTTTATTTCGATGTAATAAGTAAAACATAAATCATCTCATTTACCAACATTTCTTTTGGCGATGACAGTGGCATGGTGTTCCCACAAGTTGTGGCAGCGCATCCACATGAACCGAACCAGTTTGCGGTGGGGCTAACCGACGGTGGAGTTGTCGTGTTGGAGCCGCCGGAGGCAGAAGGCAAATGGGGGTTGCCTCTACCACCTCCTCCATCAGCTGAGAATGGTTTGCCAACTCCAGTTGCTGCTTCTGGTTCTGATCAACACCAATGCTGATGTGATGGACTTGCTGAGAATATACTATATGTATATATATTTATTTATTTATGTCATGTCCTGTTACTTTGTAGACTACATCTGCAAATATAAGTTTGATTTTATGTTTTCTATAACAATGCAAGACCAATTTGAATTTCCTTAGGGTTTTTTTTTTTTTTTTTTTTTTTTTTGTATGTTTGCTCCATGTTTTGTTGCTTTGGTAAAAACTCCGTTAGTTTTTTAAGCTACTTTCTATTGGAACACCTCTTATGTTAAAATACCAACAACGAAAAATCCCACATCAATTAAATATGAGAAAAATATTTCAACAACAAAGATATAAGAATTCAATTACTTTACTTAAATTTAACATTTTAAGATATAATTTATAATGTATTATAGTACAAATACTCTGATCAAATTTTTTATCCATAATTTCTTTGTCTTCTCTCTAATTCTACTATCTTTCTTGAATCGAAAAATGAGATTGAGATTGTTTATAGGTTATACTGGTTATTTTTACAATCTGAAACTCTAAAAAAGTGGTATGGGTTAGAGATTTAAATTTAAAAAACCCACAATATAAAATATCAAAGAGATTTAAATTTAAAAAACCCACAATATAAAACATCAAAGAGATTTAAATTTAAAAAACCCACAATATAAAATTTAAAAACCCACAATATAAAATATCAAAGTGAAGCTACTCAATTCTCTCTTTTGCCAATTAAGGTTTTCATTATCTGCCTTCAGATAATGATTCTGCATATCCTATTTTGTAATTCGAATTTATGTAACAAATTTTTTATAGTCATTCTGGAGTTATAGTAGATAATTCAGTATATAAAAGTATGAATATAAGCAACACAAAAAAGTGTTATAGTACCATAGCTCATTCCAACAAGTCCTATGTCATGCTCTTTTTTTTTTTTTTTTTAAAAGACTTTTTTTTTTCAATATCTTCCAATTTTCTCAAAGGAGCCACAATCTCATTGTTGTTGTTGCATCTAATCGCACTCAAATGCATAACTATGGTGATGCTGCTCAATTGCTTCTCAAGAAAAAAAAATAACGTAAAATTAAGACTTACCATAATTGGGAACTCCAAAACGATTCAAATTAGAGGAGCTTGCCACTATTCGTGAAACGAGAAGAAAATCCAATCAAGCAACTTTCAAGTTCAAATCAGTAGGGAAATTTGGGGGAAAGAGGAGGAACCCTAGGAAGTGGTATTTGCGGGATTTTTTTTTTTTTTTTTTTTTTCTTTTTTAGGGGGAAAATGAAGGGGTACTCGGACAGAATAAAAGACAAAGCCCTAACAGACTTACACAATTTTACTTAAATACCCTCCATTATTTTATTTTTTAATGTCACATAATCAATTTCCGTCCATTTAATACACGAAACAAGACAGAGGAGTTATTCGATACGTTTTCTATATATAATGGGTGTTTTGACTTATTTTACAAAGTCATGAGGCATTTTGAACAAAGTACGTATTTTAGGGGTTATTTATGAAAATAATTCTTAATAATATGGTGTCGTTTCATTCATATTTTGTTTTTATTTTTATGCTACTGTCCCAATGTAGTAAAAAAAAAGAAAAAAGAAAAAGAACAAAATTCATTCAAACGATTTGCTTAAGAACAACTCCAATTATACTAATTATTTCATATTTTTAATTAAAATGGTTAATGATTTAGTTAGAATTTAGCTTTTCTCCACTCTAACTAATGTTTAGCTATTTTAGAGAATCCATTTCACACTAGTTAAATATAGTTAGCAAAAAGTGACTAACTATTTAATTTTTTGTATTATTTATTATTTCAAACTATAATAAACGCAAATGTTCTTTTAAAATTCAATAAAGTTATCTATATTTTTAAACTCAATAAATATTAAAATAATCTATAATTAATTAAAATAAAGAATATGGTTAGAGTGGCTCACTAAAAAGTTATTAGCTAAAATAACTTTTTAACCATTTGCATTTAGAGAGCTATTGAGAATGCTATTTTAGTTAGAACTTAACTAAAATTTAGAGAGTTCGTTTAGAATACTCTAAGACCTAATTTATTTCACCAATTTGAGTTTAAAATTTAATTTTTAATATAATAAATTTTTTTTAAAAATAATTATATTTAATTTTTTTATTATAATATAAAATTTTCATATAAAGTTACATTTTAATTCAAATTAGCGAATTAAACGGATCCTGAAACCGTTTAGTCCCGTGATACAAGGGTGGGTGTGGGGTAGGGATCGCATGGAGTTTGGTTTCCATTTTGTGTTATTATTAAAATTTCATGCAAAAAAAATACTTTAAAAAAAGTTTTTAAAAAAAGACTTTCACCTGGCAAAGTCTTTTCATCTACTTCTACATACTTCTAAAACGGTGTTCAATTTCCCATATCTTGTAAAACCCTACCTAAAACCCTAAATCTGCCTCTGCCTCTACCTTTGGCTCTTCGATTCTCATTCTCAACAAAACTCTTTCTTGGTCTTTTCTCCGAATTCGAGTTTTCCTCTCTCTAATTCTCCCTGGAAATGGAGGTCAACAGAATTTGCTCAAACGTCGCCGTTTTGGATGGTTCTCTCTCCTCTGCGATGGAGGCATTGGTGGCTGAGGCAGCCATTGCAGCTTCCAAGTCTATTGCTTTGTCACTCTTCCTGGTAGAATGTCTGAATTTTCTCTAATTTTGTAAATTTCTCATGAATTTTACTCTTTCCTGGATGCGAATTTGGCCGTTTACCTTTGGGTCTGAATTTTTAGATTTTTATTTGCCTAGCAACAAAGCTCTGTCCTTTACTTTGGATATTAGGGTTTCCGACCTAATATTGTCTCAGTTTCTTGTGCCTCTATGTTTTTTGGTGATTCTAAGCTTTCTCATTCTTTTCCCTTATTTTTGTTTTTATTCACCTTTTTTTCAAAGAAGTTTGCCAAAAATGACAATATGAGAAACTCAAATTAGCAAAATGACCTTGTTTACATTTAGAATTTCTTCATTCGTTGTATTTTTGTGTAATTTATGCGTTTTGTTTCTCTGAACTCTGAACTTATATTCCATTAGATGGTTTTCTTCTTAGCACAACTGATGTGCGTATGTGTGTGTGTGTGTGTGTGTGTGTGTGTGTGTGAGTGTGTGTGTTTTATTTATTGCATATTCACAATTGTTTTTTCAGATCGGATCTCTGTGTAATACAGTTGACGTGTTTCTCAAAGAACCCAACGACTTCGGAGGGTTAGTGGCTTGATCTTTGTGCTTTCTTTATTTCCTCTTGAAATTCATCAGTAGTAGGATGAAAGCAATTGTACTGTCGCAGGTTTCCCATTTCTGAGCTTTTTGCAGTGGAGAAACCTGGTCCTGAGAACAAAGATGGCAGCGAAACTGAGAATGGTGACGGAGAGGATAAAGACGCCGATGATCAGGATGATGATGATGATGAGGAAGGTGGTGATGATGATGATGACGATGATGCTTATGGAGAAGAGGGTGAAGAGGAGGAAGGAGATTCAGAAGATGAGCCCAGGGCGAATGGTGATGGTGGAAGTGAGGATGAAAAGGACAAGGATGAGGATGACGAGGACGGTGATGATGATGAAGGGGAAGAAGAGGAAGAAGAGGAGGAGGAGGAGGACGAAGATGAGGAAGAGATACCTCAGCCACCTGCTAAGAAGAGGAAATGATTGCTTTTCTCTCCCATTTCTTTTCCAAATGGCTACTTTATGTTGTAGGAAATCTCAAATTTGTACGGAAATACGGTTGGATTCATGTTACTTTTCCGTATATAGGGTAGAATTGCTTGCTGTATTTGTACCTTTGATAGTTTCTTAATTATAAAGCCTTGTTTAGTTACTATGTTTGTTATTTAGATTCGTTCCCTGATTTGAATCATAGTTCGTGATTCGCTACAGTATTTTCTCTCACAAAAAATATACGTAAATCGAAAATGAATCACATGGTTTTAATCCATGAACCAAACGTCACCATGATTTCAGACTTTATGGGAGCATACATAGAAGCAATATTTGGTACAATTTTTATTTTTTTTCTCTCAATAATTTATAAACAGGCTGGGACATCAATGTTGAGGATGAGAGCAAATACAATAGAGAAAGGAGCCACAGTTATCGGTTCGGACACACTTTTATTTATTGGGTCCAAGGGTGGTATGACTCCAGATGAATCTACATTTAATATTTTGCCATTTAGATGCACATTTTGGCTCTCTAAATTCCCATTTTTAGCCGTTAGGTGGTATTCTTCTCTTGTTATATTTTCGCTAGATATCGATCCTTGAGACATTGTAGACGGTGTTGTTCTTCGATGTTCCGTATTCAAAGTCTTGGAGCTTGCATCAGTCTCAGTTGAAACTCGGACATTAACTGTAGTGTCTTTCTCTAGGTTGATCAGGAGCAATGTGATTCCTCGCTGCAAGATCAAATGGATGCTTATGAGTTCTCTATGTACCTCACGAAAAATCTGGATGTTAAAATTAGCACTAGATTTTCGCTTACAGTTTTCTTGGAACAGTGAGCATAAGCGCGCATTTTCGTCGTCCCAGAAAAGTTTGTTGAGATGACATTGTTTCCCATTAATCGATGCCAAAGAAGAGCACTGTAAGGCAAAAACAACTCGGCATATTTACGTATACTTAAATATGTTTTTCCCTGTTCTTTTTATTTGTTTCTCGGTATTGTTGTGGCTCTGAAAAAGAAGGAAAGGGTAATTCAGGAGTAACCTGTAATAATCTGGATTTGGGACAAAAGTGTTAGTATTGAGAAGACCATAATTTCCGCCAATTAATGTTTGTCTGCAGTATGTTTTGGTATCATAAGATGCTGCCATACCCAGCTGATCCAAGTACCTGTTTGATGGGGCAGCAAACATGGTCTTCAAAATCTAATAGTCGGAATGTGAAGAAGGGGAAAAATAACAAATCTGCAGTCTGCTATTAGCTTTACCAGAAACTGAACACAAAGGCATTGGTGACGAGATTGCGGCCACTGTTATAAGCCCCTCCTGCTTCGCCAACCCAAGCAACTGCTGACGTCCCTGAATGCTTAAGAATACTTTGTAGGCTACCGAAAGTCCCCGACTCGCTGCTGAGAACAGACGGGTTTAGGATCTTGTCAATGAGATGCTCATCACTGCCTAAGTATGACAAAATAGAAAGGAAGATATGTCATTTTGCAGCTGCTTCTATTGAGACTGTATACTTGAAACTGAGATAGGACTGCCAGAAGACAGATTAGAGAACGGACAAATTATCTGGTAACCTTTTCGAAGTCAGATTTTTCAGTTTACCTGGACCAAGGTTGTAAACGTGGTGGGTAACTACTTGAAGAGACTTTGGCGTTTTGTCTAAGAACTCTGTGAACCAAGTGGGGTCAAAGAACCCTCCTGGTGCAAGAACCAATGGCTTGACTTCAAAACCTTCATAGATTTTTTGGACAATGTTTTGCAGATGGTTAATGTCAGATGCATATTGGTCTGGCGCAACTCCTGCTCCAATTCCGCGCCCGCTCAGTTCATTCCCTGATAAGCAGAAATTGCGACTTAGTTACACAAGCTTTAAATCCAAGCTGCAAGTTTCTTATATGAGCCTTAATGTTCAAAGTTCTTACCAAGTTCCCAACCATGAATTTTATATCCCTTGTTGACCGTATACCTCATAAGAGATTCAGCGTTACTGGAATTCCAAGCTCCGGTGGCAGAACCTTGGGAATCTATTGTCCTGCCCCTTAGCGCATTTAGACCAAAAACAACAACAGCCCTGCATTTAAGAAGTATATATATAGTTATATAGATTGTATTGTGAAATGTTAAAAGAGGAGAAGAAGAACAATAAAGAGGCAATGCAAAGTAAAAAAGGCCATTGTTACGGTTACCCAGTTCTGTTGAAGAAAGTGTTTAGTTCGTCCCACCGAGACATAGGTAAGCAGCCTTGAGAGAAGCCAAGCAAATCCGAGTCTTTTTTGACAAACGGGGTACAAGGCTGTTTATTGTCTTGTGTCTCGTATATGACTTTGTCTTGCAAAGTGCCCCCAAGCCTAATTTTCAGGGATGAAAATGCTGCAATACGATCAAAAGATTCAAAAACTCTGTGAGTTCTTACTTGGGTCGGAAGAAACATGCTGTTTCGGCTTTTGTATGCGAGTAGAAACGTCGTTTACCTCGTATTGCATTTACAAGTATAGGATCGTTAAGGTCCTATCAACAAAAGGAAAAAAAAGCAAGAGATATACGTTTCAGTAGAAGAAGAATCAATCTTATGAAAGGAAAAAGTTAGAAAACAAATAGAAATTATTACGAGGATAAAAGAATGAGCTTATGACAGAATCTTTATGTTAGTTGAGAAATTTTACTTATGCCGCTATTTTACAAAAGGAGAATATAACGCGGCCCTCTTGAATAATTCAAATATGTTGTTGTCCCCTCATTTCATAAGAAAAATTATATTTGTGCCCACATTGAATAACTGAAATATATAATTATATCTCCATTTAAGAAAATATCATCTCTAATTTCCTTTTAGAGTACCCCACCCGAAAAGTTTTTTTTGGCTCTTCCTTTGTTTCTCATATAAAATAGTATAAATTGACAAACTGAGTAGAATTAAACATTTCTGAAACATTAAAACCAGAAAAGATACCAAGTACTGTATTCAAAAGAAGAAGAAAAAAAAAAAGGCGGCTCACTAGATTGAGAAGAGAAGCTGTGCCCCAGCTACAAGTTCCAAAGTCACATTTATCAGGAGGCCACCAATCAATAGTGGCGCAGACAAAGTCGTCGTCTATTCGTCCGATCGGAGCTGTTCCGTTGACAAAAACGGTACCCCGCTGCGTCTTCGAAGCTACTGAGCTTGAACTGTGAGTCCAATGGTATATCCCCAAGCACAAAACTATGAAAACTAGCAGAGACATCTCATAGAATAGATAACGTCTATCCAGGGCTTAGAACCTTGTTGGTTTAGAAAGGATCAAGAACAACTAACTAACATGTTTTGTGTTTGTACGAGTGTGAAAAAGAGAGAATCCGTAAACTGGAAATCTGAATTCCTAATGAATATTGCACTCCATTTGCATGTTTAAATATCCGAAGAACATTTCTGTGAAGTAGACAATCTTGCTCTTTTTTTTTTTTTCTTTTTTTTTGATTGGTCTTTACTTTAGCATCTATGAAGCGTTAGTCGGGGCAGTCAACGATTAGTAACGTCCAGACTCCATTTGCTTAAGAAGTAAAGGATTTGGAATAGTCAACTGAGGGTTCTCTTGCTTTATTAAAAAATAAAAAATAAAAGAGAGAGAAAAAAAAAAAAACTTAAAAAAGGAAAAAAAAAATCCCAACTCGTTTGTCGAATTATAGCTATTTGAAAAATTATTGGAAGTCCTAAAAAGAAGGGTGGAATTGAAGGTTGTACCTGAGGACTTATTTCATATATGCAGCTATTCATGATCTTTATGTAATTATAACTTTGTAAATACTATGTAACAGAAAAAATGACTATTTAAAATTATAGTTATAAAAATAAATGTCATGTTATATTTATATCTTTACTTATTATAATATAGAACTGGACTAAACCGGTCATTTAAAAGACGAAAATTAAATCAGTGTGTGTATAAAATAATAATAAAAAAAAATCACCAACCCCACCAACTCTGTCGAATTTTAGCTATTGAAATGCTGCATTGATATATTCCTCAATGCCATTTGCATCAAAATCCACATTACATAATGCTGAGCAGAAAGAAGACTTCTTTGCTTCTCCCATCTTTGTCGTCTCTTGAATTATTAGTTATTATAAAGCCTAGGCATCAATAATTAGCAGGGAGTTAAATTTGCTATATGATTTTTCAAAGTTGATTATTAAGTACCAACCTATTTAGAACAGTAGAACACTAACCCATTTCTTTTATGCAGTTAATTAGCTCACCAAACGCTAGAAATTTAGCTAGGTTTATAACGCAAGAGACTGGGTCCCGTTCATTTCGCTGATTTGAGTTTAAAATTTGAGTTTTACTATAGTAAAAAGCTCTCAGAAACAGTCACATATAACTTTTTTATTACAGTAAAAAGCTCTCACACAACATCATATCTCAGCTCAAATTAAAAACTCAAATTAGCGAACTGAACGGACCCGAATAAGTAAATAAATTACTAGTTTTCTTCTTGAAATCAGTGTAACCGAGGAAGGTCTAACTATACTATTTTATAGCTTTTGCGAAGAATTTTCTTGAGGAAGGTAGTTACCAGTTCCGCAATATGGAATCTTTTGCTATAACTAACTAGGCCAGTTTTGTTCTTCAAAATGTGTAAGAATCATATTGGTCTATATGCCCTTTTGTTTATTAGATTAGATAGATACAGATTGAGATTAGCGTGTAATGTTTGGCTAAGAGGAAACGTTCTGGCAATTACAATAATTAATTTATAAAAGAGCAAGGGGGACCACTTATAATGACGAAATTAAGCACTTTGTTCCAAAACCCCCCAAAAACAAAAAAAAAAAAAAAAAAAAAAAAAAAAAAAAAACATCAAGTTATAAACTATAATAATCATTCATAGAGTACTGGTCCGTTTGGTAATTATAGATTTGAATAGAAGTTCTATAAGATAAAACGTTATAACAAAAAGGTTTAAACTGTAATTCAAATTAATAAAATAAACATGCGAATCATTATTATTTTAAATTGGTACAACAACAATCAGTATTGTTTTTTTTGTTTTTTTCTTCTCTTTTCTTTTAAGAAGCAGTAACACAAGTTGCTATTTTATGCCCCGTTCACTTCGCTGATTCGAGTTTAGAATTTAAGTTTTTCTACAGTAAAAAACTCTCACAAACGATCACATCTAACTTTTTTGCTACAGTAAAAAACTTTCACATAAAGTCACATCTCAATTCGAATTCTAAACTCGAATGAGCGAAGTGAACGGGGTCTTAGACTCTCTAAAAGTTTGCATTTGGTAGAGCTCCAACCAAGGGAGGGTGATTAACTAATTTTAATAAAGAGTTTTTTTTTTTTTAATTATTATGAGCAAATGATAATAGCACATGTGTATACATATATATATATATATGATCAGATCGAACCAAAAAGTACGTTTATGTGAATACATGATACATTTGTATGACTTGTTGATAGTCAAAGTCAGTTTCACTGTTCCAGAAAGTTCTCATTTCTAGTCGAACTATTGGGCGCGTTCATTTTGTTTTTTGTATGAAAATAAAAATGAAAGCGTTTTCAATCTCAGACAGAAATTATTTTTGAAAATGCGTTTAGTAATTTTATTAAGAGATTGTTTTCAATATAAAAAAACTCATTAATGTTTTTGTCTCTTTCTCTCTACTTGAAAGAAGAAAAAACGAAAACAAAAAATAAAAAACAACTAAAAGTTATTTTTCATTCCTCTCTTATTTTACACTAAATCAAAAAATCATTTTCATTTCCGTTTTTTATCTTTATTGCGCCAAACGCCGTTTTAGAAACGTTTTATTTTTTCTTTTTTGAAAAACGTAAAAAATAAAAACAAGATCAATTTCAAACACGACCACTATTTCCAGTATAGCAATAATTCGTCTTATATTGTGCAAACTTGAACGAGTCTTCAATTTTTATTTTTATTGAATTATTTGAACTTTGGTAATTATCTGAAGGGAGAAATAGGCCAAGACTTGAGATGAATTAAAATTAATAGGCTAATAATTTACATAAGTTAATAAATAGGCCAAATTACTGTTTTCGTCTATAATTTGTCTGGCTATGAACCATAACTTGACAAGTTTGTCCATAACTTATCTGGTTATGAACCATAACTTGACAAGTTATGGCCTATTAATTTCTATAACTAAAAATTGACCTATATACTTTCATAAGCTTTTCATATTGGCCTATTTTATACCATTTCTCTTATCTGAATTTCAATCCATTTATTGGGTCCTTATTTTGACAAGTCCAAAAAAAAAAAAGGAAATTCCAAAAGAAACCAACTTTGTGTGGATTCGGACGGCGAGAAATTAAAGGGCCCTAATAATGCCCCACTAAATGGTGCATGCATGCTTGGTAGTAAGTAATGCTAGTGCATCTCTCTATCAAGAGAGGGACCGAATATATATATATAATACGGGGAATCTTGATTTCACTTCCCAGTTTGGAATAATCTAGCATTCGAGTAAAAAATATGGTTCAAACTTCAAACTTCCTCCAGTTTTTCATATCAAATGCCAATTAACCTTGCTAAAAATCAAATTTATCCTACAAAGATTGTTAAGGTAAATGTGGATTAATGTGGAATTGCTACTAAGTTAAACATGCAACTATAGAAAGCAGAAGATAATGAGCTAAAGTATTGGATGCTGAATATTTGTAACACCTTGTCATAGTTCGAATTAGACTAAAATATATTATATATATTTTTCAACAATAAGTATGAGAGGCACATAAATATTGTACCTGTTGAATTCGAAAAATAATTAAAAAATAAATAAAATAAAAAGAGGACTGAAAAAATAAAACAAAAGATATGTCCTGAAAAAATAAAAATAAAAATAAAAATAAAAATAAAAGGGGACAGAGATGGAATCATGTAGCATGGGATTAATTAGAATGATAGAGAATATAAGATATGTCAACTTTGGTACAATATTTCCTCTGATTAATTATTTTCTCTTTTAAGCTTAATAGTACAGTCAGTAGTTTTTCCTATCAAGTTATGAATAAGATAATCTGACATTTTTCTACCACATATCCTGCCATTTTAGGAAATATATTGATTGTGATATTCTGTTGGCATATATGTGGAAAGAAAAATCTAGAAAAATATATATTAATCAAGCCTCATTCTTAATTTTCCCCCTATATTCTGCAGAAGGAGTTGCAAAATATCACGTGCTGATATGTTACCCCCTAAATTAAAGAACATTTCGATTTTATTCCTTTTCTCGTCGACGAATATTATCCCTTATTTTATAGAAACAAATTCAGTTATTGCCATCCTAATTAACAAGATCAATCATATAAATCTTGGATAGGACCTTCAAAAACATGCAATCACGATTAAGCGTTTGCTTTCCAATATTTCATACACTAAAAAGCCAAGACCAAAAACTAAGCAAATAATTGTGGTATATTAGTTTCGTCGATTGCAGCCATGATCATGAAGTTTCTATGCGTTGTTTTGGTATTCATCACTCTCGCGGTTGGCGGTAAATAACAGTAGTACTTGCACACTTAAATTTCCTTGTTCTTTCTCTAATGACCTCAATTAAAACAAATAACTTATAATGGTTTTCATTTTCTTTTTCAATACGTATATACATTTCCGGGGTTTTTTTTTTTTTTTTTTTTTTTTTTTAAATACAATACGAGATCAAACCAGCGTCAATTCAAACCTGTCATAAACTTTATAAGTTATAAGTAATATTATGTTGTACTTCAGCAATATTAGTGAAAGGATATTGACATGGTGATGCAGTTTTTTCATGTCGCGTTCAGGTAATTGCCAGTGCGCCATACAGGACATTCAAATAGCTAGGTCTCGGACCGGAGAATTGGTCGAAAATAAGCCGGAGTGGTCGGTGACGATCAAGAACGAGTGTTCATGCACTCAATTGGATCTACATCTAGACTGCAACGGATATCAAACGGTCAAACTAGTTGACCCTTCTATATTGAGCATATCCAATGATGGTCAATACTGCCTGGTCAACAATGGTCAACCCATCTATGCCTTCGGAAGTATCAGCTTCACTTATGCTTGGGATACTTCCTTTCCTTTCCGTCCAATATCCTCCCAAATTGCTTGTTCTTAGAGCCAAATTTCGCGTCTTTCTGGACACGATTAATAAGAGCTTTAAGCTTTTTTTTTAATTATTTTTTTAAGGTAATAAGAGCTTTAAGTTTTGTATAATGGAATTGTACTATTTTGGTACTATAATCTTTTTTTCTCCTGCACCAATATATATGAAGAAGCATAAGTCCAACATGCATGAAACGATAAGTGATTTTGAGTCTGCAATTGGCTTTTCTTTATTAGAGATAACATTCTTAACCTTTTCATACCAATATTGGAGTGATCAGAGGAAAAAGAGTGAACGACGGCCGGAGTTCTGGGCCACCTCCGGATGCGTCGTCGGGCTCCCGACCATGAAACTTGGCCCTCCGGCTCGTCTCGTCGTGAGCTTCTCATTGATGGTGGTGGTGTACACGGTGTTGTGACTCTATTTGGGTGGATCTAAACCAATTTGGAGCTTAAAAGCCGAATGAATGAGCTTCGTTTCTAGGCGAGTTTTTCATTTTTGTGGCTGAGATTTTTTGGCTGGCTATCTCCCTTGACGGCCCATTGGCCGGTTGTCCTTCACCGGAGGCTTCTAAAGGCGGTGGTCATAAGTTTTTTCTGCTTTTCTTATGTAATTTATGTGTTTGTAATAAGTGCGGTGGTCTCCCTACCCGACCCTCGTTTGTCATACTGTTTGTTCTTAGTTTTTGGTGATCGGCTTAAGACCGTTTGTATGTCTCCTGATAAAGTTGTCTTGGTCCGGCTAGAATTTTTTTTATGTCGTGTAGACATCCCCTCTTTGTGGGGGATCCAGCGCTCGAAAGTCTATCTCGATGACAGTGGCGGAGCTAGGATTTTGATTCAGGAGGGGCGTAAACTAAAAACGTAAAAAATGCTAATAAAATCAACTCCAAACATTTTTGGATGAGTAGTATATATGTATAGACTATTGAACATACTTGAGTAATAAATATTTTAACAAGTAAATTAGATAAGAAAAACTATTTAGGAGGTACATAATATTTATGAGAAAATAGTAACTGCGAGTGCAAGAAGGGGGAAAAAAGATCTTTAAGTATGTAGGACATATTTGAATAAATATATATTACTTTAATAAGGGCAAATTAGAGAAAATGTACATGTGAAAGAGTCATAATTGAGAGGATTGTTTGAAAAATAAAATCTTAATTAGGGACACATTTGGAGAGAAAAATATTTTAATGGGTTATTTTTTATATAGCTTATATTAGACCGAAAAATATTTTAGAAGGGACCAATTTGAAAGAAAAATTATTTTCGTAAGAATAAATTAGAGAAAAATCAATTAGGTACATTTAGAAATATAAGATTTAATAGGAAAAGATCAAAAGAACAATATAAGGAAATAAAATAATTTGAGATTGAATTTTGTGAGGATATATTTGAAATTTTTATTGATAAGGAGGGCATATATGAAATTTTTTTGAGAAAACATATACTAAAATTTAAATATAAAAAATAAAGGGGGCATATGCTCCCCCCGAATTTTATATATGCTCGTTATTAGTGTGCCGAGGTGTTCTCTTGTTTTTAGACTTCAGACGTGCATCCGTCATTTTAATGGGTTATTAACTTTGTACCAAGATGATTGTTTAGAAATTTCTCTTAAAAAAGAAAAGAAAAAACATGCATGAAACGAAGTTGCAAGGCTACACAGATTTATTTAGTTATTTATTTATTTATTTTTATAGTGCCACTCACAACGTTTTAATTCCATGAAAAATGACATTTGACTCTGGATCACCTTCAATTTCATTAATTTTCTTTCCTTCTTTCGCCAAATATTAATTTGTGATGACTACCCAGCATTTTTTTAGAGTACATACGTCTATAGCCTATAGGTAACTTCTGGAAAAAAAAAAAAAGATTTAACATAATCCTTCAGGTTTATAATTTGAGACATTCTCTAGTACGTTAACATACTGATAGATCAATTTTTTTGTACATAAAAACACGTAAAAGTTAAAAAATACGCAGATTTAACAATTATAAAAATTTGACATACTAATTATCGTACCAGAAAATCTCCCTAATAATTTTTCATGGGTTTTGTGGTTTACAGTTCGACTCAATAATTACAAGATTAATGAAATGTACATAATTGACTTTATGCATTTACATAATTATAAAGGAAACTAATATTGACTAGTAAGTAGTAAAGTAATTATAATCACAAAAAAAAAAAAAAAGTTCATGTGGACAAGTGATTGATACCTACCATAAATATAAACAGAAAATCCAAGTCTCCACATTCTCATATCAATCAATATATTCAATACAAACAAGAAAGATCGCCTCACCCCATTTCTCTCCACTCTCCACCAACGCTAAGGATTATTCCTTATTCCCTCACACAAAAAAAAGAAAAAAGAAAAAAGAAAAAAAGAAGAAGATTCCAAAACCCAACACACAAATGGCCATCACAGTAAAATCTCTTATTGCAATTGTGATTATGAGTTGTCTCATCAACAAAGGTAAGGCAATTTTTCCATCACAACATGTATACTCTACATATATAACTCGTGATTCATATATAATAATACCATAATTAGCTGTGGCTGCTAAATTTTGTTCAATTATACATGTAAAAATTCATTTAGTTATTCTTGTTCATGATTATTTGGATGGGATTTGATTGGATATGGCAGGATTAAGTGGAAATAATTGCAGTTTGGACGACATAAACATAGGAACGGTGAGAACCGGGAGAGAGATAAAGGAGAAACCGGAGTGGAACGTGACGGTGATTAACAATTGTGGGTGTGCTCAGAAGGCCATAGAACTGAGTTGCAAGGGATTTCAGACGGCTGAGCCTCTTGATCCGTCGACGCTGCTGCAGTCAAAGCAAGGGGACACGTGTCTCCTCATCAACGGTTCTTCGTTGGAGGGATTTGATTCTGTGAGATTCTCCTACGCTTGGGATCCTCCCTTTCTGCTTTTGCCTGTCGACTCTCTGATTAGTTGCTGATCTCATTTGGAATAATATTCATCTTGTCTCGGAAGAAATGTGTTTGAAGGGAAAAAATAATTGAATTGTGGTTTTTTCACCATCTCTATATGAGTAAGAAAAAAAGGATATTTTTCCAATATAAAGTTTGGTGTCGTTTACGGCATACAATGGCGTTAAAGTATGCTTGTCGTTTTATTTGACGCTTCAATGTTGCTCTTGTTACGTACAAATGACATGTCGTTTTTCATTTTGAAAAGCTTGCTGTCTTTGTTTTTATTCGTAAAACAGCACTTTCGTTTAAACGACATGTTATTTTCTTTCAAAGTTCTGTCGATTATCCAAATAAACGACACGTACCTTCATCTGCCAGTTTTCCTGTCGTTTACTTTTATGCTACGGAACGACATATCCTTTTGACGACAGAAAACGATGAGTCTCTCAAATATCAGGCCGCTTTTGTTCTTCAAGAAAAAAAAGTAAATCTTGATAAATAACTTTTAAAGTGTATGAATCATTATTTTTATTCTTTATTTTTAATTCATAATCTTTTAATTAAATAATTACACTAATAAAAATATTTTTTTCAAAAATAAAAAATAAAAATCTAAATTCATGCACTTTTAAGAGTAAATTCTTTATTTTTTAAAGAAAAGAAACCTAGGTGGCTCTATTTGAGGAGGAAAAAAAAATGACTACGACATGATGCCTGAAAGCAGCATACTCTTTTTCGGTCTTGTCGTTTTGAAAAACCGATATGTCTACCATTATAAATTATTATTCACATTAGAGATGGTAAGTAGAGAGCACTTTACTTAATTAAACCTCTACTAGAGTTTTTCAATCCTCGGGAGGGGATAAAATCAACTTAAATTGAGTTTCTAATTTGTCTGCATTTCACTCCAATTATCGGATAAATTACTTGAGCTGCATAAAAGAAAATCATCAAGAACTTGAAGTTAGAAAGGGAATGAAATGAAAGAAGAGAGGAGCTGAAAACTCTTCATATTAAAGGCTACATAACATTTCAAAATCCATAAATTACTCGTACCCTATTATTGAGTCCTCATTCTTGCTGATAAGTTGGCATAATGACATATATGTGTATAGTTTACTAAATTTATATAGGGTAATTTATTTTCAATTCTGAATTATTATTCTTCATTGAGAAGTTACAATATATGCATTTTTTAAAAGAAAAAATATTCAAGATCAAACAATTTGGAGAAGATGGTCAATTATCTATTCCAAATTCTAAAATTATAAAAAAATTTATATTACTTATTTTCATATAATTAACAGTGATATTTTTTTTTTATTTAGATACAATATTGATGTTCTCATGTGTCAATATGTCATGAATTAATTTAATAAATAAAAACTATTATATATATATTAGTATAATCTTAATAAAAAAAAATAAACCCCCTACCGATAAATCATGACTCCGTCACTATTGCAGGAAATTGCCAGTACAGTATAAACAACATCAAAATTACTGAGTTTAAGGGCCTATTTAGTTCGCTGATTCGAGTTTTTAATTCGAGTTGAGATATGACTTTATGTGAGAGCTTTTTACTGTAGCAAAAAAGTTAAATGTGACTATTTATGATAGCTTTTTACTGTAATAAAACTCGAATCGGTGAAATGAACGGGGCCTAACACAGGAGCATTGGTGCAAAATAAGCCGGAGTGGTCAGTGACGATCAAGAACGACTGTGTGTGCTCGTAATTGAATCTTCAACTAGACTGCAAGGGATATCAAACTACGAAATAAGCTGACCGGCCTTCTGTATAGAGCGTCTCCGGTGGTCGCGGCCTGGTCAACAATGGTCAACCCATCTATGGCTTCAAAACAATCAGCTTCACCTATGCTTGGGATACTGCCTTTCCATTCCACCCAATTTCCTCCACATTAGCTTGCTCTTAAGCCTTTTGACTAATATGTTATGCCTTAAGAAATGCCCTATTGTTGTTTTTAAATAAGAAGTGTCTACAATTAGCGTTTAATGAAGAGCTAATTATGTCAGTATTGCAAATTTTAATATTAATATAGAAGTTTCTTGGAATTGTTTTTCTTTCTGGAGTGTCTGTGGTTGATAGTTCTTAAACGCGATGAAAATTGCAATTAAAACTGACTTTATGGCGCTACAATAATCACAAAATTGCAATGAATGTTGGTACTAACGAGTAAGGTACATTTTTTTTTTAGGGAGCAGAAAACTGATTTTCCTACCATTTACCAATACCAATTTCCAAAAGAGCAGTTTTATTTGCACTCAATAAAATTTATAAATACACCCCAATTAATTAATATTTATTAACATATATCTAAAAATTCAATCCTTTTATAGACACTTTTTATATGATTCCCAATCTAACCTTCCATACCCCACCTCCCAACCAACGCTTTCATTTTCATTTTATGATGTTTTATAAAACGAAAAATAATTAGCCAATCTCAACAATAATAAAAGCTTTTCTCATTGTCAAAAAAAAAAAAAAAAAAAAAAAAAAAACCCCAAACCCAAAAAAAAAAAAAATAACAAACCCAAAAAAAAAAAAAAATTTTTTCTTTTTAAAAAAAAAAAAAAAAAAAAAAAAAAAAAACTCCATATGCCAAGAAGAAAAACACTTATCGTCTGCAAGCTTACAAACGAACTTTGAAATCTTTTCAACATAAATATTACAATTGAAATACCCAAAGTTTTAGCAAAACTAAAAAAATATGGTTTTAGAAGCCACCTCTTACGCATTGTTATATGAAAAATCAAACAATTTTTCTATTTATAATTGATGTGGTTTACATATAAAAAGATGTATTCTTAATGGGTATTATTGTAGGTTAAAATTATAATAAAAGTAAATTCTAATTCGGTGGGGGAATTTATGAATATTAGGGATGCAAATAGAATTTCTCTTTCAAAAAATATTTACATCCATAATTTTTTTCCCGTGGAATGGGGGCCCACTTGGACCCGCACCCGTTATTATTGGCTCAATCTCTGTATGACTCGCTTTAGTTTATGGGTCATATCGTTAGTATAAGCCTAAAAGTATTTTCAGTCTCATTCGAAGTGTTATTTTTTATTTTAAAATTTTGAGAAAATTATTGAATTTAATATATGAATCTGAATTTTTATTCTTACTTTTAAATAAAATTATTTTTACTAATATAATTATTTAATTAAAAATAATATTAATTAAAAATAAATGATAAAAATTTAAATCTATGCGAGCGAGTCAGAATCAGCTTGTTAGGCTTTAAGGCCAAGTTGGACTACCCTCCTCCTTTTAAAGTCGAGTCAGCTTAGCCTGAAGATCAGACGGCCCAAACTTTAAGCTATAGGGTCATATTGATTCACTTCTCTCCCTCTCTCTCACCCTCCATCTTCAAATATAATTTACTGCGAGTCTGTTTAATTTATTGATTTAAAATTTTAATTTAAGTTGAGATGTGATTTTATGTAAGAATTTTTTATTGTAATAAAAAAATTAAATGTGACTATTTTTCAAAACTTTTTATTATAACAAAACTCAAATTAGTGGAGTGGAGTGGACAGGGTTACATGTCGTTATTTGCTGGTTTTCTGTCTTTTTACTTACGACATGTCGTTTTAGTGAAAATATAATTCTTTTTTTTTTTTTTTTTTTTCTGTGGACGCCGGTGTAGATTCGTCACTCGTCCAACTCACTCCATCAGATTCCGTAACCGAGTCTACTCGTTCGTTTTAGATAGAGATACATAAAACAGAAAGAGAGGGAGAGGGCAAACGGAAATAAAGCAAAAGAACATGGCGACTCTCTTGAAGTGCTACAAGCACTTCTTCTCTATCCAACTCTCCTCGCTCTCCTACTCGGCTCGGACGATTCGACTCAGCGCCTCCCGGCCCCACACCTTCTTGAAGCTGAAGCTCAGCAGGAGCAGTGGTCGGAGCAATTTCCGCTGCCTCGGCTCTTCGAGCTCGTCATCTCCGCCGTCGGTTGCCGAGACAATTGGCGGCAAACTCGACGGCGCTGTGACGGAGAGAGAGAGTCCGTTGTCTTCGGAGCTGTGGGTGTACAACACAATGAGCAGAAAGAAGGAGGTTTTCAGGCCCAAAGTTGAAGGAAAAGTTGGGATGTATGTCTGTGGAGTCACTGCTTATGACCTCAGCCATATCGGCCATGCTCGCGTCTACGTCACTTTCGATGTTCTCTACAGGTCCTCCCTCCCTCTCTCTCTCTCTCTCTCTCTCTCTCTCGTAAAGAAAACTGTATATAGTTTGGACATTAATTGGATTGTGTTTGTGTTTTTCTTTGTTTGGAATTAGGCAGATATCTTAAGCATTTGGGATACCAAGTCTGTTATGTTCGAAATTTCACCGATGTTGATGACAAAGTAAGTTCATTTGGGAGCAAAAATGCAATCTTTTAATTGTGTGTATTTGAATACCTATATTGGACGTGTTGCCAGTGATGTTAATTTTTTTTTTTTTTAAAGCTGTGTAAGAAGTACAATGTGTTATCCGAAAAAGGGGTGGATTCCAAATACCGATTACTTTCCACATTGGTATGACAGGATATAGCATAGCTGAGTCTGCACTTTTCAAATTCTGTAGATAATCGCTAGAGCGAATGAGTTGGGGGAAGATCCCATCAATTTGAGTAGGCGCTACTGCGAAGAGTTCAATCAAGATATGGTCTATCTTCACTGCCTGCACCCAGCTGTGGAGCCTCGGGTGTCTGATCACATGCCGCAAATCGTCGATATGATAAAGCAGGTAATCTGTTAAACCGTATTCTTTTATGACTAGAAAATTCCACCATTGGCATCCTTTGTGCTCTGCGAAAGGTATTGGAGCTTAACAATCTGTTTTTGGATTCGGTAATCTGATCATTCAGATTCTTGTGATGCACCACGTCGTGTATGATTTATCATTGTTTTTGCTTTGCAGATTATTGATAATGGGTATGCCTACACGGTAGAAGGTGATGTCTACTTCAACGTAGATACATTTCCAGAATATGGAAAACTATCTGGTCGGAAGTTGGAAGATAACCGAGCTGGTGAGCGGGTAGCTATAGACTCCAGGAAGAAAAACCCTGCAGATTTTGCTTTGTGGAAGGTAGTAATACTTTTGCAAACTATAATTTAAGAAGATTCATGTTAATTCATGTCCAAAAGCAGTCTGCTTGGTTGAACTGTTTACTTGCGTATACAAGTCATTCCACAAACATAATGTATGCGTGCAAAGTTGTCTTAATGTAGTTTTATAAGAACTTTCTAATAGGATAATTTTATTCTAATCATATTCATTATACGCCCGAAAAACTGTAATATTAGGATACTCTTATCGGAACAAACTAGTGCAGCAAATTTTTCTGGTGTGAAAGATAACCATGGCTCCCATTTATTTATCTATTTATATTTAATGGCAGTCTGCTAAGGAAGGGGAACCGTTCTGGGACAGTCCATGGGGCCCTGGAAGACCCGGTTGGCATATTGAATGCAGTGCCATGAGTGCTGCTTATCTTGGTTATTCTTTTGACATACACGGTGGAGGGATGGACCTTGTGTTTCCCCACCATGAAAATGAGATTGCTCAGAGCTGTGCTGCCTGCAAGCAGAGTAATATAAGCTACTGGGTACATAATGGCTTTGTCACTGTTGATTCAGAGAAAATGTCCAAATCCCTTGGAAACTTCTTCACAATTCGGCAGGTAAGATAGATAATTATTTTGAGCAATCACTTGGTCTTTATGCCCTCGATTTTATGTCAAATTTGTGTTATTCTTGATTCTATTTTAAATATTTCATCTTCCAGGTTATTGACCTCTACCATCCGCTTGCTTTAAGACTTTTCTTGTTGGGTACCCATTATCGATCCCCAATTAACTACTCCGATGTACAGCTTGAAAATGCTTCAGACCGTATTTTCTACATCTATCAGGTACAATACCATCCGCACCATACGGACAAAAGTAGAATTTGTTTTCATCAATTCATTGCTTTTGGGTTGTTGATGGAAAATGTAGCTGCATTTAGCTAGTATTTTGTGCCAGCAGCATTTCAAAAGATATTGGTTTATGCTAACTTGCACCGGTTATATGTTTAAAACAGATATGACCAAGGAATTTTTTTTTCTCCTAAAATCCTCTTATCTTTGTGTTTTCTGCTTTGAAACAATCACTAAATGTAAAATCCATTTCGTTGCAGACTTTACATGATTGTGAGGATGTTCTGAGCCAACATGATGTGCCAACTTTGAAGGATTCCATCCCACCAAGTACTGTGGATGAAATCAATAAGTTACAAAATGTTTTTGTAGCTTCAATGTCAGACGATCTTCTCACTCCTGTCGTTTTCGCTGCACTATCTGATCCGTTAAAAACCATCAATGATCTCATACACACCCGTAAGGTATCGAACCATAGGCGTGTACTTTTGCATCATTATGGATGTTAATTTATCATTTGTGATGCAACTTCTTTTAAGATTTTGTTCAATTTTGGACCAAACCAATGTAAAGCAAACTTTTTAGCCTTGTTCAGACCCAGCAAAGTTACTAGCTTAGTTCCTTTCTGTGCAGTACTACCCTGTTTCTCGAATTGTCAGTTCTGTATGGACTTCCTCTGAGAAAAGTTATTATCTTGGCATTGGTTTAAGTGCAGGGAAAGAAGCAAGCTTTGCGAGTAGAATCACTAGCAGCTCTGGAAAAGACGATCAGGAGTGCACTGGACATTTTAGGATTGATGCCTGCAAGTTACTCCCAGGTACAGAAAATGATTTCAGAGTGCTTATCTTTGTACTATGACATAATTTTTTCCTTTTTCCGCACTCTTGTCTTTTGGGAAATTTGAATCCTTTGTAAGCGAATGAACTGCATAACGTCACGCTGCTGTGATGCATGAAGTTCTGTTCAACAGATGTTGCAGGAACTGCGGGAAAAGGCGTTGAAGCGTGCAAAATTAACGGGAGATCAAGTGTTGCGCAAAATCGAGGAAAGGACTGAAGCGAGGGTGAATAAAGATTACGAAAAATCAGATGCAATTAGGAAAGAATTAGCAGCTGTAGGTATTGCTCTTATGGACAGCCCAAATGGGACAACCTGGAAACCAGCTGTACCACTTGAACTTTAAGAGCAGCACGGCTCAACAGCCTGAATGACGTGTGGGAAGCAAGACTGCTATAGCTTGTCCATGTAAAATACCATAACGAATCTGGGTGAGAGCATTGATTTTCCTAACAATTTCATCGAATTGGTCCAGGTGTTTGATTATATACACTTTTTGGAGAGAATGAGCGACTTCGTGTTTGGCAAATTAAAGAATCAAACCTTGATAATTTACGGGGGAAGAAATTTTGGCTTACTGCTATGTTGTTTTTCGTTTCTTTTTCCAAGCGCAATTGTTTTGTTATACTGGTTTTTGCCAATATGCTCTCTTTCCTTTGTAAAATGTGTCCCTAGAATCAGAGTTCCGAATCTACTAGTAAGCAGAAAAATATATACATGTATAGTAAAATAATATATATATATATATGTTTAATGATAACAAATGGATAGAAAATAAGAGAAATCCAGACATTGCTTAAAGAAGCTCCACAAACTTTTTTACTCGATAAAGAAATTGATCAAATAAAGATTATTTTCTTTCAACTCTTCCAACGTTTCAGATAACAATCGTGATGACTAGAGAGGGGGGAAATGATCTTGAGAATGGATCAAACTATGTATGTATCCTAAAAAGAATCTTCTGCCAATATCTGAATGTGACTAAAAATGTAGCAAATTTTGCCCAGCTCATTCCCACAAATCAACACAATGCCGTGTAGATGATGCTCCGATGAAATATGACGCAAAAACCGCTCACGATCCAGATCAATAACCAAGACAAAGTTGGGAAGTCCCTCTGATAAGCTATCTGTATTTTCTTGATTAGGCTAGAGAGCACACCTTGTCTGAAAAGAGAGTTAAATGTCAGTGGTCAAACACAAGCCACACTCTTCAAAGAAGATGAAAGTGAGCCGCACAGACTTTACCTTGTCTAATGCTACTACAGCAAAAACGATTGTCATCTATATATGTTGTTTGGAGACCCATCATCCATGAACCTACTGATATATCATCGTGTGCATAAGTCTTCAAAGAAGCACTGAAATGACGATGAGTTTGAGAGTTAATCATTGGGCATTTATGGAAAATATATGATCAGCATTTCCATTCTATCCCAAGTTGAAAATAATCAAAGTGGACATAAGTTGATAAATGATGATGAGTTTGAGAGTTAGTTATTGGGCATTTATGGAAAATATATGATCTGCATTTCCATTCTATCCCAGGTTGAAAATAATCAAATAGCGGAAATAAGTTGATTGAATGTCTGGGACGAGCTTAAAATCCAATGCGATTGTACTTGACACAATGTCCACATATTTACATGAACGGCTGCTTTTAATTAGTAAAACAGACGAGCTACAATTTTCTGTCGATAAATTAAGCAAATCGTATTTCAGGCCGACTTAAAAATATGATTAGATTAAGGTGCCAACTAAATTCCGTCGGTTTAAGCTTCTAAAAAAATCAAGTTGTCTCTATTGAACACGGACAAATTTCCTATAACTGGAAACTATGACAATTCTTGGTAACTAACCTGTTTACGTAGACATACTGAGCCAAATTCTTGGAGAGAATCAAAAGTGATCCGGATGCATGCCGGAAGTACCTGAATGGAGGGAAAAACCTCAGGAGAGCCCATTGTTGGTTTATTATAAGAAACATATGAACAGAATGCTAAGTAGTACAGAAGAATACTGAAAGGAAATATAAACACCACTTACGATTTCTCGTCACCAAATTTCCACCATTCAGGTTCATACCAAGGCTTTCCTCTGAAATCAAATTCAATTAAAAATCAAAAGCTAAATCCCAACAACCTTCAGATTAAGAAGACAAAACACGATAACAATAACAATTAATTGAGAACGTTAAACAACAAACAATCTTCAGACAACAGTTCCTTGATGAGAGCACAATCACCACAACACTCACACAGAGGAGACATGATTGTTGTCACAATATAGTTGAACAAAGATACAATGTAATACATACTCATCAGCTACAACATCTCCTGACTTCATGCAGCCAATATAAGAGCTATTTTGACCACGACGATGTTCAAGAAGTCCAATTAGCCCATCTGTTACGCAAAGAGAGTAGTGTAAATAATAAAAACGAATCTTTGATTGTCAAAGTACTCCCAACTCCCAAGTTATAATATATTTCAAAGAGTGAAGAAAGTAGAAGCTCAACCAAGATCAAGGTCGATGTTGTCATCAACTTTAACATAAAATCCCGCATTCCAATTTTGGACCGCTGTGCTGAAGAAGAACTTCGCTTTCTTGGGCAACTCTTCCTGAGCCTCCTCATGATCTTCCTATAATTTATGTGGTTTAAACCCACGCAATTACGGATATAAAAACTTTATTATTAGTCCTAATACATATCAATCCCATATAGTTCAAATGCCTCTTTGAGGATTGAATTAAGAATAAAAATTATGTGATCATTATACAAAAGAACTATATAGACACATGCCTACGTTTCTACACATGAACATACATGCTCATAAGACTAAGAAAAAGAATAGAAGCAAAGGCATTGTAACAACAGCTGAAATTATAATGCTTAAAACTTACAAGAATAAAAAAATCTTTTGTTGAACGATTTTCCTCATCGATATTGCGATCTAAACTATCGCCGCGGTTAGCACTGCCAATTTCAAATAACATTTTTGTTAGAAGAGTTTGGTCCATCGACGACTATTGTGATCTTACCATGATAATGTTCAAATAACACACTTAAAGAAAATAGGAAGACAGGGAAGGCATAAAGAAGTATAATAATGAGGGATTAAAGTCAGAGAAAAACCTCCGACCGATTACAAAGCGGATGACTACTCCTCTCTCTTCAAGTTTTCTTAGGGCTTCACCTGCAAAAGCCACAACAGTGATGTACAACATATTATTTTGTTAAGGGCAAGATATATGATCCTGAAGTTCATGCATTTTGACCCATGATAGAGACATGCCATATGCATTTAACCCTTGAGTATTCATATTTTAAAGACATACAGATACAAAAAACATAATCCATATAAAAGTAGCAGTTTAATTTTAAAATGTACTTAAAGGTTTGCAAATAAAAATTGTATATGCAGAATTTCACAAATAATAACCTCACAAGCTTGCTAAATATTTGAAATCAGTAAAACGTAGAGTTAGCTTCCTGTTGTCTGCTATAAAAGACCCCAACTGACCTCTAGGCATCCAAGATCCTCTGAACACATTTCTCTTCAATCGACTGCCAAATCCAGTATAAACTCCAATAACAGCTAGAAGTTGGGAAGTAGAAGATCCACTTTGTTGCAAATGGTTCTTCAAGTACCCTTGACTCTTCGCCAGTGTCAGCTCCATCTCAACTTCCACAATTCTCCTCTCCAGATTTCTAAATACCAACACAATCAATGCATATACGAATACCGGTTAGATACATACAACTACAATGATGCGAACCAATTTGAGTAAAAGAAAAATTAAGTAACTTACTTGCATCCAAGGACCGCCAACTTCTCATCAATTGAAAGAATCTTGGGCCTCTACAAACATAAACAAGTGAACATCTCAAGAAATACATCTATTAGAAAACAATTCAAGGCAGTCGACAATTTTGACTCTCACTCGCAAGCTTCACTTAAACTTTTACACACAATAATCTAAAAAGAAATTTATTAGAGCTACTACTTTTAGTCGGAGCACCAAACAGATTCTCCAGAAAAGCTACTCAAACGAACCTGGCCCGTGTTTTTCTTGAGAAGACCAACTAGTAACGTTCTGTTCTCTGCATCCTGCCATAACCTGAATAGCCAAAACAAGAACAATTTGCAATCTTAAATTTAAGAATAATTTTGATTCCATCAAATTGAAACGGGGGACCCTAGTCCAAACACAAAACCACATCAAAGTTATAAAACAACAAAATTCGGACAGGAAAAAAGAAATTCCCGGAAAATTTACAGTGCTTCTGCATCACAAGGAACAGGAAATTCGAAACCATTATCACAGTCAACAGCAAAAATTCAACAAAGGATCTCCATTGCAGAGTCCTATACAATTTCAAAACTTAATCGATAGCGCAATTTATAGCTGGCTCAAATTTGCCGTCTTCACCAATCCAAATTTCCTACATTTTCTCGGAAACCAAACAGGCAATTAACGGAAAAAAAATAAAAAAATCAAAAGGAGAGTAGGATCGCACCTGCCGGCGACATAGAGCCAAGCGAGGCAAGAAAACAAGGCCATGAGAAGCGAAGGTTTCGAGGTCTGAATAGGCTTTGATCTCCATCGTTTCTCCGATTTCGTCGTCGTCGTCGGTAAACTCTCCATCTCCCACACGACTATGAGAGAGAAAGAGCACAATATATATATATATATATATAGGATGTAGACGTATAACAGGAATGAAATCTTTAGGCGTGTGATGGGCAATTAACAGAGTAAATTACTTGCTATAAGCAGCAACCGCAGAGAATAAAGGGAGTAACGGAAGGTACTATTGAAAAACTGGGAATTATTATTATTATTATTATATCGGAGGTCAGCATTGCAATGCCGTAGTAATTCTTCTTCCGCAAAAGGAAAGGAAAGAGAAGATCAGGAGGAAGTGCCAGTGGACTTCGAGAGCTGAGAGGACTAAGTTCATGGCCAACTTAATATTGGGCCTTTAAGCAGGCCCTAGAGTTGAGTTGGCCCGTAGGACATGTGGACCCCCTAGCTGCAGGGTTCCTACCTAGTAACAAAGAAAAAAAAAAAAAAAAAACTCTTTTGAGGTAGACAATGCATACGAAATTATTATAAGATGAATAGATGATCTCCAATATAAAGATCAATACTATTTTATTGAATATTTAATTGCTTGTTTTAATTTTGTGCGTTGTACAAGATTCTATTTTAAATTCTATATTTAATTTGTTATAAATTTTAAGCTTTGAAATTTGTTAAACTAAAACATATAATTTTTTAAGAAATTATAGTACTAATTAAGTACGATAAAGTCCCCTTCATTTCAGAGTTTAGAATTCGAGTTTTATTACAGTAAAAACCTTTAAAAAATAATCACATCTAACATTTTTATTACAGTAAAAGGTTCTCACATAAAATTACATCTCAACTCGAATTAAAAACTCAAATCAACACACTAAACGGATCCTAAGAGTCAACACATCAACTAAATAAACACAATCAGATGTTAAGATTCGCTTATTCTGTGGCTCGGAGCATTCAAATTGTAAATGGCAACAAAATCAATAAGAAAATGAATAGTTAACACTGTCAAAACAAGCCCCCTTTTTTTTGTTTATTATTATTATTTTGTTTAAAATAGGCGAGGCCTCTTATCAGCGAGATGGTTAAGGTGAGTATCACCTAATGCTGATAAGGATGATTGGTTTATTTAAATCTAAATAGTTTGTTTTTAACTTAGATTAAATTACGAGTTATCTTTTATTTTCAAATTTGGATCATTTTGAACTGTTAGGTATTAGGAGATAAGTCTTAATTTAAATAATTTACATATTAGATTAATATTAAATTAAATTCAAACTCCACATGAAACTCTATTTATATTGTATTCTCGTCAATGAAAAACTTGTACCATTGTGCTTCAAAATCTATTAGATGCAAAGGTTGGAGGCACTTTCTAACTAGTTCGCATGTCGACTTACAAGGTATGTGATAGAAAGAACCTTGTTTTCCCAACCCACATGAAGAGAAGTAATCAAATAAAAGATAGTGTAAAAAGTGAACTGCTCCAACTATAAGTTTAACACAAAATGATGAAATCAAAACGTTAAGGCACTAACATGATCAGATATCCCTAGCCATAGTCATCAAGGCGACATTAAAAACCTTTCAAGCTAGTCACAAAATGAAAACTATAATGTCGACAAAATACAATTATAAAAAATTTGTTGAGTTTTGCTCAAGACAAGACTGTCCATGAGGTTTCAGAAACCCCCAGCTTCCTGTCATGAAATTAGGCCCTTGATGCGCACAGATGGCTCGTGCTTGTTATAAGTTTTGCTCCCTAACTGCTTCTTGCAGCCCCAGGCAAGAGGTTAGACAGAGAAGGAACCCCTTGGCCTCTCATTTCTTCTTGTGCTCGTCTTATTTCTTCGGGATCTGTCGTTAATACACAGCAGATTATAGTCAGCCATGAAACAATCGAAGTCCTGATCGATATGCAGTACATTTAAATTGACTGTGAAAATGTTCAATATATAAATAAGTTCCACAGCAGGAGGTCATCCTGAAGATATGAATCTAGTTCCACAAATAATGTTATTTCAAAATCCTACACATTAAGTATAGGGAACTTACCCATGTTCTCCACTAATTTGGGCATCAGAAACACGACAATCACCATAAATCCAATCATCAGACCCATCGGGCTTTTCACAAGAGACATTATTGAGAAGGGTTCCCTTATCTGATATTACATGACAAAATGAGGTCAAAAATCGATGATATGAGAACAGTTTACAAATAATAATGTAAAAAAGTTTATCAAAGCCAACCTCGTAATACTGTTCATCTTTCAATGGCTCTAAAACAAACTCATGCAGCCCCCTTCTGGTCTCTGTCAGTGCTGCTTGAACCTTTCCCGGGTTTCTGGCACTAACATCAACCCGAACCTAAAGATTATATTGAAAATAAACACATGGGCACGTTAGATAAGTAGTGATGTAGCTAAAAAAAAAAAAAAGATTATTTGCAGATGGATAAAACCTACCGGGGAGAAGAAATATCCTAATGCTGCCACCTCTATAAGGTGAGTCCCCGCTGGCACAGTATGGCTTTAAGCACACATGTTAAGGATACCAAGTATGCTTAATGAACGAACAACCTCCATTTCATTCTTAAAATACAATCTAGCTCACTAAAAAAAGTCAAAATCTGATACAGAAACTTGAAATTTATACTATCCTTACAGAAATTGAAATTAATATATCTTCTATTATTCCATGAGAGAAAATAAGTCATCATAAATCAAACTTAAGCAAAAGCAAGCATAAAGAGATTAGTAGGATACAATGAAAAAAATCCATCAGGCTTCAGAAAGGTAACCCTTTGGCCACCGTTGAGGATGACTTTGATATTTGATATTTTTGCAGGTAGACCAAATCCTTTAGCCCCAAAATCTGTCAAAACAAAATCGTCACTAATGTGCACGAACCAAAGGTCAAATACAACTAAATCATAGAAGAAGGATCAAAGTAAGTGGGAAAAGCCAAAAAGAACACAAAACCACTCTCTTCTTAGCACTCGCTCGTCTCATTAACCTATGAACTTCCAAAAAGCCCCCACAGAGATACAAGAAATATAAAGAAGCCCTAAATCCTAGTCAAACTTGGCACATATCTAATAGGTCGAATCAAGTTTTTTTCTTTTTTTTTTCTTTTGACGCTTTTCCGAATTAAGTTTTTTTTTCCCCGAAATAAGTTAATTTAACTACAGTCTAGAACAAATATGAGATGTAAAATTGACGCTTTCAGAGTCCTACGCTTCTTCCTCAAATACAGATCGTTAAGAACAAGAATTGAGAACCAAAAATAACTCTAATTATGCTTAAATCCCGAATTCAACAAACGTAAAACCAATTTCGAATCAGAGTTGAATAATTACATACCAGGGATCTTCACTCGACCATGAATGGAGTAACCCTCACCGGACCTGGAAAAATGAATTGATTTTAGAATAAATAATCAGGAAAAAAATTATTGATACAAAAGTTGTTCCTCTGAAAAGCCGTACCCAGGAGAAGCTGCAAGGGAAGAAGAGATCAGAGTGAAGCAAAACTGTACGAAGAGCAGGAGAATAACCGATCCGGATCGCATCCTCGGCGCCATCGCACGGTGATGTTTGCAGGAATTTTTCGTGCGCACGGGATTCGTCGTTTCCCTCGGTTCTTTGAAGGTTAATGTGTATTCTGGTGTTACGCGCCTAGCAGGTCTATTGTGGTACGAGAAATCGTGACCGGTCACCCGACGAGGCGGAAAACGATCAATGATGAGACAAGTAGAGAGTTTTTTCCTTTTTTTTTTTTTTTTTTTGAGGAAGTTTTCTTGGCTTTTTATTTGCATTGCAATTTTCTCTGTTTTTTTTTTTTTTTTTTCTTTTTTGTTGCTAAAATAGTTAAAAGAAGACTTGCACCTTCAAGTTTAACTCACGACTTAAAACTATAAATTGCGCAGAACTGTTATTACCATTACCATTATTAATGTTGTAAGACTGTTTAATCAACATTGCAGTATGTTTGTTAAAAGGGATTTAAATGGCCATTTTTGAAGGATTTTTTCACCGAAGTTTTGTAAAATTATAAAAATAATTATTTTTTTTAATTTAATGGTCAATTATTGATTAATTTAACGGTATATAATTAATTGACTATCAATAATTAATTTTAATATATTATTAATTAATTCGATGATTCTTTATTATTAATCGATATCAATTAACAATTAACAAAAATTAATTAATAATTAATCAATTTTAATCAACAAATTACAAGTTTATTAATGATAAATTATTAATAAATTAATAATGAATCTGTAAATTGCTGATTAATTGTGATCAATAACTGATTAATTGTGAGTCAATTACTGATTTATTCCTATAAACAAAACGTCTATTTTCATACAATAAAATAAAAATGAGCCATTTATAAAAAAGTGGTGGAAAAAAGTCATTCACACTAGATGTAATTTTTCTTATTATTATTATTATTATTATTATTATTGGGGTTTAAAACAAGACAACACTACCAAGTCACAATAGGATCACAAGAAAGTGTCTGGAGATGACTCCAATGAACAAAATTGAAGTACATCTGTATCACATGTCAATCAGTTTGAAAATGTTCGTGAAGATATACACTTGAAACTTGAAAGCCTTGAAACAAATGCAAGAAAAATAAATTCCCATTTCCCCCAACAACAAAAGAAAAGGAAAAAAAGAAAAAGAATTTATTACATTAAAGGGCTCAACACTCAAACCTGACCGTGGCAATAAGACCAATCTAAGCCTATGTCGAATTTACACGAATCTAGAACCATATTACTTCCATCTTCGTTCTTTTTCTCTGAACAAAAGCACATGGAAGAAGTTTCTTCTACAACAAAATTGAAATTTAAATCAAGAATTTGGTATCTGAGCAGAGTGGCGGAGAGAGAAAGGCCCCCCAAAAAAAACAGGAATACCAAACTAAACCAGTAAAATTTTGAACCAAATGCTATAAGCCAAACTTCTTCGAGAACCAGTCGGAAAGATTCGCTATTACAAATCCAAAGAAGACCTGCAGAACACCACCATAAACCGAACGTATGAAAGAGCTCATACATGCACGTATGCAAGTAGCCCTAGTACATCATGAATTAGAAGCATTTTTTTTTTTAACCGCATTATACCTGAGCGGAGCCGAGAATGTAAACTGCTGAATACTGACGACCATGGATCACCATGTCGGCCACCATAGCAAGCGGGATGGTGAGCGACATGCCCAAGGTGGCCACCAGAGGAGTTGTCCATACAACACACAGCGCCCTATGGCGAAAAGTAGAAGTTTTAGATAAGGGAAGTCGAATAAAAGAACGGAGCATAAATTACTAGACAGAAGAGCAAAGGTTGAAACATACCAAAAGTAATCAGAGAGTACACTTCCAACAAAGCCATTGGCAATAACGACTTCATCCATTTTGGCAGAGTGAGGAATTGTAAACTTTGGTTCGATTCCCAATGCCGACAACGGCCAAACTGGATACACAGAGGAGAAATATTTCTCATTTAAGCAAAGCAGTGTTGAAGTAAAAGTTGAGGAAGCATGACCGAATAAAGGAAACTTTAGCATCTGACTTTGTAGAACACAATGTAATGAAAGATCATACAAGACTAACGGAGTCATTACTCGTTAGGGCCAAGGGTTGGAACTGGGGATAAATTGGTATGGGATGTTCAGGCACACATGTACTAGGAAGTAGGAACTACATTCTCTATTACAACCCAAAAGTTCCAGCACTAAAATTTAGCATTGTGAGAATTCTAGAGGTCGGACAAAAGAACCAAGTCAAACTGGGACATGGAAATGACAGTACAAAGAAGCATTACTATTTTGGAACACTTACCAAGCCACCACAGTGCCACAAGTGTAAACAATCCAATATATCCAAACAACTTTTGCACATCAGCTCTTTCTCCTTCTTCACCAGCAAACTTTTTGAGAAGCACTGCAATTTTTACACCAAAACAACAAAGAATATAAAATTCCCGTCGAAAAAAATAAAAAAAATAAAAAGTAAATAATAAATAAAAAGAGGGAAATCAAAGTTGCCAACCTGTAAAAAGACCATATGACATAGCTGAGAGAAGGCCAAAAAGATCTCCACTGAGAGAGCGTTTACCATTGCTGTTTACACATATCAACATCGAAGTAAATCCAACTTAAAAATCACAAATATAAAAACAAGACATGAACTTGTAAGACTCTTGGAAGAGCTACTTATGTTGAAAAATAACAAAAAATGACAAATATAGATATTTGGAGATGAAAGGGAACTGGCTTTCTATTGAAATTCATCCCACAACACATTCTTTATAGATCTCTCACGTTCAGAATCAAACCAACATCAAATAGAAATGTACACCCCAACCCCTCTCTGAAAAGGGTGCATCCAAGGTACCAGTTACAATTCTTATGAAAGTTCATTAATAACGTTGCAAAGATAATATTATAATATAAATGATCAAGATACTGCATTCCATCGCACGTACTATTAAAAAGACCCCAGAGGGAATTTGAACTTACGAAGAACCTCCCAAATCTGATTCATCTGCAGCCCAAGTTTTCCCCATAGTCGTCATAACAACACCAGCCATGCTAACAAAAACAGCAAGCACTTTTGCTACATTCAGAGAATCTTGGCCCAAAATTGCTCCAACGAAAAGAGTAAAGAGTCCAGATGTAGAGGATAATACCGTTGTACTTGCAACACTTGTACGAGCAAGTGCAGCATTTGAAAAGTACTGCAACCACAAAGCAATTTCAATAAAAAATAAAGGGAATTCAAAATAAATGCTTTATATTTTGACTACAAAAACGTGCACAAATTTAAATGTACAGGAGGTGAGGAAAACCCGTATCCTCAATGGTCAAGTGCCATGATATGAGTGTGTGAGACTCAATAACAACTCAACTCAAATCCCAAACCCTATAAGGTAGATTTCGAAGTAACGTCCAAAATACTTTTGACCACCAACCTTTAAATCTGTTTAACTTTTTTCCTTAGGAACTTTGTGGGACATCTCATGTCCTGGAAACATTGTTTCGACCTGTTTGGCACACACTACCTCATGAGTGGGGAAACAGAAATGTTTTGTGGAAGTATCATTCTATAACAAAATAACCCAATCGAACATATCAATAGCACTATACCAGGCCTCATAGATTTACAAGCACGTATACAGCCACAACTCTTGACATACCTCAGCGACGAACAACAACCTTACAAATGACACTCAAAGCTTTCATTATTACTGAGATATGATATTGTTGTAAGGGCAAACACTCTGAATATAGACTTGTGTGTTCTGTGTTGCTCAGAGACAGTTATACACATCATAAAACGCAATTATATTGGGTTTGATATATGCGGGTTTGAAAAAAAAAAAAAAAAAAAAAAAAAAAAAAAAACGAAAACAAACTCCCTTTCAAGAACGCAGAAAATTAGTTAAGGAAAAGCTTTAGATATAATAGGAAGGGTGACTTGTCACAGAAGCATGCACCCTTAAATGTATAATATACTTATGAACAAAGATTTTTTCTTTCTTTTTTTTTTCTTTTTTGGGTAAAAGAGTCTTGCTAATACTTCCACTAATCAAATTGACGTGAACACAAAAAATCATGAGAAAAAATTTAATTGTTAAGATTGAAAATATGTTAAAAGAAAATAGCCTTGGAAAGTTCCTTACTTCTGTAATGAACCAGATAGGTGCTATGTAAAATCCATAGGTAGCAACTTCCCGTGTTGTAAGATGCTTCACTTGTTTCAAGCCATATAAATCATCTTTGTGTCTAGGAACCAAAGGTCTTCCTTCCGCATGAGGTGAAAGGTTTGCTTCACTATCTTTTCTGGTCAACGTCCCCTGAAGCTCCAATTCGTAGTCTTTCTTTAGTGGAGAACCGAATCCACCAGAAAATTCATTCAAGCTTTCTACACTTTTGGCACCTTTCAAAGAGCGACGCTTTATAAAATTACACAACCAATCCTTAATGAAAGCTATTGGGAGATAAACTACCATAAGAGAAGCTCCAAGATAAGTTACTGCAAATGGCTGCTTATAGTCCGTAAATATACCCTATACATAAAACAAGCCTGTCATGATAAACAATCAACATGATATAATGATATATGATTGCGCATAAGCACATTGCAAGTACTGATTAGACAAATCAACATATACCAAATCACCAATGAGAATCTTAAAACATGACAAATTAGGTTAATTTATGCAGACTTTCTCCAAGATTACTTACTGAACAAAAAAAAAAAAAAAACACAGGTTTTAAAGAAAAAGACTATTTGAAACTAGTCATGAGTTCAATCCCATGACCCTTGACGAGATGATCAAATGATCACACTCTTTTCCAACGGTGACTTAATTTTACCACCGTGATCTCCAAGGAAAAACAAATAAAAAGTTAACCATAAACTTTCATTACAGTTCTGGTAGCTTCCACAGAACAAGCACCACGAACCAAATCAAACGATGTCAACTAAATTAAAAGTATTTTACTTTTTGCTCCTCCGAATAAGTTTCATAAACAATCTCAATCTCATACAAACAAAATAGTGATAAAACATTAAAATTCCAACCCATAAAGTCAACGCCATTAGCAATAAATCAAAACCCATCAAGCGTACACAAATCAAACTCACACGCATTGCAAAAAACAAACTGTCCATCAAAATTCCACCGAATGCTAAATCCAAAACGCTCTTAACCATGCAAAATCACAAATTCATTTAAACAGATGGGAAAAAAAACGGAAATTCGGAACAACCTGGGTGACTTCTGCAGACGTGACCCAGATAATAACAACGGCGGCTATGAGGAACAGCCCGGCCTTGTATTTCCAACCCATCACGAACCAGCGAAACACAGAAAGGATTCGCGAGATTTCAGCGCGTTGCTCTCGGATCTTTGACCGTGTCGGTGATATTCGAGTCGTCACCGGCGTGTGACCGTGAGATCTCGGGAGGTGAGATATTCAGTCGAAAAGAGAGAAATCTGGAGGGCGGCTGGTGACGGTGAAGGTGAGGGGAATAAGGAATTTCTTCTTCTGGAAATAGAATTAAATTAAATTAAATTAAATTAAATGAAAGAGAACGAGAAAGAGAAAGAGAGAAAAAGAGAGGGAAGTGTTAAAATTAAGTTTGGTATACTTTGTCTCTGTTATACTACGTTGCCTCTAAATAATGGGAAAAAAATAATATTTCCTTTTTTAATGAATATGCATTTTTTTTTTTCTCTTCGTGTTTCTCTCGTACGAACATAAAAAATAAATTATTAATAATTTTATATTTTTAGTCGTTATTATAATATCAAAAAGTATCTATTTTACATATTTTTTTATCTATTGTGATTTTAGTAAGATTTAATAGTCAAAAAACTAACTTTACCTATGGATAAATCCTACTTTAAAAAGTCCCATTTTTTAAATAACGTCATTTTAATAGCCTCTCAGTGAAACATTTTGAAAATATACTACAGTTTTAATGGTACTTTTACTTTTTTTTTTTAAAAATGTTACTTTGATACCTTAAAGCTATTTCTAGAGATAAAAAAAAATGTTCATTCTACTCTTCTATCTATTTAATTGGAAACTACAAATTTAAGAAAAAATAACAAAACATTTAAAAATGTATTAAAGATCTGTATTTTCTTGCTATGACTTGAAGATCTGCAAATTTTATTTTGAGTTTTCTATGTTTTTCAAATATTTTATTAAAGTTTTGAAATGTTCAGTTTATAATTAAATATATAAAAGCATAGAAAAAATATTTTATGTCCCAAAACTTGACATTAAGCTCGGCTTATTCAAAACACACAGTACTTCCTCTTTAAAATAAAAAAAAATAAAAAACATATAGTAGCTTCAAAATATTTTTACTATAACAAAGAGTATCAGAATAATTCCCTATTTGTTCCTAATCATGTGATGTTTTCATTTTCTTTTTCACTTTTTCTTCCTCGTTTTTTATTTAATTTTATTATCATGTCCCTTTATATCTATCTCTTTTCTATAATTTATTTTTTGTCTCTGTTTTTCGATTATTTTCTCACGTAGTTTTTACATCTTCAATAGTCAATTTGTTTTCCATTGAGGAATGGTTAATGGGTGAAAGGGATAGCTATATACCTTATTTTGTTGTTTCTGTTAACGTGCATATATGCTTGAATTTGATAAAGTCATTGGCCATTTCTATCAATTTTTGTGTTTATATAAAATCTAGGATTGTAATATTTGATTATGTGTTTAGTTGAATGTGATTTCCCTTTTTATCATTAAAAAAAATCCCTTTTTATTAAAAAATATTGAAGCCACATTTAACTTATAAAAATTAAAGAATATATATTTAAAGTTTAAATAGTTGGCAACTTGGACGCGTTTAGAACTCGTTTTCAAAATGATTTTATTTTTTGTATGAAAATGAAAATGAAAACGTTTTCAATCTCAGACATAAATCATTTTTGAAAATGTGTTTGGTAGATTTATCAAGAAATTATTTTCAGTATAAAAAACTCATTAATATCTCTCTCTGTGCTCGAGAGATGAGAAAACAAAAATAAAAAAATTATTAAAAATTATTTTTTATTTATCTCTCATTTTATATTAAATTATGTTGCTGTCCCTTTCCCTCTAAAAAAGAAAGGACGGAAATATTAAAAAAGAAAAAAAAAAAGAGATGTGTTCTGGCTCCATCAGATTTTATACAAGTTTTCGTTATCGGTCAAGTAGATATTATCATATTATTGAAGACTTTGAAATTTTGTAAGGAAAATGGACCACGCAAATAATCATGTAGATTTCAACTAATCACTCTAGCATAATAAAACTCATGTGAGTTGTGTAGATCTAATGTACATTATTGGAGACTTTTAGGAAGAAAATGGATTACGCAATATAATTAATCATGTGTTTTGTGCTGACTCCACCCAAAATTTGTTTATACTACCTTATGGAGTATGGACAATGACAAAATTAGAACAAAAATCACAAGCTTGCTCAAATATTTGGTGGATTTGTATTTGTTAATGAGCATTGTTTAACTTAATTTGCTACAAAATTCCGTTTTTAGCAATGCATTACCGTGTAATGTTTTTTATTTTTATTTTTATTTTTATTTTTAAGGCCGGTGTTATAAAGAACAAAGAAAAGTCAAAAGAAAAATAAAGATTGTGGCGATAGATTTCAAATTTTCAACTACTTGCTTTAATATAATTAGACACGTTCATTTTACCGATTTAAATTTAGAATTTGAGTTTTAATATAGTAAAAAGCTTTCGGAAATAGTTATATTTAATTTTTTTACTACAGTAAAAAGTTTTCATATAAAGTCACATCTCAATTCGAATTAAAAACTCAAATCAACGAACTAAACGGGCCCTAATTCTGTGGGAATATTTGATGGATATATTTTTCTTGGTTGAGAGGCTCTATGTCCTAACTGTTTAATTAATTAGCTTATCGGTCCAACTTCAAAAGAAAAAAAAAGTACAAAAAGGAATTAAAGAAACCGTGTGAATGTAGTGTGTATTTTGTGTTTATTTAGAAAGTATATCGTTGATTATGGATCTCATCAAACATATACCATAACATTTACAATATTAATAACCTTTTTTCTTATAACAATTAATAATCAATTTTGATTAATTTAATAACAAAAATACTTGAAAAAAAAGTAATTGAAAAAAATCGATGGAGTATGACTTAATTACGATTATTATTGTTATTATTTTATCAAAAAGATTATTATTATTATTTTACTTTTTTGCTTTTTATTTTTCTTTTCAAATGATATTTTGGTCTTCATAAAGTTAAATTTGAGCTTTAACCAGCCCAATGTATGAATTCGAGACACACTTTAAATGCTCTGGTATTTATTTGATAATAATGTCCAAAATCAATAGTATAAAGAATAAAGAAATAAATATTCAGAAATTCAATAAAAATTGGTGGGTGGTTGTCATGTGGTTCTTATTAAAGCTTGCAATTGCAGTAACGACACCCCCCACTTGCAAGTTTGGACCTTGGAATTAAAAAAAAAAAGAAAGAAAGAAAAACAGAAACAAAACAAAAAAAGGGTAGAAATTGGAAGTTCGAAGTCGTTCAGCTACATATTGCACCAATTTCTAGGACCCAATGATGCAATTCCTTTTCTTCTTAAAAAAGAGGTGCTACTTTTTATTTTTTATTTTTTGTTATTTTGATCCCATTACTAGAAATTCTTTGATTAATTTTTAGCAAAAAAAAAAAAAAAAAAAACAACTATGACATCGTTCATTTCACCTATTCAAATTTTTAATTTTAGGTTTCTACAGTAAAATGCTCTAAGAAAATGTCACATACAACTTTGTCTGCTACAGTGAAAAGCTCTAAAAAAATATCACATCTCAACTCAAATTGAAAACTCAAATCTGCAAAGTGAACGAGGCATATGTGATCTTTTCCCTTCTGAAAATACAACCCATGCTATAACCACCTTGTATTATGTACTAAGCTGCAATAACATTTGCTACAATAAAAGTTCCCATAAGAAATACAAATTAAACTATATCCTAATCAAACAATATTGCGGTATATAAATCATTTACTCATACAACTACTCTTAATAAATTTTCTACAAGGGCAAGTACGGACTCTAACAAACAACTCATATGAAGTAGGTTTTACACCAGTCTTACAATGCATACGAGATTCTTCCTACGTGAGTTATATTATTGTTTATTTTATCGATTTAAGTTTAGAATTTAAATTTTATTAGAGTAAAAAAATTTTAAAAACAGTTATATCTAACTTTTTTATTACAATAAAAACTCTCATATAAAATCATATCTCAACTCAAATAAGTGGACTAAACAGCCCACAGTGTCGGAACCTCCCTACCCTATTTCATACAAGCCTTATACTTGATGACGCAATTTCAATACGAAGACCCCCAAAGTACCTCAGCAACAACAGCGGCGGCCTCCGTATCAGAAACAGAAGCTTCTCTGACTCTCCTTAGTGTCTCCGCTCTCAAAACTCTCTTCTCTCTCTTCTCCATCCCTTCTCCCACCTCCACTTGCTCCGCAAATCTCGCCACGCAGTTTCCGAACATTTTGCTTCTCTGCAAAACCATCATCTTCTTTACCAAGTTTTCTCGAAGCATTTTCTCCACCACTTCTCGTCTCGCGATAACCGCCATCTCCAAAACGCAATGCATCGCCGCGACTTGAACTTGCGCGTCTTCTTCCGAGCTTAACAGTTTGACGATCCTAGGAATTTCCCCATTCGCTTCGATCTCGTCCACCAATGGAGTTCCGATGAATCTGATCATGGAACACAGGACTTGTGTCGAGCAAAACGAAGAAATCGATATCAAGGATTGTATCGTCGGACCCATCAGAACGAGTCCGACGAAAACGTCCTTGTTGAACTTCACCAAACCGAGGATGATGAGACAAGCCTGGTTTCGAACCCGCTTCGAAAAGCTCGATCCTCCACATAGTACGAATTCGAGAACAGTGAAGACTCGTCCTCGCAAAACCAGCTCTTGGAAATCGGTGTCGAAGCCTTGGGACAATCGGTTTCCGAACACGATTAAGACTTTCAACCTTTCGTCCTCGTCTCTGGACTCTATCAGCGTCGTTACGAGATTAACGACAATCTCTCGGTCTATGTATGACTGAATCCCGGCTTCGATTGAGCACGCGATTTGGAAGATCTTGTACTTAAAGATTTGGCGGCGGAAGAGGGATCTTAAGTCGCGTCCCTGTGATTTTTGGAGCTTTTCCGAGAGGCTTTTGAGGTCGGTGAGTAGTTCGGAGAGGTTAAGGAGAATCGGGTCTGAAGAAGAAACCACGGACGTTAATATGGCATCGGCTTTGGTTTCGAGTTCTAAAAGAGCTTCAATGGCGGATTTTGTGTCGTTTTGGTTGAGGATGCTTGAAATCGGGTTGATTTGAAGATCTTTAGAAGCTCTCTTCAGCGATTGCAATAGTGATACGACATGGAGATTATCTTTTTTGTGAGGTTTGTCCATGGTTTCTCGCTTCGTAATGAACGCATCTGTGTCTGTTCGGGAGAGAGAAAGAAGACATTAACAGATGGCTATCAGTACTCAATAATATAATGGCATTGATATTTAGCAACCCCACCAAACATTCATCTAGAAAAACCAGCGTGTGTCCGTACGTAGGCAGTACAAACGTGTTACATTCTGTGTTTGTGTTCATGTATGTGGGAAAATCCAATTTTCAACGTAGCCCCAAAGCAACAAATTCGTTTTCCTTGTTGGAAGGTTTTACTGTTCGAAATTTCTGAGCGATCATCTTTATCTATGCTTGCAGATACTCCGTCACGTGCTTTTGAAAGAAAATGGAATAAGCTGGGTGTGAACTTATAAATCCATTGAAAAGTGATCGAATTGCTCAAGTTGGCTCTTGTCAAAGGACGACTTGTTTTGTTCACGACTCAAACTTTTTTATTACGTTATTTTCTCTTATAAAAATTTAAATTCAATTTTTTATTATATTATCTTTTCTCTCATAAAAAAATTTGAGTTGTGAAAAGAACACACCCTTTATTTAATGGCCATATCGAGCCTTGTCTATCGGACACATTTAAAATGAGTGTTAGAGCATGTGGTGGTGGGTGGGGAATAAGGATGACAATTCGTGTCACGTATCGTGTTCGTGTCGTGTTTTGATCGTTTCTTTCTAAATTTATAGTCAATCCGAACACGACTCGTGACACAAAATTTTTTAAAAACTGCAACACGACCACTTTACGGGTTAATACAACACGACACGAAATTGACCCGTGAACCCGAAATTAACACAAAAATTGTATACTTTTATTTAGTTTTTTACATATTAGGAATAACTTAAAATTCATAACACGCTAAAATACAATAACATCCATTGAAATTAAGCAAATAATAGTATATGATTTTGAGTATAACTATCATAATATCACAATTTTATAATAAAATAAAAAATATGTAATGAAAAATATATGTATTTTTTATTTTTTTACGTGTTTCATGTCGTGTTTGGGTTATGCGGATCCAACTCGAAATTGACCCGTGTTTTTCATGTTAATTTCAAGTCGACCTAATTCTAACCCGAACCTTTTTTTTCTCAACCCTAACCCGCGAAATTCGTGTCGTTTTCGAGTCATGTTGTCGTATCGTGACTCATATTGCCGGCCCTAGTAGGGAAGAACCCCATGAATTGAGTTAAGATGTCCTTTTTATTGTTGTCCTTTGTGTCTCCTAATAAGATCATGTTACATCAATTAATTAATTAAAATATTTTAATTCTCATGATTTTTTAGTTAATGTGCATAAAAATTTAATTTACGTGACAATAATATTATTAGAGAGATTTTGAATTGATATATATTTGTGATTTTTCAATGCAATTATTTCAATGATTGAACCATTAAAATAATTTGTATTAATACAACAATATTAACAAGGACCAAAGCAAAAGAAAAAAAAAGGGAAACTAATGACTACTCATATATATATTGTAATATTTTTTGAACAGGACTCTGCTTCTAGCAAAAAAATTTAAAAAAAAAACTTTTTTCAATAAGAAAACTATATGTCGTTTTTATACATTATGACAATCCTCCAAAATCTAAACGAGTATTATTAGAACAAACTAGGTCTCCTTCAATTCGCGGATTCGAGTTTTTAATTCGAACTGAGATGTGATATTTTCTGAGAGCTTTTCACTGTAGCAGAAAAAGTTAGATGTGACATTTTTTACGAACTTTTTACTGTAGAAACCTAAAACTGAAAACTCGAATCGGTGAAATGAACGAGGCTAAATCGTTTTTATTTTGAAACGACCAATGGCAAAGTGACATCCTGTTGGACTGAGTAGCTAGTTGAGTAACATAACATGTTTTTCTAACAAAAATCACAAATTTTTTTATTTTCGGCTAATTTTCACCAAACATTTAGTTAATTTTCTTTTTCTTCCTAATGGTGCAAGATGAGGAGAGTTCAGTTGATATTTAATCTTACGCCATCACATATTTCATTATATGTAAACAAACTCAACGAAAATATTTAACTAAACATTAGAAAATTTCACATTGAATATTATAAATGAATCGTCCCTCATTTATCTTATCAACAGTAATTCAAAAAAAAAAAAAAAAAACAAATATGTGCAGTTTTTCCTTGAATTTTCTTCACGGGTTCGCCATTCTTTTAAAAAATTTTAAATACAGTTCAAATACATACAAAGATAAAGTTGTCATTGGCCTTGGATTTGTCGGACTAAGGAGATGTTTGTTTCATGTATTCATCACTGATTCTAAATCATGATTTATGATTCTCTACAGTATTTTTCTCTCACAAAAAATACACGTAAAGCGAGAATGGTTTTGAATCATGATTCTGAATCTATAAACTAAACGTCCACTAAGTTTCTCGGAGTATCATCTGAGGAGTCCACTTAAGATGCACATTTAGCCTTCCAGATTTTGCACCATCTAATGGAAAAGTGTCTTGAAATTCCCCTTCCAATAGGGCCCTTGTAAGCGTCATGATGACTCTCCCTATTTTATCCTGAGAAATGCGATCCATAATTTACATTTTTAAGAAATTAGTACATTTGAAAAGTTAACTAACAACAAGGGCAATTTGGTTTACAAATAGTGTTTTTGAAAGGTAATAATTTCTTGAAACATCTACTTGATACTCCTCATCATTTAACATCTCCAAATTTTCCTATTGAATTCACCAAGGATTTAGCTTACGATCCATGATTGTGACTCTCATTGAAAAGATATTGGACCTTAATAATTACTTGGAAACCAGCCAATCCAAAATTTACAGTTTGAACATATGTTGGTAGATAATAATAGAGAAGAATCATGCTAGATATGCCAGCTTTAATCCTATCATTTAATTATACCAACTGACATAGCATGCAAAGCCGCTGTTCTTTATCAGCATAAGTTATAACAAATTTTCACGTCAATTAATATTAAAAGATTACATCTGCCGGTAAAAAGATGAAAAATTTAATGCCGCGTAAGTTGGTATTACTTTATACGTCGTAGATCAAGTTTGCAAACCGAAAGAAAGGTATTATTAAGGTAATAGAAGAACATCTTACCTTCCCAAAGGTGTCATGATCCCAAACTTCCAGAATTAACATTTCATGTAATGCATCTTCGACTACAAAGTCAAATGTTTGATTCCAAATTGGATTCAAATTGTCGTTCAAGACCTGAGGAAGCACAAACGAATTAGATTATAAAATTTATCACATTACTGGTTAAGTAATAAACCTTGCACAGTATCTCATTGCGTATCCATAGATGAAAAACATCATAAGGTGTATTCATTTCCACAAGTTGTAACTCAAAATACAATTCTCACCCTAGTTTTGACTTTGGTTTCAGATTTCTTCATTATGAGGACAACATAGGGGTCAGCTTTTCCCATCAAATCGACTACCGGTAAGTCTTCAGCTGATATCACTGTCACAGACAGTACACCTCTAACAATGACCTCCCTCTTCTTCTTGGTGGTGGTTTTGTCAGCATCAGAACCTTCTGTGCCATGAATTTCACTCTTGAGGACCTTCTCTAGAGTCGTTAACGAATAGTCGGGATTGAAAGGGTTTGCAAAGTTATTCTCTGTGCCAAAAGGACAGTACAAGAGTTCCAATTGCACCTATGACATTATTATAGAGCTTGTTAGGATATACAACCTTATATTGTCCCACCTCTTATCAAGTTAACCTTTTAAAAGAATTGATAAATTAAGGCGGTCTTGAATTCAAATTCATGTTTAACATATTTCGAGAAGAGTGTCTATGACCTATCAGCTTAAGCTTTTAGAAGAATTTGTAAACTCTACATTGTATCAAAGGGATAAGAAAACGAGAAACTACCTGACCCCGGTATTTAGTATCTCTCTGGACCTCCAAATCCTTGACCAATTTCAACCAAACATCCTTCACTTTACCTGGCTGGAGGTCTTTAAGAGGCACTTGAGCACAACCAATGAGTTCAGAGGCTTGAACCCCTTCGTCATCAAAAACTCTTATCGTCAAGTGCTGAGTAGACGCATCTTCAACTATGAACTCAAAGTGCTCATTCCATATTGGATTCAGTTGGTTATTCTATCAAATGTGAATGAAGAGTAAGATTTAGCAGAAGAGGGGGAAAAAAAGAAAACAAAAATAGAAGAAGTTGAACATTTCTCACAATTGTGTTACTGGTTTTCGTTTTTTCGGGTAGTGGACGTATGAATAACACAGCAAAAGGATCTGACTTCCCAACTATGTCTTTATTTGTGAGGTCCTTGGCTTGCACAAGCTTTACTTCCAATATCCCAATTGTTTTCAATTCCAAATCACTATGACACGACAAAATGTTGGTTGAGGAGAATATCATCAGAAAATGGATTTATCATATTAATCATGAACATCATGGCTTAAAGTCTTCTCACTTTAATGATAGATAACAAGGATAAATTACAAAAATCCTCCTTGGACTTTGCCACTGGTATCAGCTTAGCCCCTGACTTTTCAAATGATAACCCTGAAGTCTGAACTTGAGAAAAGTGGTAAAGTTGGTCATTTCATCTATTCTTGTTCGAAAAATGGACGGAAAATCTCATGTGCAGTCATGTACTTTTTGGATGGAAAATAAGTAGAGCGACTAAGGTTGCCACTTTCATCAAGTTCAAGAGATGTCTAACAAAGTTTAAGGGGAATCTTTGTATTTTTTTTTCCTATGTCATAAATGACTTATAACCACCATTATTTAACCATATAACAAAATTAAAATACCTGTAATCCCCAGGTAAAATGGGAACAATTTTACGCACTGGCCATGTTATGGAATCTTCAATAGCATCTCGTATTGTTTCCTGAACGAAATCGTGTGGCGGTATGATTAGAAGTATGTTACATGCATGACAATTAAGAACAATAAACAAAATGGAGAAGGCAAACTTTGCAAAGAAATGAAAGTACAGAAGAGTAGATCGAAAAGTTCTGTTCAAACCTCAATGGCATCATAAATTCCTGGGATTGTTGATACATCGCCACCAACAATTTTTAGTTTAAAGTCCAGTTTTTTCTGTAGAATGAAGCATTTAAAAAAAAATTATATTTTGTCTTTGTAAGAGGCAATCAATTATGTCTCTGTTTATGGCCGCATAAAAGTTAAAAGAGTTGGCCATAATACGATAATGATGTTACCTTCTCTCTCAAGGAATAAGAAACAGCTCCAAAACAGGGGAACTCATCAACAAGTGGCTTGAAGATTAACCTGAAAACCCCAGTGAATCCAATATTTTTCACCTAGACAAACAAGGTAAAACCCAAGAAGATGAACAGTTACAACAAATCTGGTGTGAAAGACCTTTCATTCAGAGGTTCATTTAGAGCTATTAGTTTCATGTTGTTTATCTTTATCAGCAAAACTTTATGACTTCTCGTTCCGACAGAAGTCCGAAATAGGATTAGTCAAGACAACTTTTCCGCGATAATTTAGAAGTCATTGGCTAGAGATCTGAGGAAACCAGAATTACCAGATTTGTTTTTGTGAAACCATCTTTGTACCTGTATAGGTAGTGCAACACCAAGCCTTGTCTTAACATCAAGTACAATACTTGGATTACCATCCCATTGTATCTCCAACTCCATTGTAACTCCATCAGCTTCACTTTTACTTTCAAGAATGGAAACTCCTGAAAAACATTGACCCCTTCTATGAGTACCATTACCAAAGCAAAACCAACAAAACTAATCACATTGTTTCTCTTCACTAATGTCTGACTAGAACTTTACCAATAACAGTCCTGTAATATCACTTAAAACTCTTCCTATATTCAGAAGGTAATCTTTTTTGGAAATAAACCATGAACTTTAATTCTATAAAGCACGACTATGACACCTATATTATTCAAATTTCTTCAGCTAGCGTGCTTTCTTTTAAATGTTGGGAAGCAAAAAGAGCAGAATAGCATGTTATTTTGTCTATGTTTCAATATTTTCACCGAAAATTGAATGTTTTTCTAATAGAACATGATAAAATTTTGAGGCAGATATAAGCGTTTTTCTGTTGAGTTCGAAAGTGAATTATGCAGATTGCCATTTTGGGTACTATGGACTTGATTGATTTTCCTTTTTTTTTTTTTCTCTGAGAAACCGCTAACATTCGAAAACCATCATCATATTCACAAGAAAATGTACTACCACTGGGAATCCAGAACAGTGCGAAACAATCTCAATAAGACAAGGAAAAAAAAAAAAAAAAACTACCCATAAAAATATGGCTAACAATGTCACAAAAACACTAATAAAAAAACAACTAACCTGTAAATTGAGGAGCCACAGTACCAAGAGTCAACTTAGAGAACTTAAGCGAAGATAATATAGTTGATCTGTATCGTTCAAGTACCGGCTCCACATTGCTCCTTATCAGCGCCGACGCTGCCTAACCAAGAACAACCAAATAGAAAAAAAAAAAAAAAAAAAAACCCCTTCGAATAAGTTACTTAATTACACTTTCCCTATAAAAGGGCTAAACCAGGAAAAAAAAAAAAAAAAAAAAAAAAAGAGTAACACAATTACCTCATTAACGTATGGCCAAATTTTGTCAAGATGGTGATTCAGCCAATTTAACTGCAGTTATAAATTCAACATTAATATTGATGTTGGTGTTAGCTAGCAACCAATTATCCCAAATACTTGAGCTGATAAGTAATAATAATAGGTAACAGTAGATGCTAGAATAATGAGTGAAAATCAAACTGAGGCATTTTCTAAAAGACATGCATAAATGAAAACTGAAGAGTATTAAAATTACTGAAGATTATTAAAATTGCTAATAAGAAACTCAACTTCTGGCGCTGAGTAAAGACGACCCAAGCTGGATAAAAATCAGCTGGAAGAATAGCCTTTGAGTCTTTCACCGTCATCCTAGCAAACGCCGCCACTGTTTTTGCCTTGTACATAAAATCCCACCAGATAAATATGTCTAAACATGACAACAGAGTCTCAAGGTAATATATATCTATATATATATATAACGTATAAAAATATTACGTACCAAATCTTTACGACGTCTGGATCGTGCCCTCTCGGCGCGGGCGAAGGCGGCGATCAAAACGACGCCGACGGCGATGCCGATGATCGCACCGGCGAAAAACGACATCTTTTATTATGTCGTCGTCGACGCTGGAGATGACCCGATTGAATTTCTTAACGTGCCCAGAAAATCGTGTGTCCGTTTCTATATTTGTTTGGGATTGGCAATCGGATTTTGAGATGTGCCGAAAAGAAAGATTTTAGCATTGTGTTTTTTTGCTGAATGGATTGACCGATGTATTGTTTGGTTTTGGAATTGGAAACAAGAAAAGTAATATGTTCTTTTCTTTCGCTTTCCTTCCTTCAAATCCTTCCTTTGTTCCTTTCCTAATTGTCCTTATTTTTTCCTTTTTTGCCTCCAAATTTTTCTTTATTTGCAACTACTCCTTTTTCTTTATTTTCACTCTTCTAATTTCTTTCACGACAGTCCTTTCAGTAGTGATTCAATAATAGAGAGAGATCAATTTCATACCATAACTTTTGAAAAAAAAAATGTCAGGTTATAATTGAGAGACTTTATTTAGTAAAAAAAACAACTGAAATACACCTGTACCATAGCGTTTATATTTACATATAAAATGGACTATATAATTTTTCATAATAGTTGGGATGCAAGTGAAAAGAATTCACGTAGAATGGTTTTATCGTGAAACAATGAGAACATTGCGGGCGTAAGAGAAACCTCATTCTGAAAATCATATAAAATACAGTTAACGGTGTGATTAGTGGTATCTGATTCTTGATTTGTTATAGTAATTAATCTATGGCGTGCCCCAACCATATTACCTGCCGTCCCAACTACGTGGCATGATGGCGACTTGCCCGCGTATTTTTGTCCGTTTGCACTTGACACTTGGTTCATCACGTGACACGTGATTCTTGCCCTACGTCTTACACAAAGACAATCAATTTATTTATTTATTTATTTCTTCTTTTCTCTACTAAGTACTCAATACTTGCATGAATTAAACAAATTAATATTAGTGGAACACGAATGCTAGTCATTGGCGACTTCGTTATTTAAGCAGTTAATAATAATTCGTATACTTAAATGGCATCTAACAATCATATTATGTAACAACCTTTAAAAAATTTGAAAATGTTAAAAGAAACAATGAAAATGAATTGAAAATATTGAAGTATCATAAAGTGGTGGATTTATACACTATTTAGTCAAAAAAAAAATAGAAAAGAAATTGGAGTCCTCCCTAATATTTATTAAAGCATAAGACAATTAAGAAAAACATATATCCGGATTCGAAGGAAACAGTCAATAATAATAAAGGTCTCGTTCATTTCACCAATTTGAGTTTAGAATTCGAGTTTTACTATAGTAAAAAGTTTTCAGAAATACTCACATCTAATATTTTTATTACAGTAAAAAATTATCACAAAAAATCGCATTTCAATTCGAATTAAAAACTCAAATTAGCGAATTATACGGGCCTAAAAAATGTACAGGTTATCAAAAAGAACATTACTAAAGGGTTGTTTGGTTGGGGGATTCGTATCCTGATTCGAATCATGATTTATGATTCGTTACAGTATTTTTTCTCATAAAAAATATACATAAATAAAAAATAATTATAATCTCATGATTCTAATTAATAAATCAAACGTCTCCTAAACAACTCCGTGACCCGTTCAACTCCTCAAACACGGTGCGCCCCATATAAATTCCACAGAAGCATGAGTCCCATCCCATGTGCGTGCAGAGCCGTTCAGCATTTTTGTATCAGAAATATAAGTTGAAAAGGAAACCGTTATTTGGAAATCAAATCGTACATGTTTAGAATAAAGAGAGAGTATCTTATCAACAAGTATTCCTGAAACAACCGGACCCAAGACAGCTGATATGACCTTCTCAACAGAACCTTTCTCTTTTTTATTATACAGAGTGGCATAAGAGATAAAACGATCCATTTAATCTATTAAAAAAAAATACCCATTTAGTTTATTATTATTACTTTTTCCTGACTGAAAGACCATCTTTCTCTTATCTTTTTTTTTTATTTTCTTTTTAAGAGTGTTCTTGTATTGATAAGATTAATTTTTGATCGTTAAATTTAATTAAAATTAAATAAGATTTAAAAAATTTATAGAATTAATAATTTTTAATATAAATTTAATAGTTAAAAATAATAAAAAAAAATTATTGATAATTTTATTTTTTTAATTCTACGAGAAAAACTTCCTTTCTTTTTATTGGTGTGCACATTTGTTAACTTTATGAAGTGTCGTGATATTAACATGGCGGTCGCTTTATAAACTAGACATTCCCATGTTAGCATAAATGGCCTATAACTTGTTCCTTTTTCCAAGGAATGACTAATCGTCCTTTGGCTTTTTCATGCATTTTTCCCTTTTCCCAAGCCTCTTTTTTCTTTTTTTTTTTTGCTTTTTTTTTTTTAAATTATTTTTGAAGGCTAACCAAGCATCTTTCTGATTCTTCACTATAATAATAATAATAATAATAATAATAATAATAATAATAACAAATAAATAATTAAAAAATAAGAAAAATTATCAAGAGTAACTAATACTTTTTTTTTTTAAATTTTGACAAACGTTTACGTAACTAATGTTCCATATACCCCATTTCATTTTTTTTTTAATCCTCTTTTTTAGGTGAAACATATACCATTCCACTTTTCATCATATAGCTACAATTCTGTACGCAGAATCATGGTGAACGGATCACAATGACCACTATTAAATGAAACGCAATCATTTTCTTATGAATACTTCGGGAAATCAAGAGCTAATTATCAAATATTTATTAATAATCAATGTCTTTTCAAAAAGAAAAATCTTTAACGTTTTTCGCCGACTTAATTTGATATTATGCGTGTCAGTTGTCACAACTTGACAGCTGCAATATTATTAGTTCATGATCATTAATCAGGAAAAATATATCAAGTTATTTATTCAATAAAGAATTACGCCTTTATTCTTATCTGCTAAGAGATATTTTAAAGAGTGGAGCACAACCACTGTCCATTATTTTCCCTTTTTAATTCTTCCTTCCCATAATCATTTTCAAAGTTTACGTAAGGATCTAATATATATATATATATACACACGTATATATATAAGTGCTGACCAAATTAAGCTTGTAATTACAAATATACATACACATATATATATATATATATATGCGTGTGTGTGTGAGGTTCACTCGACGATTTTCTTTACCTGATGCCTTGAGGACTTCCCAGAAATGTATGCACATACGCATGTGATCGATGATATTTTGATGCCTCTGTACTCTTTATCTGTAAAATAGAAGGCTTACATTCTCCTTTTATAATATTCCAATTTCTAAAAATCAGTTAACTTCACACTCTTTTTTCAAGAAGTCAAATATTATGGGTGCGTTTAGAACTCGTTCTAAAATAATTTTATTTTTTATATGAAAATGGAAATGAAAACGTTTTCAATCTTAGATAGAAATCATTTTAAAAATGCGCTTAGTGGTTTTTTCAAGAGATAATTTTCAATATAAAAAAAAATCCATTAATGTCTCTCTCTCTACTTGATAGAGGAAAAAACGGAAAACGATTAAAAGTAGTTTTTCATTTCTTTCTCATTTTACACAAAACTAAAAAATCACTTTTATTTCTGTTTTTTATCTTTAATTGTGTCAAAAGCTGTTTTTCTCATGTTTTCATTTTTTCTTTCTCAAAAAATGTAAAAAATAAAAACAAAAACAACTCCAAACACATCCTATATATTTTTTATTGGTTCAGTTATCAGGTTAATTCAAATGAAGTAAATTAGTAAATATGAACAAGTTGAAAGTAGAGTACAAATGTTAGGAAATTAAAACAATATTGGAAATATGATGATCACCTTTAACCCTCTACCTTTAAGTGAATGCAAAGCAATGTTTGACCTCTTGACGTGTATTGTTAACAACATGAAATAACAAAAATATTAATTTGAAGTGTCCCATATGTTTTCACGCCTTTACTGAAATTAGTATAACAATTATTATTTTTTCTTTTGCTGGAAGAAATTGGTACAACAATTGAATATTTATGATACGGTGTGTTGGCAAAAATCTCTTTTGACACGCTAACATTAGTTACTTTTTCTAATATTCTTATTTTATTTGCAAATTTGGTTCATTCCGGGTCAATTACTAATTTATCACCCAATACTCCACTTTTTAAACACAATCTGCCTCTCATAGAGTATGAAATATTAAAAATTTGATATTTAAAAGGAAAAAAAAAGAAAAATTGAGAAAAATAAAAAAAATGAAAATGAAAATTGCCATACCACTTGAACATGTCCTGGTGGCCCCACCTAATAAAATGCCTAACTTATCGGTTTTTTCATTCCATGATATGCCTAGTTATTCCATAATAGAGCATCCATTATCTTTTGCTTAGTAGTAATTAGTACGCAAGAATTTCCTCTGCTCTTTTTTTTTCCCCTTCTCAAGAATATCTTTTTGGCAGTAAAATGTGACACATTATAATAAATAAAAAAATAAAATGACAGATTTTTTTTAGCACTATTTTTGGGATAATTTCATAAATAATCTCCGCACTTTTCTATCAATTTTATTTTAATTCCTCACTTTTAAAACGTCTTAAATTTAATCTTAAATTAGCAATTTATTTCATTTTCAACCCCTTCCTCCTCAAGTTAGATGTTAAAAGGAAGACAATATATAAGTGATACTCTTTGATCTTTCAACAAAGTATTCTCCTTTATCAAGATCACTTGTATATTCTGTCATTTTTAAACACTTAATTGATAAAAAAGATTAAAATTAAAATTAATAAATTAGGGGACGTTTAAAAAAAAAATTCGTGTCATAATTTAAATTATAATTCGTGATTTACTATAATATTTTTTCTCATAAAAAATATACATAAAACAAAAATAATTTTAAATTTAAGAATTAAACGTCATTCAGTCAGTGATTACAAACAAAATTTGTCACGTTTTAAAAGTTAAATACTAAAACGAGATTGACCGCAAAATTCGAGGGCAGTTAATACTTCATACTGGGATAAAATTTCTAGAAAAATCGCAAAGTGGGAGAAAAGTTCTTCGGAGCACGTGTCTCCGCCAGAGAGTCTCTCATGTCGATTCGCAACGTCGAGGACATACCACACTAGTGCACTGTCGATAACCGTCCCTCTGTTTCTCTCTCTCTCTCTCTGGTTCTTCGAGTCCGCTATAAAAACCAGGAAGTCTCCGCTTCTCATTGCTTCAAAGATACATTACGTTACGAGATCATCATCATCATCATCAGAGAGGAGAGAGGGAGAGAGAGAAATGGCGGGAAACGATTGGGTGAACAGCTATCTGGAGGCGATTCTGGACGTGGGACCCAATCTGGACGACGCGAAATCGTCTCTGCTTCTGAGGGAGAGAGGCCACTTCAGTCCGACCCGCTACTTCGTCGAGGAGGTCATCACCGGCTACGATGAGACCGATCTCTACCGCTCTTGGGTTCGAGTACGTTAAGTTTCGCTTTTTTTTTTTTTTTTTTTTTTTTTTTTTTTTTTTTTGTAATTTTGATTCGATGAAATTGATCGATGTAATTCACGTACGTTTTGGTTAAGGCTGCGGCGACGAGGAGTCCGCAAGAGAGGAACACCAGGTTGGAGAACATGTGCTGGAGAATTTGGAATTTGGCTCGCAAAAAGAAGCAGGTTTTTTTTTCTTTTGATTTTGATATTAGAGTTTCTGCAAAGATGTAGACTTTAGTTGAATTCTGGAATTTTTGTTCTCCTTATGATCAGTTTTGGTGGTGGTTAATGAATCATGATTTAGGCCTTTTCGGTTACAGATGGTTCTGGCATTGCGTCTTGAAATCATGTTCTGGAGTTTGTCAAAGATGTCCTGTTTGAAACTTTTGTAATGTTACATATCTGGATTAGTGAGGGAGTTTTTTTTTTTTTTTTTTTTTTTTTTTTTTACCGTCCTTTGAGCTGCTCATATTTCTACATTTCTGAATTTAACAGTTACGAGAATTTTAAAGGAAAGAGATTTTTGGCCTTTTAGAAAAGCTGAAATGAGATTCATTTCTTGTTGTTTGCAAATTATCATTTATATTTCTATATAGTTTTGGAGTTTTTCTTTCAAAGTATGTGCATACTAGAAGTAGTACAAACCGCAAATCTGCGTATTTATTTATTTTTTCGACATATTTTGCATACAACAAGAATTTATTGTCGTGGAACAATATATATATTATATATATATATTTATTTTGGCGTTATTATTCTTTGTTTGGATTAAGATGTTTTCTCTCTGTTTGCCCTTTTTTATCTTTTTATTTGGAGCAGCTTGAGGGAGAGGAAGCTCAACGTATGGCAAAACGGCGTCTTGAACGTGAAAGGGGCCGCAGAGAAGCAACTGCTGATATGTCAGAAGACTTATCAGAAGGAGAGAAGGGAGACACACTTGGTGAAATAGCTCATGGTGATAGCACCAAAGGAAGATTGCCACGAATTAGTTCGGTAGATGTGATGGAAAACTTGGTTAACCAGCTGAAGGATCAGAAACTCTACATAGTGTTGATAAGGCATGAACTATACTTTGTCCAGCCATAGCTTCGAAGAGGTTACTTGGGAGTCTTTTCTCCTGAGATAAATGTTTTCTTTTTTGTTTCTTTTATTAACATAAAATGAAGTTGGCTATAGCTCTGATTCTTGAATACAAATTTGTTTAGCTGATTCTTGAAAACAAATGTTTTAGCTGATTTCTAACAAGCAGCCTTCATGCAGTCTTCACGGCTTGATACGTGGTGAGAACATGGAACTTGGTCGTGATTCTGATACAGGTGGACAGGTAACGTTTTGCTACCCTGTATTTGACAAAATTTTTGACACTTTTTCGTCAGTGTTATAACTTTCCTAGTACTTAATTTGGAGCTTAAAATTTCTTTCCTTATCAGGTTAAGTATGTAGTAGAACTTGCCAGGGCCTTAGGCACAATGCCAGGCGTTTATCGGGTTGATTTACTGACAAGACAAGTATCAGCACCAGATGTGGAATGGACTTATGGTGAGCCTACGGAGATGCTAAATCCAAGAAACTCAGAGAATTCAGCACATGAGCTCGGGGAGAGTGGCGGGGCTTATATAATTCGGATACCTTTTGGCCCAAAAGATAAATACATAGCGAAAGAACTTCTTTGGCCTCACATTCCTGAATTTGTTGACCGTGCAATAAACCACATTATGCAAATGTCCCGAGTTCTTGGCGAGCAGATTGGTGGTGGGCAGCCAGTTTGGCCTATAGCAATCCACGGACATTATGCGGATGCAGGTGACTCTGCTGCTCTTCTCTCTGGAGCTTTAAATGTGCCAATGCTTTTTACTGGCCATTCACTTGGGAGAGATAAGCTTGAACAACTCTTAAAGCAAGGGCGTCAATCAAGAGAAGAAATAAATAAAACATACAAAATTATGCGACGAATTGAAGCTGAGGAGCTATCCCTTGATGCCTCTGAAATTGTTATAACCAGCACCAGACAGGAGATAGAAGAGCAGTGGCGCTTGTATGACGGCTTTGACCCGATACTTGAACGGAAATTGAGAGCAAGAATCAAAAGGGGTGTTAGCTGCCACGGCAGATTCATGCCTCGCACGATTGTAAGTATTAAGATACACTCTTTATATGGTCTTTGTTTTAAACCATGTTTTATAGTTCCAGCGACAATGAAGAGAAAATGCATAAATTTCATTGTAATGACTCATTGTGAGATTACCCCATTTTGATATGTTGTGTTTCCTTTTACAATTGTATTTCCATTAGGTAATGCCTCCCGGAATGGAATTTAATCATATTGTCCCACATGATCACGAGGATGTAGATGCTGAAGTGGAAAGACATGAAGATAATCCTGCTACTCCTAATCCACCAATTTGGTCAGAGGTTATAGTCAAAGCTATATGGATTTGCCCTTTCTTCTATGATTGTTCTGTCCTAACAAATATTATGAGATGCATGCTCTTTTGCAGCAGTAGTAGATATATTGTTGTAATGCTTCACATATGAGTTTTACTTTGCAGATTATGCGTTTCTTTTCCAATCCACGCAAGCCTATGATACTTGCGCTTGCAAGGCCAGACCCTAAAAAGAATATTACCACTCTAGTCAAGGCATTTGGAGAGTGTCGCCCATTGAGAGAGCTTGCTAATCTTGTATGTATCTTTTAAACTGTATGGTGTGTAATTTTTAGAATTCAGAAACCAATTTTAATATGTTTCTGTTATTTTACCTTTTACAAATACTTTCGTACATTAGTCCATCCTCATAATTTCATTTTCACGCTTTTTGTTGATGCAGACACTAATAATGGGAAACCGTGAAAATATTGATGAAATGTCTGGCACAAATGCCTCTGAGCTTCTTTCAATTCTTAAGTTGATTGACAAGTATGATCTATATGGCCAAGTAGCATATCCTAAACATCATAAACAGTCTGATGTTCCTGACATCTATCGTCTGGCTGCAAAAACAAAGGTACATATGTTGTACTAGTGCAGGCTTTTTTCAAGAATCCAGCCTTCATTGGCCAACTTCTCATTTCAATAAGATATTTTTGGTAGGGTTTTTATAAATCCAGCTTTTGGGTTCACTTCTCATCTCCTGTACACGTCATTTGCCTTCTCATCTGAACGAACTTTTCTTCTGCAGGGTGTTTTCATCAATCCGGCTTTCATCGAGCCATTTGGGCTTACTTTAATTGAGGTGCTCGTCTCTAAATTTCATTACAATCCTAAGTTTCAGATATTGATCTATGTGAAGTCCAACAGAAGGTTTTTTTTTTTTTTTTTTTTTTTTTTTTTTTTCTCCAACAGGCAGCAGCTTATGGTTTACCTATTGTTGCCACAAAAAATGGTGGTCCTGTGGATATTCATAGGGTGCGCTTTTTCTGAGCCTATCTTTTTTCGTGGAAGCATAATCTCATATTTATTATACCTGTCATGAGGTGATTTGTAGCTTCTTCTTACAGGTCCTTGACAATGGTCTACTAGTTGACCCCCATGATCAACGAGCAATTGCTGATGCTCTTCGGAAGCTTGTTTCAGATAAGCAATTGTGGGCAAGATGTAGGCAAAATGGACTTAAAAATATTCACCTTTTCTCATGGCCAGAGCATTGTAAGACGTACTTATCCCGAATAGCGAGTTGCAAACAAAGACAACCCCAGTGGCAAATAAGTGATGCTGAATATGACAACTTGCAACCAGATTCACCTAGTGATTCCTTGAGAGACATACAAGACCTCTCTCTCAACTTGAAGCTTTCATTGGATGGTGAGAAAAATGAAGGAAGTGGTATTGTTGATAACTCTTTGGACGCCGAAGAGAGTGATTCTGATGGAAAGAACAGGTTAGAGAAGGCTTTTTTGACATTGTCGAAGGGCATTTTAGGTGGCAGTCAAAAGTCTGTATCCACAGAGAAAGAAGATTACGGTACTGGCACAAATAAATTTGCAGCATTCAGGAGGAGAAAGTATATATTCGTAATTGCAGTTGATTGTGATACGACATCGGAGTGTATTGAAATCATTGAAAAGGTCATCGAGGCTGCAGGGAAGGACAGGGATACAGGATCCATTGGATTCATATTGTCAACATCCTTGACTATATCTGACATTCATTCCCTTCTGATCTCCGGAGGTTTAAGCCCGTCAGATTTTGATGCTTTTATTTGTAACAGCGGTTGTGATCTCTACTATCCATCTTCAAACACCGAGGATAGTCCTTCTGGGCTTCCCTTTGTGGTAGACTTAGACTACCGTTCACACACTGAATACCGATGGGGCGGAGAAGGTTTGAGGAAGACTTTGGTTCGCTGGGCTACTTCTATCAATGACAAAAATGGAGAAGGCATTGTTTCGGATGATGAATCGGGATCAACCACTCATTGTTATGCATTCCAAGTGAAAGACCCCTCATTGGTAAACTTCTCCATTCTTTTAGCTCTACGTTTTTTTCTTTCTGAACATCAATTTTGGCATTTCACTGGCTCCTCAGCAAGTCATGCAGTTTTTATTTTTCCATTTTCAAATTTTTTAGCTCTACTTCTCCTTTCTTGGTGGTGCAGATCCCTCCTGTGAAGGAACTAAGGAAACTTATGAGAATTCAGGCTCTTAGATGTCATGTCATATACTGTCAAAATGGTACAAAGCTGAATGTTATCCCTGTATTGGCTTCCAGAGCTCAAGCCCTCAGGTAAGTTATGCAGAAGTTTTTAATCTTTTTCGATTATTAAAGTAGATGTTTTTCTGTTTCCTGTTTAATGCCATGGAGAACAATTGTAAGTTTTGATAATTGAGAACAATTTTAAGTTACCAAAGACATCTTGTTCAGGTACTTGTACATCCGATGGGGCATGGACTTGTCGAGTGTTGTGGCGTTCATGGGAGAATGCGGCGACACAGATTATGAAGGATTGGTTGGTGGGGTCCACAAGACCGTTATACTGAAAGGAGTTGGAAGCGGGTCTCGTAGACTCCATGCCAACAGGAATTATCCTCTAGAAGATGTCATTTCACTCGACAGTCCAAACGTTGTTGAGTCTGAAAGTTGCAACAGCATTGACATAAGAACATCATTGGGGAAACTAGGGGTTCTCAAAGAGTAGAGAATCATAGCAATTTATGTGTTTTGTTTTCTAGATCTTCAGTTTCTCACGCATTGTCTGGCTGTTCGTTGCAGCCAAACTCCCTTGTTTTTGCAAAGTTACTTTACAACCATAAAACCACATGAGAAATTCAGTTGTGGATTTTTTTAAATAAATGCTTTGTTTCATCTCTTATTTATAAGTTTTGGTTATTGCCAATTAAATTGGTGCGCTATAGAATTACTAAAGTCTCGTTTAGTTCGTTGATTCGAGTTGAGATATAATTTTATGTGAAAGTTTTTTACTGTAGTAAAAAAATTAAATGTAATTATTTTTTAAAGTTTTTTACTGTAGCAAAACTCGTATTCTAAACTCAAATCGGTAAAATGAACGGGGTTTAAAACTCTCCCACTTGATCAGGATAGCTTCGCGTCACTGTGAAAAGTCCCACTAATGTCAAAGGCCATATTATCTTGGGGGAGTTCCTTTATTAGAATAGAGGGTCACAATGGATAGAAGCTTTGTTGTCGTTTTTTAATTGTCGTATCCATTGATACCACCATCGGCATCTATCGTGCAAAGCAGAGACGTAGCTGAGAGGCTGATACCGCAAACGAAGGGAGAGGAGTAAGTGTGTCTGCCAAAAAAAAAAAAAAAAAAAAAAAAGAGGTTAAATTTTTCCCCAGGAATTGGGGCTTGTGACGATGCCCCCCAAATTTATAAGATCAAATCCGATCTATTTGAATTTTAAATCGCAACTTACTGGTTCTGTCGGTTATGTGCTCAAAATTGCAACAAGTCAGTACATAAAGTAGGAAAATTAAGGCCTCTTTTGGTAAAAGTGAAATCATGAGAGAAAATATGATAGTAGACAAAGTTGAATTTAGATTTTTATGAGAGAAAATAATGTAGTAAAAAATAAAAATTTGAGTTATAATTCGAATTAACAAAGCAAAAGAGGTCTAATATTTTAGAATGATGTGAAATGATATACTTATCCTTGATCTTTAGAGTAAAAGTTAAAGGATTAAACTTTAATTTGAATTTTATAATTCAATTATTAGATAACCATATTTCAAAATCTAATATGGGCCTATGATGTGGGGACGAAAAGGGGTGGCACTAGTCTCCTGAGTTAGAGAAGCCGAGAACTGACCGCATCCCACGACATCAGTATAAAACGACAATATGTTCAAAGAAAATTGGCTAGAAGTCTAGAAAACGGCATAAATAAAAAACGATAACAAAATAAATAAACCTGGTTAACCCAAAAACGACACATGCCTTCAGAACGACATCAATGATCAAGCATACAAAACGTCAACGAACTACAAAGATAATAAAAAAAAAAATGAAAAGAAGACATAAATAAAAGCCCAAATAAGGGATGAAACGACACCAACAACAATAAACGACAAAAAATTTCCACCAAGAAAAACAGTAAACGACAATAGTTACGTCGACGAACGACAAAGATAATAAAAAAATTGAAAAGAAAACGACATAAATAAAAGCCTAAATACGTAAATACACGACACCAACAATAATAAGCAACAAAAGTTTCTACCAAGAAAAACAGTAAACGACAATAGTCACTTTAACTGGATGAGGATAGCTGCCTTAGAAACTATACTATAAAATAACAAATGATAGAAAAACAATATCAACAAGACAAACGACAACAAAATCACGAATAATAGAATAGCATAATAATAATAATAAGGGATAAAATCATTTTGATACCTTATATTATAGTAAAATATGTTCCTAGTATCATGTGTGTTCGATAATATTAAAACGTTACCTCGACATTTTTAAAAACATCTTCTTGGTATTCTGAAACTGATTTTTGAGACGTAAAATGACCTTAGTACCATTTTATTTAATTAACCAAAAACTAATAAATGTAAAAAATCATGCACTTTTTTATTTTGTATTTTTTAATATTTTAATATTTTCAAATATTTTCAAAGTTTTTTAAAAAAATATTGATTTCTATTTAATTAGTAAGAATGGTAGTTTCAACACTTACATGTCCCAAAAATCAGCTTCAGGTATCAAAAAGATATTTTTAAAAACGTAAAAATATCGCTTAAATATTATAAAAAACACATGATACCAAAAACATATTTCGCTATAATAGAAGGTATCAAAATAATTTTATCTTTAATAATAATTGGTAATTAAGGACTGCCCCTACTTATAACATGTAGAAGTGGGGGTCATGTACATGGTATTTGCACTATGTTGCAATTACTTTAGAATGTGTAGCAACGAATTTACCAGATTATTGTTTTACTTTTTAAAAGTCATTGTTCAACAGGATGAACCTAATGTTACACCTCTACTTATATATATTACAGGATAAGTGGTCCTTTCCAAAGGACCGAATTAAGAAAAACTCTATAACAATTAAGCGAAAAATATAGAAAAAAATAAAAGACATGATAATAATAATTATTATTCCTTTCAAAAAAATTATTTTTCTTTTTTTTGGGGAGGGAGAATATGATTAAGGCAGAAGTTAAAAGGGAATTGTTCAGTTCTATGAATAACACGTTAGATATGTTGTTTGTTTTTTCATTTGAAATATTACTCAGAAGAGGATTAAGAGATGTTGAAAAGAGATGGGCTAGAAAAAGACGAATGGAAAGATAAATAGTAGTTAATAAAATACAATTAAAAACTATATATATTGAGAAACGAATCTCTTTAATACTGGTTTTTTTATGAGATTTCTTTTTTATAGTCCTGCAAAGACTAGAGAATTAAATTGAAACCTAATTAATAGTATTTGTTTGTTTTTTTTAAAAAAAACTTAATAAATACGACTAATTTCAAAATATATATTTTGAGGTTTTTATGGATAATTAGTTAAGAGAATCCTAATAAGAAGGGGACCTTGGCTTAAAACCCTTAGCCGGCTAGAAACTAACTCAGAAACAAAATCTACTTGAATAACTATTCAAGTATAAATAAGATTCTGACCGTTTCCAAAGGAGTCCCAGTTACACTCTAACTTGTACATTCTTTGACTCTCATAATAAATAAATAAAAACCCTAAGCAAAGAAACACACACATATATATATAGATTACATATGCAGTGAATTAAATAATAGTCATGGGCGAGTACAAAAGTTGCACCAGCCCTTTTTTACTGTACCCTTCCCTCTTTCTGATCCTCCTTTTTTCTGCCATGAATCACCACGTTACCTTCTTTAACTTCCTCCCTTTCTCCCCTCGCAACCACACGCCGATCTTCAATGGAAACACTAAAATATTGCAGAAAGATTTTTCCTACATCGGAAGCAAGAACAGCACCGAGCTTTTGGCTGCAAAAAAGAACTTACAGAACAGTAGTAGTGTTTCGAATAATAACACTGTAAGTAATACTGCTTTAGAATACGAATGTGTTTAGATCAATATTTTATGTTTGTGAAAATATTTTTGTGGGACTGTCACTATCATTATAGTCATTAATTAATATTCTTTCTGTTGTTTTTTTTTATTCTTTTTTGAATGTAGATGGCAAAGAGGAACAATGTTGAAGAAGAGAGAATTGAAGAGGGATTGGCGAGAGCTAGAGCGGCAATAAAAGAAGCAGCTCGAACAAGAACCTATACATCCTACAAAGAGGAGCGTTTTATTCCCAGAGGACCAGTTTATCACAACCCTTATGCTTTCCATCAGTTAAGAGATCTTCTTTTTTTTTTTTTCTCCCTCATATACTAATTATTAATTCTATATTCAAACTTCTGTTTAAATTTCAAATTTTATTAATCTTTTCTAGCCATCAGACCTTGTTTTGCCCTTTTTTCTTCGTGTTCTTAACCCATCCCAGTTTCGTTAGATTTATGCCATGAAAATTTAGATATTCAGGTTTACGTACTAAACGGATTAATTAATTTAGCACTTAAGAGACCAAACACCACATATGTTCTTTGCACAACGCTTGTTTGGTGAATATATAGTTGAGTATTTTGCCATAACTTGGGCGTTATTTCTAAGGTTTTTTTTAATGTTAATTTTATTAATGATCAAGATTTAGACTTTTGGACAAATTATTAGACGCCCTGTATATATAGGCGGCTATACATATAGAAATGTAGCATGGCATCATGGTGTGGTGTGGTGTGGAGTGGGGGCAACATACGCACAGTAAATGGTTGTTCCTTTTTTGTGCCCACAAAGCATTACCCCTCAATTTCACAGAGACCCCAGTTTGGACCAAGTTTAGTTGATTTCTAGAATTCTTTTCTTATATTATTTATTATTTATTATTTCTTTTTAATAAAGTTGGCGGATCATATATAGTTCTTTTCATTTATAACACTGTACTTTTTTGGGTTTTGGGATGGGTTTGTACTTGGTTTATGGACTTGGTTCTGTTGTTCATTATGAACTAGAGATATGTCACAATCTTCGCACTCTTGTATACCCTCAGCTAAGCATTTTTGACTTTAAGATGGTCCCCTATCATATATAGACTGCATGCATCTAAGGATAAACACTAACCAAGAAGAATTGCAGTTAATATCAATGTTTTCTAGATTGGTAAATTTATATAGTTTTTATTTGGCAGACAAATTCTGATCATAAACACATGTGACAACATTCTACTTGCACATCATCCAGTTTTCTTACTACTATTAAAAAATGTTGAAAACCACAGTGCCCTTGCTTCTAGAAGGAAAAAACCCAAAAAAAAAAAAAAAAAAAAAAAAAATTTCCAAGACCAATATAATTAAGAGCTAATATGATAAATATCTTTTATTCTAATTAACACAGTACCCATTCTAACGTGTCTCTCTAAAATGTTATCAGGAGCCACATTGAAATGGAGAAGAGATTCCGAGTGTGGCCTTACAAGGAAGGAGAACCACCACTCTTTCACATGGGACCGATGAACGACATATATTCCACCGAAGGACTTTTCATGAATGAGTTACAAACCGAGACAAGCCCATTTTTAGCTCGGAACCCAAGCGAGGCTCTTGCATTTTACATCCCTGTTAGTGTCGTTTTTGTTATAGAATACGTCTACAAGCCCTACGTTACTTATTCGAGGACAATGCTTCAAGATGTCGTTGAGGATTACATTGGCATTGTTTCCAACAAATACCCCTACTGGAATAGAAGTAAAGGAGCTGACCATTTTCTAGTTTCTTGTCATGATTGGGTACGTATTCTTCTCCCTTCTTGCTTAATCTTGCAAAGTCTAACAAGGAAAAATTAATTAAATTAATTACATATAATATATATATATATATATATATATATATAAAAGGTTGGATACTATGATAAATCGTCTGATATAAATCGTACAGTTGCAGTTACTGCCTCATAAATTGAGTGTCTCCATTGCGAATATTATTTTTTAACTAATGTCAAGTTGTTTTTTAAGTAACTATATGTGATTAATTTCAAAGCAAAACTGGGGTGGGTCTTAGAATTGATGTATGAATAAGTGATTAGCCAACAAAACATAATTGATTTTCACACTTGTCATATATCATATCAGGCCCCAGATATTTCAAGAGCGCACCCTGACCTTTACAAGAACTTCATTAGGGTAGTCTGCAATGCCAACTCTTCAGAAGGTTTCCAACCATTCCGAGACGTCTCCTTACCTGAAATCAACCTCCGCAAAGGTGACTCAGGCTTAACCGACGCCGGCTTTGTCCAGCCACCTAATAACCGCTCGATATTAGCCTTTTTTGCCGGCGGACCTCATGGGTTTGTGAGAGAAGAACTATTCAAGCACTGGAAAGAAAAAGACAACGAGATTCAAGTCCATGAATACCTCCCTAAAACCCTAAACTACAAAGAGTTAATGGGCAAAAGCAAGTTTTGCTTGTGCCCTAGTGGGTATGAAGTTGCCAGCCCTAGAGTTGTGGAGTCTATTTACGCAGGGTGTGTTCCGGTGATAATTTCTCCTTCATACGTGCTGCCATTTAGCGATGTTCTTGATTGGAGCAAGTTTTCCATACACATTCCATTCGAAAAAATACCGGATATAAAGACGATTTTGGAAGGGATTTCTGAGGCTGAGTATTTGGAGATGCAAAAGAGAGTCATTCAAGTGCAACATCATTTTGTGCTCAATCGACCGGCGAAGCCCTATGATTTTATGCATATGGTGATGCACTCGATTTGGCTCAGGAGGCTTAACGTGAGGCTTTAGTTTTGATGCTTTTGCATGAGAGTTAGGATTTTGTACATTATTAATTACTATTTAGATATAGTCCCTCTGGCCTTATTTTTAGATATGTACAAGTAAGATCATTATCTGTTTTGTGAGAAAGTTGTTATCAATAGAAGTAAAGGGGATTACGCCAAGAGTAAAAGTTTTACTGCATAGTAGTTAGCTTATTAAAGGAATAAAAACTGTGTTATACATACTAATTATTGATTAACAAGAACTCGGTATTGGTAGAAAAGGAAACACGATAGGCGATAACACTTGTCTCCATTAGCCAACGAGTCAACAAGTCAATTCGGCTGGTCTCACTTATTTCGGTTTGCTTTTCGGTAATGTTGTCTCACCCGGTTTAGTCGTTGGATTAAGTTAAATAAAACCTGACGGACTTGTTTAAATAATAATGAAATGCATAACGTGTAGATATGAATAATAACAAATATGAGAGACAATTATTTCAAACGTAGGTCTAATAACAGTACGGGATTATGATAATCAAAATATGAAAGGACGACGAATAATAGGTTATTACACGATTTAGTTAAAATTACGTGGAAAACAAATAAGCAAATTAATAAAATTATTACATAATGGAGTATTCAGGACCGTACAATGGTAAGATTGCGAGAGAACATGAATTGCAACATTATGTATTGATCCCAATAAGTGTATCACTTATGAAAATAATAGAATTGATAACACAATTTTACTAACACAATGGAAACAAATTAGAGTACGTAAAATAATAATAACAATAAGAATCTAGGTTTAATAACTCTACGAAATTACGATAACTTTCGGTAACCTTACGTCACTCGTAAGGGAGAAAACGTATATATTTGGTATCAATTTGATACCAATAATATATGCCAAATAAAATATATATATATATACACACACACATACACACACATATGATTGCGCTAATTAGAGTTTCCGTGCTCCAATACTCGCAATAATTTGCACCGCAATGCTTTAACTGATCAACAGAAATAATTAAATCGTATTTGTTACTTAAGGTCAACTAACGAATATGGCAAGAACATTTAGCATAATTAACTCCATTTCAATTTTTTTAAATATCATAATTAACTCCACTTATAGTGCTCAAATAGGCAGCGATATTAAGTTGTGTCACAAAAAATGAGAAAGTTTTTAGACTCTTTTATGTATGTAAAGATAAAAATAAAGATACGTAAAGATATATTCACTATTTTATTTGTTAGCTAGAGCTGATATATATACTTATAGTGCTCAAATGGGCAACGATATTAAGTTGATCAACAGCCAAGACTCAACATAATCCGATAATTATGATTAACGATATACTATTTTTATTCAAAGTAAAGAGCAAGTGGCCGCACAAAAAGAAAGAGCTGGGTGGTGTTTAACATTTTGTGTTTGTCAATCTTTTTTGTTTCATATGACGCTTTTTCCTCAAAATTTTTTTTAATTATGAATCACCCTCTTTCCCCTTCATTTTATTACTGGTCCAGTCTCCTGCCAAGTTATTATTATTGCTACCTAGCATATATAATATCATAATTGGATGTCAGTTTACCTATGCATTGTGTATCCCCACAAAAGGAAAAAGAATCGACGTATAAACATTAACATTTAAAAAATAAAAAAAAAATAAAAAAAACTGTACAGACATGAATTCCTTTGCACACTTAATGCCACTTATTTTTTTTCTCTCTCTTTTCTTTCCTGCAGCCGCTTTGAGTGTAAACTACTGCGCAGAGAATATAATTGCATGCGCACTTAAAGCTAGTTAGTTTTATGTGTCTTCTCTCGTCTATATTTGTAACAAAAAATAATAAAAAAAAATTACAAAAAGAAAAAAGAGTTCATATATATCTATGCAACATTATGTACTACTCCAAAATTAATCCTCCTAAGCCATATAGAATGCAATATCATATGAAACACGTCGAATCTCTGAGCAGGCTGGTTCAACACGAAATGCTTCCTCACCACTTGCAACCCTTCTTTAAGCTTCCTGTACTTCTCCTCCCAAACTGCACTCAAAATCTCCTTCAACCTAGGAATGTCCGAGACCTCGACCTTAATCGAAAACGCGTCCCAATTCAACACATCACTGAACGGAAGAACGTAATTCTCCGACATAATCACAGGCACACACTCGGCGTAAATGGCCTCAACCACCCTTGGGCTGGCCACCTCGTACCCGCTGGGGCACAGGCAAAACTTGGAGTTGAGCATGAAGGAGTGGTAGCTCATGTTTTTGGGGAGGTATTCATGGACTTGGAGCTCTTCGTCCCGGCCTTTCCAGTGTTTGAGGAGGACGGGACGGATCGGGCCGTGGTCCCCACCGCCCGCGAAGAACCCGAGACCCCGAGGTAGGGGGGGGGGCCGTCCAATGGCGGTGGGGTGACGAGCTCGTTGGGAATGTCTCCGGTTAAGAGGTGGATTTCCGGGAGGCTGACGTCCTTCTCAGGGTTGAAGCCTTCGGTTGTGTTGGCATTGCAGAGGACCCGGATGGATGTGTTGTACACCAAGGGATTGCCTTCTGTTGCCTGAGGAGCCTGCAATGTAAAAAATTAAATGAATTAATTAGAAATTAAGAGAGACATATTAAGAAAAGTTGGATATATAGAAGACAAATTAAATAAAATATTAAGCATCTTGGAATCCGAGATTCCATACTTATATGGATGTGATCAATTAAGTTGTTTTAACTGTTTACTTGGATTTTCATTATTATTGGACTTGATTACCAAACATGTGTGGCATAATTCATATATATATATATATATATATTCAATATGCATAATTTCTTTTTATATGCGTGCATGCCTTTATTGGTTTGTCCATGTTGAATCTTCACTTGTTTTGAGATGAATGTGCTAGTAGCAGATGATTCTAGAAACTCTCAAAAAAAAAAAATCCTGCTTGATTAAGTTAGCTAGCAACAGTAAATTAGATCAAGGGAAAACTGAAATCCGATCTAATTAAGATTAAGATTGAACCCATAGTCATGTAAAGTCATCAATCGATGTACGTATGTATACTAAATTTGAATAAAAGAAATTATAACAATATTCTATTATTGAAATATAAACCAGAGCCATCAATTTATAAGTCCTGATTATGTAAGTTGGTAATAATATCCCTTTCTTTACTCATTTTTCGTGTGGAAAAAAATAAAATTGAAACTACGCCATTGAGAAAGAAAAGTTGAAAGTCTTCGGAAAATAGCACTACTAATGCGACGCAAGCATGCCAAAAAAGTTGTGAAGGTAAAGGAAAACGAAAAGTAGAGAGAGGGAAAGATCGAAAGAGACAAGAAATTAGGAGAGAGAAAGAGATGGCTCACCCAATCATGACAGGCAACCATGAAGTGGTCAGCCCCATTGGTTCTGTTCCAAAAGGGATATCTATTGGACACCAGGTTCACGTAATCAGCAACATAACGCCTCAGAGGATTTTTGTCGAAGTTAGAGTTGGGATTGTACAGGTACTTAACCATCCAGGTTACGCTGAAGGGCATGAAGTAAACGTGAGCGCTTTCCCCATCTTTGGTCCTGAATTTCCCTGGTCCTTGTTCCATCTCGTGTATGAACCTCCCTTCAATGGCGTATAAGTTCTTGCATGGCCCATCGTGAGCGATTGGTAGCTCCCCTTCCGAGTACACGTACACCTTGAATCTTTTCTCCATTTCCCTGTAGCTCCTGCGACAATTAACAATATATAAAATGCTTGTTGTTAGTACAGATGACTTGATCGCTTCTAAAAACGAGTGCTTATTGAGAAAGGAAGAGACTTCATTATGTATCCCCTTAAAAGAAGTCATAGAGCACTAGTGGTGTTGAGAACACCACCTATTATTAGAAAATGGGTCTGGGAGTGTGAGGTCCAGAGGTGGGGTCCACCTCTATAATGGTGGTGTTTAATAACACTGTTAGCCAAAGCATTTTTCTTTTCATAATGTAATTCAATTTTGTGTGGTTTGGACACATAATAAGCAACTAAGAAGTACTGGAATATATCATAATAACCTTCTCTAGTCTCGTCTTAAAATGCAAGCTTGAACATTTACGTTAATAGATCAATGCAATCAGCAAATAACAAAGGGAAAACTAAAATCAGGTTATTATTTGAGCCTTCTAGATTCTCATTAATGTTTGATGTTGCATGAAGCAAGATATACTAATATATAATGCCAAACAATTTTCGGAAATGGTGAACACTATTATCAAGAGTAGTCTCATGTCGTAATACTAGTTCATCAACATTAAATATGATTAGAAAAGTAGTAATTATCATATAATTAAAGTAATAAACATCAATGACTAGTAAAGTATTAATATCTCCAATCAATATATGTTCCCAGTTCCCTATTTCTTAAGAGCTAATATTCATCAACCATCATAGATAGGTAGTCTCCCCTAGAAGTCACAAGAAAACAGACCTTAATATATATCTAATATTTTTGGCCTAGTATTACTATTGAACCAGCTAATATTATTGGTCCCAACTTGTAACTTTGGAATATTTCATTCATCCACATGTAAATACTAATACTAATAATAATAATAATAATAATAGTGCCCCATGGATTTGCTCAACAAATAATAATATCAATGCCCCATGGATGAAATTGAATACAATAATAAGTGGCGACGCCACGTTTTCAGCAGCCATCGAGTGTGTTTACTTTGAGAAAATTTAGTGAGTGCGCATTCTAGCGTCACTTGGAAGAAATTGTCTCATGACTAATGTGAACCACTAACATCAAGTAAGAGAAATGGAAAAAAAAAAAAAAAAAGTATTGAAAAAAGATTTTATTCTGGCACCAAAAAAAAAAGTGCAGTTCTTCCACATAATTATAAACAAATAAATAAAGAAGTCAGAAAGTCTTTTAACCGCCTACATACTGTAACAAATTGAAACTTCCATTTAAATTCTCCGATTTGGATTTTACTTAATTAAGGAAAATAAAAAGGCAAAAAAACGAAGTGCGCACTTACTGATAGAATGCACCGGGGTTGTGGTACACCATTCCGTTCGGAACGTAATCGGTGTCGTTGATCAGCAACGAAAAGCTCCCATTCGAAGCTGCGCTCAGAATCGCAGCTCGCGCTCCGGCGAGTCCTCTCTCGATCTTTTCTCTCTCTAGATTCCCGATTTTTCTCTGCAAATAAGAAAATCAAAATTAATCGACGACAGTTTTACAGAAAAAAATTCAAGAGAGAGAGAGAGAGAGAATTTATGTGAATTCAACATTATTCAGCAACAATTCCAGTCTCCTAATTTGAAACTAAGCAAGCACAAATTGAACTCAAGAAGAAGAATATTAATAGTGCGATAGAATCTGGATCATATAGAGATTGTAGAGAGAAATTGAATTACCACTACGGTTTGGTTTTTGAATCTATTGCCGAAAGTGCCAGAGGTAGAATCTTCAGCAGAACTAACGGCTTGGAGAAGATCGGAGCTAATATATATGTTTTTTCTGTGCACACTAACTCTCAACGGTACTGGATCACAATCATTACTACTAATACTACTCATCGTCATCATCGGAGAAGAAGACCATCCGAAAGAGGTAACGAGAGCGCCGACGATCATCGCCGCAATGCCGTATAAACTCAGTACGACAACATAGTATATGACACGGTTGACCACCACCGCCATCGTCTTCTTCGGGTGGTAAAAGCTAATCTTCTCCATAATCTAGAAGAAGAAGAAGAAGAAGAAGAAGAAGAAGAAGAAGAAGAAGACTAGTTTTGCTTGTTATTTATTTATTTATTTATTATTACTTTAAAGAGTTTGTTTGTTTGTTTGGATGCCGGGAAAGAGAAAGAGAAAAAGAAAATGAGGGAAAACGTGGTTCAGGAGGGAATTTGTGGGTGTTTTCGCAGTGAGGAGTCGACGAAGACTGTGGGTGTGCCGACGTATTTATAGGGGCCGAAAGCTTGAAGGAGCGCGTGAGTGAGATTACCAATTTAACCCCGGTCGAGTTCGATAAGAACTCGGAATTAATTACTTCTTATGATATCAACAAGACAAAATAAAACAAAATAAAGGAGATAAAAGAAAAGAAAAGGAAAAACGTGGCTACGTATAACTTCTTTCCCCTAATAATCCTAACTTCATCAGGATATCATCTAAAATATTTATAATAAAATACTATTTTTCATCGAGTTTTCTTTTTGTACCAATTTTATTTATTTATTTATTTATTATATGGAACCCCCAAGACTTCGAGAATATATACTCTTAGCTAATGAGAATCTGATTTGGAAATTGTGAATGAGAAGTTAGTTATGATCAGCCTGCTCTTTCGTTTTTCTATCAAACGTAAAATGGCATGATTAATTATTTCCTGTGGTTTACGTATTTCTTTTTGTGCGTAAACGTGTTGTTTTATGTGGATATATTTAACTTGTAAATGAACAAATATTATAATGCAAATTTCATTGGAAACGATAAAAATGTAAAATTAAAATCCTAATTTCGCTCTTATATTATTATATTCATTATGCATAATGTAATATACCGGTACCAATATATATATATATATATATGTAACGTAATTTACAGTTTACTCTCACTTAAAGCACCTCCTTAGACACGCATGACTAACTGTTCTTTATTTTAAGGAAAAGAGAAAAAATATATACAGATAGAGACTAGAAAGTCAGAGATTAAGAGAAAAGAGTAATTAGAATTTTGGTTTTTGCTTTAGTTTTATGTTGACCTGGTGAATTAGACTTTGACTGTTTTTTTTTTTTTTTTATCTGGACTATAGGAGGGTTTTTGTCATTTGTTTTTGGGCGGCCTTTTCAAGTGTGTTGCTTCTCTCACATTCTTGTTCTCTAAAGTTTTTTTCCTAGATGTCAATATTAATATTATTAATACCAAAATATATGATATATTTAACTTGTAAATGAACAAATATTATAATGCAAATTTCATTGGAAACGATAAAAATGTAAAATTAAAATCCTAATTTCGCTCTTATATTATTATGTTCATTATGCATAATGTCATATACCGGTGCCAATATATATATATTTGTAAAAGTAAACTTTTATTTTTAAAATAATTAAAAAATACAAAAGTTGTTATGATTACGTGAAATGTAAACATTTTAACCGATAGCAATCTGTAATAACTGAGAAAATTCTAGCTTTTCCTAGATGTCAATATTAATATTATTAATACCAAAATATATGATATGATATGTTATTTTCATTTTTATTCTAATGAATAACGCTATTTGAAATGTTAAATCTATTTTTTTTCATAATTATTAAGTTTCGAAAGTTGTAAAAGTAAACTTTTATTTTTAAAATAATTAAAAAATACAAAAGTTGTTATGATTACGTGAAATGTAAACATTTTAACCGATAGCAATCTGTAATAACTGAGAAAATTCTAGACTTTAAATAATACAATTTATGTATTTAAGCCAAGAATTTTCCTAGAAAATATTATGTGACTGAAGGATTTATGGAATTAATATCTGTATTTCTAAATTCTATAGTAGATTTCATGTTCAGTTCATGTTTTCGATCAAGTAAATTCGATCAATAAATTCTCGCCGTACTTTAAGGCGGAATCATTTTCAGTACCAGTATAGTTTGAGAATCTTAATTTCAAGAATCTCCAAACACAGTATGAGGTTAGCAGCGTACAAAAAAAAACGCACTGACATTTTAAAGAAGAGAAAATTCTTAATTGCCAGATAGCTAGGTTAAAATCACAAGATAAATACCCATAACAGAATGGTACAATGTGAGCACGGGAGTTGACACCGTCAGAAACAACGTCATTCCAGGGATAGAATGCAGAAAAGTTAAATTTAGAATTTGTTCAGTCTAGAATTAATTGCAAGACTTTAAACAGTTCAAGATATTACGCGAGTAAGAATTTAATGTGATCTCAAAATAGTCGAGGATTTAACATTGAACTGTAAATAAGCAGTAGGAAAGGAACCGTCAGAAACTAGAATTCCTGTCGGCTAAGTACGTCCTTACAGTCAGTATGATTTTTATCTGACTCAAAGGAAACTTAAGAGAGTGGACAAAAATATAAGGGGTAGGATTTATTTTTCTCTCTCTCATTCTCCACTTGGCCGGCCATGTATAGTAGAAATAGAGCCAAAATTTAGCTAGTTGAGTATGCTAGAAGGTTACATGTTAAGGTGATGTGATGGTAGTGGTTGAAGGGGAAATCATGCAAAATTTGCTTCTCCTTTTCTCCTTTCATAACCGGCCAAGATTGGGGGAATTGAACCAAAAACTTGATTGATTGAGGGAGTTGATGTGGTGTTAAAAAAAATAATTTCCAAGTTGCCTATAAAAGGAACCATCATAGGATAAGCTTAATTTTTTTTCTCCTCTCTTTTTCCCCACTCAAAATTTGGCCACACTCTCCACTCTCTCTCAAATCTTTTCTCCCACTCTCTCAATCTTGAGCCACTGGCAAACCATAGAAGAAGAAGAAGGAGATCAAAGGGTCTAGGAGGAGACTAGTCAAGCATTCCCCCAAGGGTAAAGAAGCTCTAAACCCTATCTTTTTTATGTTCTAGTAAAGTTTGAGATGTAGAACTATTCTTCTCAAATTTTCTTTTACTCCTCTAGTTCCAAGCCATTAACAAACCTTAGAGGAAGAAGAAGGTCATCAAAGGATCCTAGGAGGAGCCTAACCAATGACTTTCTTCAAAGGTATAAATTCTAAAACCTTACTCTCTATTTTCCATTCTAGCAAAGTTTAAGTTTGAGAATCCATTGATGTAAATTTGGGATTCTCAAGGAAATAAGTTGTAATAAGGGTGTGTGAGTTTTAAGTTTGTTTTTTGAGTTTTAAGGTTAGTTTGATTAAGCATTATGTGGTATGTTTACACTTGGTTAAAGTTTGCTATTTTGGGGTTAGAGGTAAAATTTTCCAGTTATTTTGAACGCGAAAATGAGGACCCTAGAGCGAGATTTTCAGTATTTCTAAGTTTAAACTTATAGTTCTTGATGTTTTAAACGTTTTCTATGACTATGATAAAACCCAATTTTAACTCTAAAAGCAAGTTTAAAGCCATTTTTCAAAAACGGATTAAGCTGTCCAACACATTTTTAGGAAAAAATAGCAGCCACTGTTTTCAACCAAACGAGGCCTTTAGATGCTTAATTTCAGTTTTCTTCAAAAATAACAATTTTAGATCTCGATGAGAGGAAGAACTTTCATGAAGAATATAATTTCAAAATCTGAATCTAAGACGTAGTAAAGCGTAGATTTCTGAAATTGCACAGTTTTTAACCAAAACAGTTTCAAAAATAAAACTGGCAGCCACTGGTTCAGCCAAACGAGACCTTTAGAGGCTGAATCCTGGTTTTTCTAAAAAATGACAATTGTAGATCTCAACGAGACGAAGAATTGTCACGAAGAACAAAATTTTGAAATCTGACTCTAAGATGCAGTAAAACACAGATTTTAAAAACTACACAGTTTTAATAAAACAAAACTAAAACAGTGTCGGTTTTAACAAAAAGTCATCAAAGAAACCGAGATAGGATTTCAGTAAAATACAATGGCATTAAACCTCATTTTAATGAAAGTATTCGTAAAGAAAGTTTTCAAGAAAAAAAAAATGCTCTCTTTAAAGAACATAGTGGTTTATCGAGCGAATTATCCCGACGGGCACCCACGAGCCCAATACGATAGGTCCGTAGAATTTTGAAGGTTTGATATGGGTTCAACGCCCGCATTGATCTAAGAGACTCCGTTTGAGTTTAAATTTCAACAGCCTAAGAGTTAGAGTGCCGTGAATAAGTTTCTAGGCCAAATTGGGCCTTAATATCATAATAAGTCCAATGAGGAAAATTATGGAGAATAAGTTACTAGATTGGGTAAATAATTTTTAATCTAGACATAAGTATGTTAAGGACAATTAAAGAAAATAAGATTTTATGGATTTAATAAATTGATCCTTATAGTAAATTATCCTTTAGTAAAGGATAGGAATATATGCCTTGAGTAAAGGGCTAGATTTCCTTCATAAGCTGCTAAAATAGAATAGAAAACGACAAATAATCTCACACTCTCAATGGGTGTTCATTTTCAGAAGTAAGCACGTAAGAGAATAGGCTGTTTGGCGAAAAGTGAATTCCAGCTCTGTAAATCAGGTAAGTAAGAATCTCGCCTACAGTATGTAACCATAGAACTTCTTAGCCTTCCTTAGTAGATTTTAAAGAAAAAGTTACACATGTTATATATGCATGTTTATGCTTTAAGTATTGTATGCGATGTTATGTCATGATGCATACACATAAGCAGCGCACATGAATTATATGTGTTTGAGTTAATTTAATGTTATGTATGCTATGTTAGATCATACTACATACACTTAAGCAATGCACATGAAGTATATGTGTTTGAGTACATTCCATGTTATAGTATGTTATGCTATGTCATATTGCATACACCTTAATAAGTCAAGAGGAACTTATAAGAATAATATCAGTTGAGTGTCATACCAGCCTCCACAAGGGAGGTAACTCAAGCTCCACAAGGGAGAAAAAGAAAATAACAATAATGCCCTCCGACTCAAGGGAGGCATTCAAGTTATAATCACGGTGTCATGGGGGACCTTACAAACCCTCACGTCCCGATGATTGTGCGCAAGTGGTACGCGAGCACTCGGGCCCATTAGTAAGAAAGATAAGATAATAAGATAATAAGACTATGATAAGACATCATAATTAAGCATAATCAGCTTATGCATATTTATTCATGTGAACGTACAGTTATTTTGCGAGAGATAGTTCCTACTTGCTGAGCAAAAGCTCAATCAGGTATGTTCATGCTGTAGGTAAGAAACCTATCAGCAATTCTTGAAGGGCAGTAGCGAGCGGCGGGCGAATAGTGGAGATGAGAATGGATACCGCTCACAGTTAAATCTTCCGCAGTAAGTTTAAGTAAAATCATGTATATGTATATATGATTCAAAGGTTTCAAGCATGTATATTTGAAAAGTATATGTACATATGTATGTTAAGAAAATCGAGGTTGTAGCTAACAACCCAGTCTTGAGTATTTAAATTTTAGAACGTTGCAACAGTGCATGCAACAAATAAACGAATTTTAAACATGACAATTTAAATGATTGATTTTAAAAGGACTTTAAGATGTATTGAATTTAAGATTTCTCACGAAATCCGTTTTAAAGTCAAATTAGATGGCCAGATTGAATTGGCTAGTTTTAGAAATGCTTTTAAAGAGTGTTTAAAATAAAAGTTCAAACGCTGCTCAATTTGAAGGATATTTCTAGAAGGTTTTATTTTAGTTGAAATTAAGAAAAGCTTTAAGAAATTTAGTGATTCATTCTTTTGAAATTATTGTTACGAATTATGAAATTATTCCTTCATATATTTAAAAAAAAAATGTTCTACAAATTTTAAGAAATCCCAGTAAGTACAAGTTAAATTCAGTTACGGTGACGGCCCCCCTAGGAGAGTCGTCACACAATCAAATGTCAAATTTCTCATATGATGTACTTGGTGTGAAATTTACCACAAAATATAGCATATGATAAATTTGGTACAAAAAATAGCATTGCATTAGAGAGTATTTTTTGCACTAAAATGCTAAATTTACAATTGGTATATTAATTATAACACTGCATTAGAGATCCTCTGATGATACCAAAAGTGTTATGGGTGGTTGTGTTGCGGGTAGTGCATGATGCACATGCATTGTTTCGAATACACGTCAATGGTACAAAAATTAGTATTGCATTGGAGAGTATTTTTTACACTTAAATGTTAAATTTATAATTAGTACATTGATTACAGTATTGCATTGGAGATGCTCTAATGGTACCAAAAGTGTCATGGGTAGTTGTGTCGCGGGCAGTGCATGGTGCACGTGCATTGTTTCGAATACACGTCAATGGTACTTCTTCTCTCATTCGGTGTCGATCTTTTCTTGTTGTTTCGGACATTAATAGTCTGTCTACCCAGACCGGTAAAAGTTTTGGCGGTAACAATCTTTTTACCTTGACTTATTTATGCGTTTGCCGTGTTTAGTTAGTTTTTCGCTATAACTTAATAAAGATAATTGAATTAAACTAGAGATAAGCTAAATCAAATAATTATAAGATAAATACAAACCATTTAAATATGTGTATATTAAATTCAATTATTTTTATTATAACTTTCATCTGTAGGATTTGTGTTTTGACCACCTATAAACTCGAATGCAACCTTTTAAAGAACATGGTGTGTATCAGGATTCACACATGGATGCCAAAAGGACCAAATATTATCAAGCACACACATGAGACCATTAAGAGATCCTAATTTATCACGGCACAAATGAAACATGAATATCCAAGGAACATGGCAGCATCTCTAATAAGTGACATTATCTTCACAAAATTAGAACATCATTTTCAAAGGGGAAAAAAAAAAAAGAAAGAAAAAGAAAACAAAGTCCTATACAAATGTAATTGACTTTCCTCTACTTACAAACATGAAACAACGTAGAAATTTGAAAAAAAAAAAAAAAAAAAAAAACTACTTATAAAAATTAAAGGATGATATTTGCAGGACGTTATTTATATACAAACAATTATTTACAAACCTATAAATTGATCGTAACTAAATATTAAAAGTCCAATATATCCACACACAACTTCAAATTACTTGATGGTAACAAAGTTGTGAGAGAAGCGCTCAAATTGAGATTTAAGCTTGTCTCCAAGAGAAACATAAGTACGTGACTTTGACTTATCATCGGTAGTACTAGTGGTGATCACTTGAAGGACAATAGGGCTAATTTGTTTCTTCATAGACTCCACAGTTTCCATATCCACTTCGTTCCCTGAAATATCCCTAACGTAGAACGCGTTCACCGCCTTCTCTCCCTGCGTCGCTACATCGGCCCGAACCACGGCGAGGCCGTTCTCTCGGAGAACCCGAGTTATGTCGGAGAGTAATCCTACTCGGTTCTCTGCCCAAAGTTCCAGCCGAATTCCCTGCAACAACGTCCAATAATAATATTGATTATAGTACTAATAAAATTGACTTAATTAATTATTCGTTAATTGATGGTTATTTAATTAATTAAGTTTAAGATCGATGATTGATCACCTCGCAGACTCTTCGTTCGATTGCGGCCTCTAAGCATTTTACGATTCTTTCCTTTTCTCTCTCTGTGGTCAAGGCTTTCCCGTCTACATGTCGTATAAAATACTCCTGATCAAACGACAATTCATTTAGTCTCCATTAGTATTAAGCAAATACATTAAGGCATGAGGTAGGGCATCTTCAATCTAATATTGCTAATTTAACGTGTTTAGTTTTAAATTTTAGTATTTAAATTAAAAAATCATTCTACGATACAATGCTACTTTCTAGTGCATAATTATTACAGCATAATTATCTTAATTTTTTTAAAATAAAAAAATTTACTTTCAGAAATTTTAGAACTTAATAATTATCACAAATAGTAATTAAATAAACCTTATGCTTAGAGCATCAAATAACAAATTAAATAACTAGTTTCATCTTTTTTTTCCCGCCAAATATAACATTGGCATTAATCGGACATGGACTAATTATAAGTTGCATGAATCTAAACAATCACAAGACTCCTAAATTAATACATACTACGAGCCTACATATTATTTTTAATATGTAGATATAATATTTAGTAGCAATGTTGCGTATTACAGAAAGAAAATAATTAGTTTTTATTTTAAATTAGTTTGAATTGTCTTTAATTGTTAGTTTAAATCGGATTAAGAGATAAGTCCTTAATTTAAATAATTACACAGGAAATTTATTTGATGTTTAATCAGTCAAGGTTATCCAAACCTTATCTTCCTATGTCATAATTTCTCACACTCTTTTAAATTCTTTAATTAAATCATCACGAGATATATATATATATATATATATATATATATATACCTGAAAAGCAAAACCATCGGTAGAGCTCAAGGAAGCGTGGAAGATCAAGTAGTGCATGTCGGTGAGCGTGCAAACTGTATCAAACATTAGACGGGACCGATCCTTGCATTCCACGCTAACAATCCAATAACCCTTCTCTTCACAGCTTTCAATCCTCACTCTGCACCTTCTCTTCTTCATATTAATCCCCTCATCATGTGGCTGTCGCCGTTTTCCTAACCCTTCTCCGCCGCCATCCAATCCAAACGGCAACGTCCGCGCCGCCGCGTCGAAGTCCCGGACGCTTAGCATGAGCTGGTGCAGACGCCGTTCTACGTTGGTGGACGTCGCCGCCGCCGACGACTTCGCCTCGTTCCATAATTGGTTGGAAGCCCGGCTGGTCTCGGCCGTACTGGTGGAGGCGCGGAGGACGGTGGTGAGGCGGTCCTCGATGGAGGCGATGCGGTGAGAATCGGCTGCGATAGGCGTCTCGGCTGACTGATCGGAGATGTAGGCGACGCAGGCGAGGCGAGCGTTGTGGCTCCACGCGTGGGCCTCCACTATGTTGCACCCGAGGTCGGCGAGGGCTGCCGAGATCTCGGAGAACAAGCCGGGCCGGTCGGTGCCGGTCATCTCGATGGCGGTGTGCTCACCGGGGTTTTCGGGTTCCGACGAAGGCTTACCGGTGTAGGCATTGGCTGACCTTAACGAGTTCTTGGGAGAATTAAGCCTGGTTGTGCCTATGGCCTGCCAATTAATAATAAGTCTTTTCTAAAATTAGTTATTTATTATATAAATATTGCTTTTGGAAAAATATCATAAATTACCTAAAGTGTGTGAAAAGTTTATGAATTAATATGTACCTGCTGAATATAGTTAATGACATTATCATCCGTGATTTTGTTACCATGCTCATCTTTGACATGAAATACTGCACACAAAAAAATACAAAAACAAAAAATACAAATTGGATTAATATATACACGAGTTAAATATATATATATATATCAGTACTGACCATCCATAAACCATCGAACATCAGAAGAAATGTAGCTCTTGCAAATGGTGAGATTCATGTCTGTCAAAATCTGTAAAACTTCCAATAGGAGGCCTTGCTTGTTCACGCTATCAACCTATATAATAATTATATAAGGTACTTATCAAGCATGTTATTCCGGTTTTTTTATTATTATTTTTTGAACACGTATATGTATGTATATTATACCTTTACTACCGTACAATCTTCAAGGCTTTCATTGTCAATGCAAACTCTGCAGCTGCAAAAATAAAATTGGGATTAATTAGGCCATGATGATCAATATCTGGCTGATCAATCCAATTAAAAAGTAATATAATTTATTAAGAAATATGAAAAGGGTTTCTGAGAAAATTACTTACGGAGGACCATATATCCTCTCAGAGAGCTTATCAAATTCAGGATCAAAATACGGCCAAGAGACTTTCTTCATGCTGCAAAAATGCTAATGAATTACGGGAGAGAGAAAGAGAGAGAAATTAATGTATTTTGTATGTAATGAAAGTTATAACAACTGTTAATTAAGTCAAAAGCTTAAAATACGTTGGAGGCGGAAACAACCTTAATAGTCCATCATAAAATTTTGACCAGACAACTCAACACGTGCTTTTTTACAATTAACTCAAGATGAGAGACGCCTTTCAAGCGCGTGAAAACCACTGCCAATAATAATAATGATAATAATAATTTTTTTTTTTTCTGGCCGAATTTGTTATTATTTTCCAAGAAATTTATAGTTGATTCCCGCTAAGAATTAGGAAATTGTGGAATCTACTAAGGGAAAGACGTACGCTAACTAAATACGGTTTCATTTCATAATTTTCTTCTCGACCAAGATATTCACAATTGATGCTAATGATGAATTAGAAGAGACGTAGTACGTACTCATATAAAATCTAAACCAATATCGGATATTACTACGATGTATATATATATATTCATTATTGTGAATTTCTCTCTGCCAGCTGTTCTCTTTTTTTTTTCCATTTTCTTGGAGATTCAATCACGTTATTAATGCAAATTGAAACTGTAGTTGCAAAACTATATAGACACGCCTACGTGTGAAAATACGCGATCAATGAGGTGTCAATAATCTATATAGCTTACGAAAAATAAATTATTATAATAATTAACGAGATTGAATTTTTATCACGTCATATCATTAAATTTTTATAATTGATAACTATTAAAAACTCGTTTATACGTGTATATACATACGTGCACATATAAAGCAGTGTGTAAGCAATATTATGCATGTTCACTCAGTCGATTATAGAGCGTAATATAGAGCTATAGAGCTATGAATATCTCTATACAGCGTAATATAGAGCTAGCTAATGATCACTTTTCGAACTAATGAAAAAAAAAAAAGAAAAAAAAAAATTTGAGGTTACAACTTACGCAAGTAATTATGAAGTGGTGAGACGAGTCTAGGTAAAGATGGATATGCCTCAAAGATCGATCAGGTAAAGAGAAACAAGGTTTACCAGACACAAATATCAGCTTCACTTGCAATAATATGTGAAATGAGAGTTTTATTATAAGCTAGCTGCTTAAATATAGATGGAAAAACTAATTGTGCGGAACAGATTGGGTTGAAGAAAAATCAGAGAAAAGATGGTAAAAGGAGAAAGAGTCACGGAAACGTTAAAATAAAAGTCAACTAAGATATAGATATAGATATATATATATATATATGATGTCACGCTTATGTTGATTTCTTCTTCTCTTCCTATATTTTTGGCCTCCTTAATATCTGAAAATGACGTCTGAATTATCAGCTTAGAGTCTGGATTCGTTGTCTCATACAACATGTTAATTTTTGCTTTCATTATTTGATACGACTCCACTAAGTTAATATGAACCGCTAAAAGTCTCTAGGTCAAGCAAATTAAGGAGAAAAATAGACGAAAAAAAAATGATAACTCATGTTGCATAATTATACTTTTATGTGACTACATAAGGAAGAACTAACATAGTAATTCTTTATTAAAATATTCAAATGGTACTCATTATTTGTATAATACGTGTTATTTATGTTAAAAATCTTAAGATAGAGTTTTGAAATTTAAAAGAAAAAAAATTTAAAAAAAAAACTAAAATTAAAGTTTAGAGAGCATTTTGTGATAAGACTTATAATTTGAAAAGCAACCGTGTAATTTGTCCTTAAGTTTATCGTCATAGCATTGGTCTTCTCATGTATGTTCCGAAACTTCTCCCAATGAACCAAATGTGTGATTTCTTTCTCTATCCCTTCACGGTACGTCAAGCATTTAAGGTCAAAAGTTAATCTCTTGATCTTATGGTTACCATCGTTTGATCTTATCCAGCCTAGTCACACCCAGCCGTAGATCTTCTATACATGGCTCAGGGCAAAGAGGAATTTAGTTGACTTTGAAGTTTGAAACCAAGTTCTTGAGAAATCAAGCTTAACTTGGGGTAATCGAACCCAAAAAGCAAAATTGCTCTACTTTGACAACAGTTTCAGCAGTCCCAACTTAATGCAATATCCAACTTCATATTTCCTTTTTTTTTTAAGCGATGTGTAATTTAATTAGGTGAGGCCGAAAATCTTACGCCTACATATCAAAAGTTGCATCAATTCCAGCAACAAAACTGCACATGAAATTGGAAATAAAAGGCTCCATGAATGAAGCAAGGAGAGCATGTATTAATCAAAACTTTTCATAAGGCCTATAATTGACTTTTAAGCGTAAAGACCAAAAAAAAAAAAAAAAAACGCAAATCAGTATGGCATTTGCAACTGCTAGTTCTATTGGATTCGCTTCCTCAACAATTAATTACTAGAACTCTACCCCCTTATCATCCATCATTCATCTCTGCATTGCCCTTTTCCTTCCACATTTTCCAAGAGTTCTACCAGTCAAAATGCCAAGAAATAACTGGGGAGTGAAAAGAGATTTTGAAAAACAAAAAAGGAAAAAAAAATAATAATTGGGTGAACGAATGCCTATACCGGCGTAAAGATGGCCGTTTCCCCGGGATTCAAGAACGCGTGAACCAGGGTCCGACTGCACCATTCACGTGCCCATTGCTATGGATCCCAGCACCATTTGGGATGTGACAAGGCGGCAATCCAACAGCCATTGGCGGCGGTGCTCCAGGGTATAAACCGTGGTTTTGAGGGAGATTATGGGGGTTGACGAGAGCACTACCAGCTGGACTGCCTTGACGCTGTTGAAGGGCATGGATCTTCCGCAGCCCATCTTCGTGGAGACGCGACAATGCCTCCAAATCATTCATTGATAAAGCATCCAACCCAACACCATATAGAGGGGCGTGTCGGGTCATTTCCTCTTGAAGTGAAGCCTCCAGTGTGTGAATGTATTGCTGCAATGGAGAAGTAGGCATCAGTGGAATGACATTTCCAATGCTCAAAATAGCAGAAAATATAACAGGAAATGCTCTAGCGTAACCAGAAGATATTCAGGTTGTGGACAAATTATTAGATACTAAACCAATTAATAACATAAAGAGAAAAAGGGGACCTCGCAGGCCTGCAATTTTGATTCCATCCCGTCAATATATGCCTCACACCGAGCAATTTGTTCTTCCTTCTCCCGCTTCTCTCCTTCAGTCTGTCCAACTGTTTGTGTCAATCGTCGAACTTCATCCTCAAGAGATTGTCGGATTTCCTCTCTGGTTATATTCTCTGTGGCATATCGTTTCAGTTCTTCATCAAATCTTTTGCGTGCAGCTTCTGCACTCCTCAACCTTTCCGCGAGAGCATTTTTCTCCTTTAGTACTTTCTGTCGCATTTAGAAATTATAATCAGAAAGGCGTGCAATTACTTCAAACTCAGGACATCACTCGGAATCAACTAAAACATTTTACACAATCATAAGGAAGCGGGACAAGCCTGAAAGTGGGCCTTAATTTGTATTCTTGTGTATGAAGAGAGAGAGAGAGAGATATATATATATATATATATATATATATAGAGAGAGAGAGAGAGAGAGAGAGAGAGAGAGAGAGAGAGAGAGAGCCAGCACATATAGTATAGTCATAGTAACATCATTACAGGTATGGCGCAAACGCAGAGTTAAACAGAGATAGGTTTTGACTTGATGTTAGACTACAACTACTTGATAGCGCACCAAACATCTTAATTCTCATAGGTGTGTCTGCTCCTAATGGAATTTCTCAAGATAAACAATTCCACATACTTCCATGAAGGTTTACAACAATTAATTCGATAAAGAAAAGACCCATATACAACTTTTCTGACTCAGCAAACTGTCCAGAAACAAGGAATTCCTCTAGTCATGTCTCAACGTCAAAAGCGAATCATGGATTTGAAAAACTTATCATATCAAAATTATTCCAGTTTCAGATTTTAAAACCAAAAGGCCCTAATTAGTTCAGCGCATGATCCACATTTTACTTATGTTATTACAATTTTATTGTGAACTCAATTTGTCATGGCTAATGTAAAAAAAAAAAAAAAAAAAAAAATAAAAAAAAAAAAAAAAAAAAAAAAAAAACTTAAAGAGAGAGAGAGAGAGTGAGTGAGTGAGAAGACGGCATATACCAGGATGAAAAGGAGATAATGCAATTAATACCTTTAATTCATCACGTTTCCGAGTCTTCAACTGAAAAATTTGTGTTTCCGCATCATGAAGACGGTCTTGAAGCTCTTTCTTCTCAGCAGTGAACTTTGTAGTATCATCATCTCGCTCTGAACGAAGCCACTCAAGCTGACTCTCAAGTTCTTGTATTTGGTCAGAGAGCTTCTTTTTTTCACGAGCAAAGCAGTCCATCTCAGCCTTCATTTCAGACTGCCATATAATGATACGCATCAGTCTAATATTCTCCAAAAAGAATTAACAACACGTCCTAGTTCTAGCTCTATCAACATCAACTACCTTGAGACGATTGTTATTGGCCTCAGAATCACTCAATTTTTGGGATATCACCGCTTTTTCTCTAACCATATTGGCAATATCAGTTTTGCTTTCTTCCCGTGCACGAATAATTTCATCCTCACTAGCACATAACTGGTGCCAAAGAGCAGCTCGATCAACATTTGCAAGTTCAGCAACCTCCCGCATCATGCTCAAAACTGGTCTAATAATTTCTTGCTCTTCACAAGCCAAAGTAACCAAAATATCCAAATCTAGATCTACTTCACGGGTATTATCTGCAGCACTGGTGGCACGGTCAATGAGTCTCTTTAGCATCCTCCCTCGGTAAGACTCATCAGCATACCACTTAAACAACATAGTGTATAGCATCTTAACGAAACCCTTCACACAAGGGTCTCTAGAAAGGGCCAAAGTCTCAGCAAGACCAAGGACTGAAGTAAAATCGTCCTGTTGGACTCTCAGCTGCTCATCGGCTTCTCCCTCCATAACAGGTTCTGTATGCTGGAAGTTTTCAGCCACAAATCTAGCACTAAGATTCAACCTGTGAGCAAGGCGCCTTTCCAAAACCATGGCTACAGAATGAGCCACAATGGCACCTCGAGTGACAGCTCTCTCGAACGATTGAGAAGCTTCAACAGCCAGACAAGGGATGGATAACATCTCAATCAAGATATAGATATCAGAAAAGTGACAACTAGAACGAAAAGCCTGCTCATCCAGCATATGCAACCTATCAGAAGTAGTCCCGTGCTCACCAAATAAGAAAGGCCCACGATGCATTGTTGAGCAACTATCACCAAAATCGTCATCAGAATCGATGTCTCTAAGTATGGTTTCAGCAACATTTCCCCAACTATTTACAGTTTTGCTCAAAAACTCAAGGACACAAGGAGAAACGTCTACACCCAAACTTTTTAGCCTAACACGAATGGATCTGACCTGCAAAACAGATGAAAGAGTTTCACAGCAATGAAAAGAAAGCTATATAAAAAATAAGACACATAATATGAGAATGAAAAAATAATAAGATTTCAGAAAAGTCTATGCATACTGCTTCAGGAAGATGTTGGCACTGGGATGCAGCTTTGAATATAAAATCTATGGTGGCAGCAAGAGGTTCATCATTTGAATCTGTCAAAAGCTCAAAAGATTGAAATAAAACTTGCTCCCAAACTTCACTGCCGCATTTCAGTTGACTTAGAGCACCAAAAACCTAGTAAACCATAATTTAGAGGAACAATATATAAGTGCACTGCATTAACTCGTGCAGAATAGTTCGAGCAAATATATGAAGACCAACCAGAATTAGACTAGATGTGCAGCACACAAACAACATGCAACCAAAAGACACCAAAATGAAAGTGGTTTCTTAATACGAAATAGTAAATAAACTAATAAATGACATTCAAGATCTTACAGGAGTCCGTAAGGAAGGCTCTGCATCTGGCTTCTGAAGTCGTTCCAAAAGTGCAAAAGCAGCCAGTGGATGTTCTGACTGCTCAACCAACTTGGGCACGAGAGCAACTAAATCAGGCTGCAAATGCTTAGGAGCTCTATCCAGTACCAGAGCAATTTTTGAAGCAGACTGAGGCCTTCGTCGTGGTTCAGGACAGCCTTGTGGAACAGCTCCATCTAAAGCTCTCAGAGAATTAATAATCAATCCCAAGAGCTCCTCAGATTGCTCTGGCCACTTGGTCTGAAAATTCAATCAGTCAAGCTTCACAACATGCTAATTAACCAAAGTTTTCATTGAGTATGCAAAAAATATTTTACCTTTGCACGCAGAGATACACTTTCTGAACCCGCAGCAAGTGTTTCTGGGGGACAAATAGGCTGTCCAGGAAGAGCTTTCCCAAGTGCACGGACCTCATTTATGTCCAAATTTTGCACAGCAGTAGCAATGCTAGTTTCATCAACACCAGACTCCAATCTCTCATTTATAGTATATTCAGCAGATTCACTGCCTCCATTTTCTCTGTCAGAATCCGAAGGACTAGCAATTCCACTTCCATCTGGAGAAGTTTTTAAGTTTGCATCAGAAGAATCATCATTATTAGAACTCCCTTCTGTAGGTTGACAACACTCAACCATTATATCCAAAAGTAAATCAATAATGGCCTGCTGCAACACTTTCACTCCCATCAGCAAATTCATCAAACTAGGGGAAGATTCATCAGTTTTTATGACCTTCTTTCCATCATTAGTACCAGAGAACTTAGTTGGAAGAAGCAAGCGTTTTACTTTAGCAGGGTCATCAAGATAAACACGAAGTCCAGTCAGAAAACCAGCAATCGCGCCAGCATCCATTAGAAGCTTTTCTCGTAAAGTGACTTGTGGCTGGGAAGGATTGTCTCCATATGTCAGGTGGAAGCCAGCTCTAGAAAGCAGGTTTCTAAAGATATCTTCCTCATCACCACTTATTCCTTCGCTATCTTCAGAATCGATGAGTTCATCAGGATCAGTAGTCAAAGCATCCTGATCATCTTCTGAAGCCAACACCTAATAAGAGATAAAATGCACGTGAACACGAGCATGTATAACCACCATAAAAAGGGTCCAAATTTTAGCTAAAGATGCACATGTCAATAAAACAATTATCTCATTCAATGAGAACGTCATACCTAAGAAATATAAAATAAAAAAATAAAAAATAAAAAGGAGGAAGCAAAAGGCATCACCAAAGAAAGTCTTCAATTCCTATCTGGTACAACCAGAGCGATGGGACAAGGAACCAGAACTCACAAGGTTAGACACAACCACACAGGTGCCACAGGCTCGTATTAGAAACATCCTAATTTCTAGGTCGGTGAAGGAGAAATCTCAATTTTTCATGCCACAAGTTAACATATTTGCACAATGTCTTTTCGTTGCATGCTATAGCCACAAAACAATCGTCTAAATAAAAAATGGATAAACATATAAATAAATAATGAAAAAGAAAGCAATATATCGATTAAAGAAAAACAGGCTCAGAAAAACTTACCTCTAGGTCTGAAAACTCAAACCAGGGGCAACAATCCAAGATTTCACACACAAAAACAACTGTGTCACGCACAAGAAACCCCGCATCTGGTTCCAACATATCTGAGACCTTCATGAACTGTAAAACAGAATTGTTCCATGTCTTTGTACATATAGAAGACTCCTTCCATACAGTTTTGGCTGGGTTTTTCTGATTTATTACTGCCATCCTGTATCTGACCCAGAAATTTTTATCCGGATCACTGCCAACTGACTGGTCACTTTCCAAATAGATACAAATGGTGTCAAAGGACTCATATACACCTGCATAAAAGAAGGGGGAAAATGCCAATGGCATAAATATTTTAAAAACCAGCAACCACCTGCTAAAAGGAAATGGGAGAATGTTAAAACCTACCAATTCGAAGCTCACATCCACCAGCTTGAAAGAATTTGCTAAAGATTTTCCGGGTCTCCATTATTTCCTTGAAGGCCAAGAAGTTCTCCACCTTCCATGTAAATGAGCTTCTCTTCTCACTCTTATCAATTAGGGAATTTCCATTAACTGACTCATTATCCTGGTTGGTAAAATCCTGCATTATCGATGTCTCCTTTAATATAAGGACCTCAGCAGAGAATATAACAGTGTCCTGGACAAGAAAACCAGAATCTTGATCAAAGAGACTAGTAAGTGTCACAAACTCCCGCCAACCCCAGTCCTTTGCAGCTTTGGAGTAGCGATTCTGAGATTCTTTTGTGACAGACTTCTCTTCCACCTTCTGGTTCACAACCGACAAACGATGACTCACAAAACAACTCCAATCACTGGAAGTATTTCGTGAATCTGTAACTTCAAGAAACACTGAAAGGTGGCATGGTGGTTGAGACTGCCCTGATACCACCAAACATTGAAGAAATGTTCATCAATTCACCATCTAAATGTCACCAGCATAAGCAATTCAAGTCTATGTATTAACTACCATATGAACAATCTTCACCATGTGCATTCACAGAAATTACAATCAAAACTGCTATCCTATGCACAATATTAGCAAGTTTTTATCAATTATGGCAAGCAACAACCCGCCATAGCATACAGTACCTTCATATCATCAATCATATACAAGACCTTTTTTTTTATCAGACCATGACGGCAGGTCACTAGAAATTTAGCTCAAAAAAGTTCGGGTGAAACGGTTACAGAAGAAGCTGCTTTAACACCACATTTCCATAACAACAACAGAAACAGTTCTAGTCCTCAATTATCTGTATAAGAATGACAATACACAGTTTCAAAAGCATCTGAAGAAGATCAATTAACTAGTAAGTTGACACAAGGAAACAATTATCAATAATGTACAATCATTTAAGGAGACAAATAATACACGATTTTCCAGCGCAATAATCAAGCTTACCTCGGGGATAAACAATGAGACGACAATCTCGATTTCCTATCTGAAACCTCCTGCTTTTGATGCAAAGACCCGTTATCTTCCTCTTCTTCAAAAGATCCTTCAGCCTTGTAAAATTCTCGATCCGCCAAGTGAACTTCCCAATGTGGCCATCCGACTTCCTTGCCCCACCTCCTGTCCTGCCTCCAGTAGAGGCTCCACTCTTAGAAAAGCTACTGAGCTCCTTGATTACATGAAATGACGTACTGAACACTGCCGTATCATCAACCAAAAACCCCGAATCTGGCCCAACGAAATCGGACATCTTCATGTAATCATTCCAACCCAAACTGGTGTTATCCCCACTCTTATTATCAGCCGCAAACCGCCCATAGGAGTCCCTATGCATGTGATTGGAGCCGGGTTTTTGATTCAAAACCGACATACGAAACAAACACCAACAACTCCTATCGGACTTCTCCGTGTCCTTGCTCTCCAAACACATGGACAAATAGTCGACCCCATTAACCGAGCTCTGGTACACACTAATCCTCAAATTACACTCTCCGGCAGGGAAAACGGGGCTCATTATCTTCTGAGTCTTAATCATTTCCTTAAACAAACTGAAGTTATGAACCTTCCAAGTGAACTTCCCATTCAAAACGTCGGAAACGGGACCGGCCCCACCCGACGATGATGTTAAAATTGACGAGGCCGACGACGATTGGAGCTCGTTATTGTCCCGCGTGAAATTGACGGATTCATCAAGTATCAATATATCGGCAGTTATCAAAACAGAATCGGAATTTAACAGGTAACCTGATTTGGAATCGAATATGGAAGCAGAGGGAGTGAAATCGCACCAACCGTGGGATTTCTTCTTGCCAGAGAAACGATGCCAAGAATCGCGATGAATAGTCTTGGAATCATCTAGAAGGTTGACAATGGCCAAGCGATAGCTTGCAAAGCAGTCCCATTTCGAAGACGATGTGCCGCGAGGGTCCACTATTTGGAGGTAGAGGGAGATGTAGCCCGGGAGAGCCTGCGAGTCGCCCTTAGGGTAAACCAGGAGGCGACAATCGTACCCTCCGACATCAAAGTACTTGCTCCACAGTGCTTTAGCCTTGATTCTCGGAAAATTGTGGACCGTCCATCTGCAAACCGCCGAGTGCTCGCCTCGCCGATCGACGGTCACCGTCTCCTGCGCCCCGCCGCCGTCTCTCGACCCCGCCGCGAGGTCCTCCGCCGCCGCCGCAGAGATTGACGGCCGTTTCTCCACCATCGACGATGAGGTGGCGGTCTGCGAGTGGTCGGCCAGAACCGGCGCCGCCGATGATGACGACGACGACGAGACCGCCTCGCACGATGCGCTCTGCTTCACCCCGAATTGCTTCATTTCTTGAGGTTCTTTCTCTCTCTGGTTTTTGGGCGTCGTTTAGTTTTTTGATCAATTTCTAGAGAGAGAAGAAGAAGAATAAGAAGAAGAAGAAGAACAACAACAACAACAAGGTGTGTGTGGTAAGAGGGTAAGAAGAAGTGGGACTTTGCTCAATGTGAGGCGCATGATAGCTAACGTGCGCCTCTCTCAATCTGTCTTTCCTCTTCTTCTTCGTCTATATTTTTAATTTTTAATTTTTATTTTCTTGCCTGCATACGTCTACATGTTAGACTGCCATTTGATGAGGAGGGATTTATTCTCTACATCCAGAAACTTTGTACATTTGACATTGCATATATAACTACCGTTGCTTTAGAGTAGACCCCACAAAACACGATGTCCGACGTCGTACGTGATTGCTGCACGTGCGTTTGGGGGCTCTGCGAGACTGCGACCACGGTTATGCCTTATGACTGCACGTGCTGGAAGAGAATCGTGTGTGGAAGTTTTTTTCGTATGGGTTTTGTTTTTGGCGTGTGAGGGGCCACGTAAGGATTTATACATATTTTAAGCCAATAACATGATGGGACTCAATGGTTTCTGATGATTTTGCCCTTCCCGGGCTGCACATTATTCCATGACGCTGCTATAGTCTGCCTTTGCCGTTGGATAAACTCGATGCACATCCAACGGTTCCAAATTTTTTCAGTAGTTTGATTTTAGGTGTGCTACCTTGATATTTTTCTTCTTCTTTTTTCCCCTTTTTTGGTTGTTGCGTAAAAGAAATTTTGTACAAATACCTTTGAACTTTTCAAATTTAACAATTTAGAGCACATTTAGTATAAGAGTTTTAGAATTCAAAATCATGATTATGATTTAAATTAGTGTTTATTTATAAAAAGTAAAAAGTGATTCTGATTTAACTCACCCAGAATCAGTGTTTAACTTGGATGGTTCTGATTCAAGGTTTGAACATTAATGTAATGTTTTAAACCAATAATCACTTGTGATTCTAAAACCACCTCCCTTTATTTTAAGTAGTTCAAACTCCTGATTCTAATTCTGATTTCAGAACCATGATTTGGATCCAAAATCATGAATCATGATTCTGATTTCAAAATTAAAACTAGAATCACGTTAGTTTGAACCCTCATACCAAACAAAGCCATAGTCCTTAAACTTTTTTTTCCTAATATTTAACAACCTGAACTTATAATTTTTGGCACTTTCAACTCTTGTTGCTCAAATTTATTAAAATTTTAACGGTTTTTTGTATCTAACTTTCAAATAATAGCCTAATAAAGACATTGATGTTCATTTTTGTTTAGTTTCAATACAAATATATTTAAATACTTGAACTTAATTTCATTATAACTTAAACTTTAAATATAAATTTTAACATGAAATTTTATTAATGCCAATTAAAAATATCATCAATGCATTTTTTTTGTTGTCACTTGTAAATTTGGCACTAAAAGCCATCAAAATTTTAATGAATTTGAACAACAAGAACTAAAAGTACCATAAATTAAAACTTTTGGGGGTTAATTGTTAGGAAAAAAATTTTAAGAACCAAATTGCTAAATTTATTAAGTTCAAGAATGTTCACACATTTGCCAAGAATTTCTGATTCTAACCTTGTTCGTTTTATTATTTGGAAAAAAAAAAAAAAAAAAAAAAGTAACTAACTAACAAATTAATGCATTTGAAACATAGAGTGCGGTCCCCCCCAACGCTACTTTTCGCCGAACTTTTTCTTACCATCAACAACTTTTCAGTTTTTTTCATTCCAAAAAACAACTTTTTTCAGTTTATCTAAAGATGAAAATGTGTTTCCTCAAAAAAAAAAAAAAAAAAAGACAGATGTGTAAATACGATTAAAATTCAATTAATAATAGGGGAAATTTTTTTATACGCTTACGTATTGATAGATCAAGTTTTTTTAACTGTTAAATTTACATATATTTTTTTATTTTTACACAATTTTATATAAATTTAACGGACATAAAACTTAACTTACCGGTATATTAACGTACCAGAGAATGTCCTTAATAATAATGTGTAAATATAGACTCGTACTCTTACTGCTCAAAATGCATTGGCCAGTGGTGAACGGAGCTCAGGAGTCAAGCTCAGGTATAACCTATGAATTTTTAGAAGAAAATTACTGAACTTACCTTGATAAGTGTATGGGTCTTTTACTTATGATTAAAACCCTTTTGATTGACATAGAATTTTTAACAAAAGGGTATTAATAAAAAATAAGAAGTAACTTTTGATTAAGGCCCTTTCGACTAATATAGAATATTTTAACAAGAGGGTATTAATAAAAAATAAATAGTAAAAATTTAAAACTCGTACATTTTAAGGAGTATTTATCTCGACCTATAAAAAGAAACAAAAAAATCCACACAAAAAGCATGTGCCTCCAACTAGTATTAAAAAAAGAAAAAATTTGATATTAGTACTATGTGTTTTAGCATAATTATTTTTTAACACCCTCTAATTAGTATCTTTACGTTTTAAGAAATCGTTTTTTAGTAACTTAAGGCATTTTTTAGGATAACCACACATAACAAAATGAAAAAATAAAATAAAATAAAGGAGTTCGAAACTTAAAAAGAAAAAAAAAAGTAATTTAAAACCCTTATTTTCAGTATTAGGTTACCATGAAATGAATATGGTCATATATGTACTCTTTTATATATTTAGGATTTAGGATTAGGATAGACTTTTAGATATTTAGGATTTAGGATTAGGATAGAATTTTGAGTATTATAATGTATATAGTTGAGGTACATACGACGCACATATTAAGTTGTAATTGAAAATTTTTATGACGTAGATATGAAATTATGAATAGATTAAAAAATGTAGATTGTGAATAGAAATGATAAATTTAAGAAAAATTTTACCCATGAATTTAATTTATTTTGGCTCACTCATTTTTACTTTTAAAGGTCTAATTAACTTGAGATTTATGAAATGTATAATTTATTAACTAATGTAACCATAAAATGAACGAAAGAAACTAATCTTAATAGAATTCAAAATTGATCACAACCAAAGAGGTTATTTAGATGAGAAAGTTGAAATTTAAGGTTTAAGAAATCTCACGAGAGAGCGATAAAGTTAAAATGAAGAGAAAAAAAAAAAAGAGAACAAAAAAAAAAAAAAACGCAGGTAAATGTTGGTGTAGAAGTCTACGGTAGAGAAATGGAGTTAAAATGAAGAAGGGAAAAAAGAAGCAAAAGAAATGAAGCGAAATAAACAAAAATAAATGGAGTAAAAAATGGAGTTAAAAAGAAAAGAAAAGGAGCTAAAATGTAAAGTGAAAGAAATAAAGAAGACAAAGGGCAAAAAGAAAAAAAAAAAAAAAAACATACACAGACAAAGCACTAAATAGTGTGTGTAGAGATGTCAAATGGGTCGGGCCGTCCATAGACGGCCCGACCCAACCCGCAACAGTGTCGGGTTTGGTATGACCCGAACCTATATTGTTACGGGTTGTGCCGGCCCGGCACGTTACACGGACTAAGGTTGGGCCTTGGCTTCCCAGCTCGCGCCCCAGGTACGGCCCTAGCCTGTTAAAGCCCGAGCACGGCTCGCGATTCGACCCAAGCTCGCGATTCGGCCCAAGCACGCGATTCGGCCCAAGCCTGTGATTCGGCCCGCCCAAGCACACCGCAATGTGACCGTTAGGCCCATTGCGTGCCCAACGATCACATTGCAGAAATCAAGCCAAAAAACCCTATAAATACCCATAAATCCCACACAACATTCACCACAATAACTAATTCTCAACTCCTCCTCTCATTCTCATTCTATCTCTCATATTCTCTTTTTGATATTGATTCTTAGTTTTCTATCTCAATTCCTAATTTTTTAGCTCTTTCATTTACAAATTTCAATCAATTTGAAGAAATCTAAAAAAAAAAGGTATTTTACTCATTATTTTTGTTTCATAACATTGTATTATTCAATGTTTATTTATATTGTTTATTGTTTATAAATATTTTTTTAACATTAATTTTTGTTTTTTGTACAGAAAATGGTCGCATCAAATATCCCTAATTTTGGAGATGAACCATGTTACGGGATGAAATGTTAATGCACAACTCCAACCCCACTGAACCGGAAACTGTTCCGGTTGATAATCAATTGGTACACAACAAGGAAGTTAGAGAACGTGCCAGGGGAAAAAGACCGCAAACTGCTCACGCATGGCAACATTTCACAGAGATGTCCCAACCAAATCTAAAAATAGGTGAAATGGAAATTCGTACAGTATGTAAATATTGTAAGAAAAATATTTTTCTAACAAAAATGGTGGAGGTACTGACCATCTTCATAGACATTGAAAAGCACGTCTACAGTTGCACCAAGGTGGTAGTGTGGACTCCCGCCAACAAACATTATCACTCATATCACAAGGTTTACAAAATTTTACATATGATGCACAACTTGCTCGTGAGGCACTAACTAAATATTTAGCTAGTGTCGAATTACCTTTGTCTTTTGCAGATGATTAAGGGTTTGAAGAATTCATATAGACGGTCTTCTGTCCACAATTTAAACGAGTAAGTAGAAACACAACTCGATCTGATTGCAATAAAGTATTTTATGCTATGAGACAATCTCTAGTTGATAATTTTAAGTATTTCAATGCTGCAATATCTTGTAAGAAGAGAATAATTAGTTTTTGTTTATGTCCATTTCCTCATAACGCAAATGCTATTTTTTCAACTATAATGGAAATTTTTAATTTTTATGGGATCGATGATAAAGTTTTAACAATTGTTTTTGATAATGTGTCAGCTAACACAGCTGCAATTAACATGTTTAAAGCTAATTTGAAACCACCTTTTGTGGCAAAATTTGTCATCAACGGTGTGCGTGTCACATAATAAATTTAGTAGTACTAGCAGAAATTGAATATATTTCCTCTCATCTAACAAAATTTAGAGAATCTTTATCATTCATATCTAGTTCTGGAGCTCGACTCCAAGAATTTCGACAATATTACAAGAACAGACATATGCGAACAAGAAAGTTTCAAACTGATGTGAGACATAAGTAAAACTCCATATACTTAATGTTGAAGACTGCAATTCCGTATCAACAGATTATCACTATGTACGTAAATAGTAAGCATGGCGAGCATTTAATTTTTGAAATAGATTGGAAGATTAGTGAGCACTTTTTAAAATTTTTAAAAGTATTCTGCAACACTACCGAATTACTTTATGGTGTTTATTATCCTACTGCGCATCTAGCTTTGCATCAACTATTTAATATTTCAAAAATATTTCTATTTTATAGGGAAATTGATCTTTTTGGACCTATAGTTGATGTAATGGAAGCTAAAGTTAAAAGTTATTGGGCCGGTTGTCCTATGTTATATGTATTAGCAACCATTTTAGATCGTGGATGCGGATTAGTTAGGACCGAATATTTGATGTCTGCTATAGTAGATAATTTAGGTATTGATATGCAACTAACCATAGAACAAGCTAGGAAAATGTTAGAAAACTTGTTTGCTTTGTATGAGAAAAGATACATAACAGGATAGCAAGAACATGCAACTTCGACGTCAAGGAGCAGTTTGGGGCCTAAAGGATCATCGTGGAGCTTCTTGAAGAGGAAAGAGAAAGCAACACGATCGTCATCAACACAAGCATCTTCAGAACTAGTAAAATATTTTGAATCAAATTTTGTAATTGATGACAACAAATTGGACATATTACAGTTGTGGAAGAGCAAGACATATCATTTTCCAACACTGTCCATGATAACACGTGATATTCTAACAACTCCAGTGTCAACGGTAGCATCGGAGCAAGCATTAAGTGCAAGCAACCGAATTCTTGACAAGAAGAGGAGCATAATGTACCCGGATATCTTGGAGGAGCTAATGTGTGTCAAAGACTGGGAGGATGCCAGAAGACAAAAATAACACTATACAGATGATTTACTTTAAGAATATTTTTCAAATTTAGACATAACAGAATCTTCTGGAAGCAATTCGGGCGCAGTGTAATTTACTTATCCTTATATATTGCACTCCTTTTTTCTTCGCTAAGGTTTTGTCCTGATCTCCCCACGAATTTTACTTTATAAGATTTTTAACGAGGCAGTCATTTATGTGTACTTATTCGTATTACTTCAATTCAATAAAATCACATCTTTTAGGGGCATATGATATATTTTCTTTTTTTCTATTAAAAATTTCAATAAATATTAAAAGGGCCAGGGGGCTAGGCCTAGCCTTGGCCCTTACGGCCTGAGGTTCTTATCTCAGGCCCGGCCCAAGCACGGCCATGAACTGTTCAGGGCCGTGCCTGGTCCGTCCCAGGCCTGTCACGAGCTTGGAGTTGGACGTGTCGGCCCGGCACAGCATGTTTGACACCACTAAGTGTGTGAAGAACACGAAAGTCATGCGGAGCAATTTTCTACTCTTTTAATGTAGTTAAGATTAAAATTAAAGATGTTACTTTATATGAGAGCTTTTTACTGTAGTAAAACTCGAATTCTAAACTTGAATCAGTGAAATAAACAGAATTTAAAATATTAATAGATAGATTTTTTTTTTCAAGAATAAAAAAAAAAATGAGGTAGCAAAAATTGTATTGCAAATGTTCCAAAAAGGAGAAAAAAAAAAATTGTATTGCAAATCCAGCGTTTGCCAAGTGATAAATCATGTCTGGCCGCAATTTGGAAACACTCCTCCGCGGCTCCGCCTCTCCGTTGAAAATAATCATCCAAACGATGACGTCTCTTTGAAAAACAAAAACCCCACCACATTCAAAAACTTCCAAAAATTCCCAATTCTCTCTTTCTCCCTCTCTCTCTGGTGCTTGTTTGTTTGTCCAGATTCTAAAGCCAACCTCAGAGTCAGATTCTCTCTTTCTCCCTCTCTCTCTCTCCGGTGCTTGTTTGTTTGTCCAGATTCTAAAGCCAACCTCAGAGTCAGGGACAGAGAGACTCCTTGATCTTTTCTTCGTCGACCTCCCAAATCGCGCGCAATCCTCCACACCCCGCTCCCCGATCGGGACGAAATCTTCCCAATTCCCCTGTTTGGTATCCGAGAAAACTTGAAGCTTTTCCCTTTTAACTTCTTGTCTTTATTCACAAAGCCCATTTGGCTTAATTTCGAAGGTCAGTTTTCTTTCTTTCTTTCCTTTTTTGTTTTTGCTATTTTTTTTTTTTTTGGAAAAAAAGCAAAATAAAGTAAAGGCGTGATATTGAAGAAGTGATTCAATTCTTTGACTGTTTGGTTTCCCGGAAAAGAATCTAGAAGAAAGTAAGATCAAATGCGAAATTCGTAGATAGAAATCTTCGGAAATAATGCTAATTTCATTTTTCCCCAAATCAGTTAATTTTATATATATATATATATATATATATATAAAATCTGTTGCTGGGTCGCCGCATTTCAATGGTTTGGCATTTTGTTTTAAAAAAAAAATCGTGTTTTCAGATGGAAGAAGTGTGTCTGAATAGCGAGCCGGTTTTCGAAGAAGTTGATGATGAGTACGAGGTTGATGGAGATTGCCCCGTGGCTGAACATGATTACCAAATTGGGGAAACACAAAGGAAGAAGCATGCCCCACTCCCAACTGTGGGTTTGGAGTTCGATTCCTTTGAAGAGGCTTATGATTTCTACAATGTTTACGGAAAAGAGCAGGGGTTTGGAATCAGAGTGAGCAACTCGTGGTTCAGGTCGAAGAGGAAAGAGCGGTACAGGGCGAAATTGAGTTGCAGCAGTGCAGGGTTCAAGAAGAAGAGTGAGGCCAACAACCCGAGGCCCGAAACAAGGACAGGTTGCTCCGCCATGATTGTGATCAGGCTGGTGGACTCACAAAGGTGGAGAATAGTTGAAGTGGAGCTTGAACATAACCATCAAGTCAGTCCACAGATCAAGAGGTTTTACAAGTCTCATAAGAGGATGATTCTTGCTGCTAAAAAGGCACAACTTCCTGCACAGCCTGTGACAGAAGTGCATACCATCAAGCTCTACCGAACAGCTGTTATGGATTCTGCGTGTAATGGGTACTCGTCGGGTTTTCAGGAAAGGGAGGGTATGAGTGGGGTGGACCACTCCAAGCATTTGGAGCTCAAAGAAGGAGATGCTCATGCGGTTTACAACTACTTTTGTCGGATGAAGTTGACGAACCCGAATTTCTTTTACTTGATGGATGTGGATGATGACGGGCGTTTAAGGAATGTATTTTGGGCTGATGCCAGGTCCAGGGCTGCTTATGGTTACTTCTGCGACACGGTTGCTATAGACACGACATGCTTGGCAAACAAATATGAGATCCCACTGATATCGTTTGTTGGTGTGAATAACCACGGGCAATCCATATTGCTGGGATGCGGCTTTCTTGGGCATGAGTCAGTGGAGTATTTCATTTGGATGCTCAGGGCATGGTTAAAATGCATGCTAGAGTGCCCTCCACTAGTTGTTATTACCGATCAGTGTAAACCTTTGCAAACTGCAGTTTCCGAGGTTTTCCAAAATGCGCGTCATTGTTATTGCCCGTGGTATATAATGCAGCGAGTTCCAGAGAAGTTGGGAGGACTGAAGGGATACGAAGCAATCAAAAGACAGTTGAATAAAGCAGTTTATAGTTCCTTGAAAATTGCCGAGTTCGAAACTTCTTGGGCTGACATGATCAAGCGGCACGGACTTGGAGATAATAAATGGCTTCAGACACTGTATGAAGAACGACAAATGTGGGTTCCGGTTTACTTGAAGGATGTATTTTTTGCAGGAATGATCCCTATCCATGAAAATGAAGGCTTGACTTCTTTTTTTGATGGTTATGTACACAAGCACGCATCATTTAAGGAATTTGTTGATAAGTACGATCTAGCTCTGCATAGGAAGCGAATGAGGGAGGCAACATCGGATCTGGACTCGAGAAATTCGAGCTATGAATTGAAAACGAGATGCAACTTTGAGGTGCAGCTGTCTAAAGTATACACAAAAGAGATCTTCAAGAGGTTCCAGTCTGAAGTTGAGGGGATGTACTCCTGTTTCAACACAAGGCAGGTCAATGTCAATGGGGCAATAGTCACGTACATTGTCAAAGAAAGAGTTGAAGTTGGGGGAAGCGAAAAGGAAGTTAAGTACCATGAGGTTTTGTATGAGACAACACAAGTGGATATAAGATGCATTTGCAGTTTGTTCAATTACAAAGGCTATCTTTGCAGGCATGCTTTGAATGTCCTTAATTACAACGGCGTCGAGGAAATCCCGTCGCGGTATATTTTGCCTCGGTGGAGTAGAGATTTTAAGTGTAGGTATCTTCTAAATCACGGCTCCAGTGATTCCATTGACATGTACAGCCCGTTGTACTGGTATAATCATCTAAATAAGCTTGCCCTTCCGGTTGTGGAAGAAGGGGCACAATCTCAAGAACGTTATAAGACCGCGTTGCAAGAATTAGACGCGCTGTTAAAGAAGTTTAATATTGTAGAGGATAACTTAGTGTAACACAGGATAAATATTTTTTAACTTATCAACTTTGGAAGGAATGCCAAGAAGTTTCTTTCCACAAATGACTTTATTTGGTAAATATGCTTGCTCTCTCTCTCTCTCACATAGAGAATAAAAGTTGTAGCATTTTTTAAATGAATATCTTTTATGAGATTTTTGTTACGAACTGGTGTCCTTTTGGGATTGACAATATAGTGAATATCGACCTCTTTTTTGAAGCATATAGAATCAAATTCCAAGCACGCGTGTACTACATTACAATTTCCCTGCATATTTAACATTCCATGTTGAAAAGCGGACCAACCTTACCTAACTTGAGATAACTTTGAGAACTTTCTAAATATTTAGGGGACGTTTGTTTCTTATATTCGTCTCTGATTCTGAATCATGATTCATAATTTTTTATAATGTTTTCTCTTATAAAAAGTACACGTAAAATGAGAATAATTCTTAATCATAATTCTAAATACATAAACCAAATGTCTTCTAATTGATCGCTATTTATTTTCGTTCCTGCTGTTGGTTCGAGGAGATTATCAAGTGGTGCTTCCGCCGCTACTACCTACTAGGCTACTACTAATAATAATAGCAATATCCGAATTCTCCTACATGGTTAAGAATTAAGATGCCTAAATGTCCACGTAATCTTTTTTTTTTTTTTCCTTCTCACACAATTTTGAGTGAATTAATTAACAGAAATATAGTAATCTTATTGCGTTGGCAATGGCATGTATTAAGAAATCAACATTTATCGAAATTTCACGAGTATATGAATTTGAAGTAACGGGACATTTTATTCACATGTCCTACGAGATATTTATTGGCACTAAAAAGTTTTTTGTTGATCACAAAAATATTCCAAGGTTTTTTCATTTCCCTTTACACGGCGTATACTGAGTCGATGTCTAACAAGTTATTCATTTATCACTTTGGCAACAGATATATAGAGACATCATTTTTTAATCAAATTCAGTAAAGAATTTAATACCCTGACACTATTCTCAGTTATATTCATCACCAATGTTATTATCCATTTTATATAACAAACTAATTCTTTTGTTGGAACTCGGAATTATAAGAAACTAATTCAACAAGGTAAATATCAACATGGTTTTAGTTTCTTGTTTAAAATCAAGTGTCGCTGTTGTAGTTGAAAGTTGAAAACTAATCTCTCTGAAAGAGAAATTTTGAAGAAAGTAGTGGGACACGATCATTTCACCGATTCAAATTTAAAATTCGAGTTTTGCTATAATAAAAAACTCTTAGAAACAGTCACATCTATTTTTTTTTTTGCCACAATAAAAAATTCTCACATAAAATCACATCCCAACTCGAATCAGCAAACTAAATAGACCCATAATCTATTCAAAGATCAACAAAAGGTGACGTAAATCCAAACCATAAAAAAGTCGCGATATAAATCTAAAAGACATAAAAATTGCGACATGCCACCTAAATTTCTCTTTTCCTAAAGGGGGACTAAAGCTCAAAAACAGCGTCAAAATTTACATTTCCAAGCAATCAATTAATTTTTGTAAATGTGGATTCAAGTATTTGAACCCTCGCTTTCCACTCATTATCATTAATAATGTCAATGAAATAGAAACCAAGCAGACAATCTACATGTCTAGAGGGTTTTATTCACTGATTTGGATCAGTGCTGCAAAAACGAAATAAGCATTAATAAATTAAGAACAGCAGCGTTAGAATTGCACGGAATGGAAATTCAGTGTAGGCTGTCCAAATGTTGCGCTCATCATAGTCATGTGTCAAAAGCAAAAAAGTTAATGAACGAACTTTCTTAAAGATAGTAGTACAATGCACCGTCTTTTTCTGTCGAAGAATATGAATGGGCACCCAAAAAAGTACATAATCTAACCCCATGAGTCCTTTAAAAAAAATAATTGAATAAAAAATCTAACCCCCCGAGTCCCAACTGACTCGACCTTTGTTGATGTAAATATAACTCTAACCAAATTCACAAATCAGGACAATATATTTCTATAAATAGTTTCAAAAGGGTACAATTTGAACTAGTTCAAATCTCTCACAAGCAAACAAAAAAGCGCGCCCACACAAAAATAAGAATTACAGCTCGCATAAACGAGCATTGTCTGCCACAAGACGTCGAAATACAAGAATACTGACTGAATGCCATGAACCAAAACAGGTATAAGGGGTACAAGAAAAAGAAATAAAGAAAGAAAAGGCTAGGTAAAATGCACAAGCACTTTTTTTTAGTCTAGCTTGGTACTCACCCTCACTTCAAACAAGTAGGTAGTGTAAGTCCATGGCAGACAAAAGCCAACACAACATAAGCAATCACTAGCAAGAGGATTATAAGAGCAACCCTGCAAGAATATAAAGCATTCAATGAGTGAGCATCATAGACTCATAGCTATCCTATCCATCATTGTTGGTAACTAGTCATGATCATTTTATGAAACATAATTGTTTCAAACCACATAATTGAAGTTAATAAAATGACGCTTGCTAATGGTCCAAGGGATCGGTAGTATAAAGTTGGTAATGATTGTTGACAATCAAAACAGAATATATAAAATTGGATTTTCACTTCGCTAGTACATGCTGAAGCCAATAACAGATAAGCATAAATTTCATAATTTTTTTCTCAATGAAAATTATTTGGTAATCCATGTCAAATCTGATGTGGGAATCTCACTATAAATTTGTAAAACCACAATTCAATTTACTTGAACTAAAATGAATCACAAACCCATTCAAAATTATCTCATAGAGTATCAAAACATTTAATTTCTAAACAAGCATAAAGAAATGATGCAACCCCCATGTTCTATCTGACAGTAATATCTACAGAGAAGGGTTTAGAGAAGAGAACATACGTAAGCTTTACGTTTCTCCACCACACTGTGTTTCTAAAACGGCGAGCTTGCTTTCTGAACCTAAAGGTGTTTCCTTGCATATTAGCAGTTTTGTCAACCAGCAATTCTAGGCGATCGCCTCTCTCTAAAACTTTGTCAATATTCTCAATCATGACACTTCGAACCTATTTAAACATAAATCACATATTACTATCAAGCGAAAGGATATAGTATACTATATCACAAAAATATAGATTTACCCATAAAAGGTTATCAACAAGCTCAAGCATAAACAGCAATATGTGATTATGCACTATAGGATATAATCAAATTTATGACCTTCAGGCTTCAAACACAAACGAAATAGACCGCCATACTTGGTCATCAAGTTTGTCAACATAAAAAATGAAACTTTATCCAGAGGAAACCTAAATGTGATGAAATAGCGTCTTATAGAAAACAATACTAAACGGAAAACTAATTCACATGACATATTGGATTCAAATTTAGATTAAAATATGCATTCCTTACCTGACTCATTTCACCTTTAAGTCGATTTATCCTATCTGCATTTGGGTCATTTGAGTAATACTCCATTTGCTGGTTCAAAACCCTTGAGAATTCATCGTTCATGCCATAAGCCTGAGCAGAATGAACCGCACGGCCATAAGTCCTCACAAATCTTTGATGAATGTCCTCAAGAAATGCAAAAGGAATTCTCCCTGCAAAAATTGAAAAACCATACAATCTAAATCCTTTTTTCCTACCATTTCCCCTTTCAAACACCCTCTCTGTTCTTCCGTACAAATCATCGCGCCAAAACAAGCAAATTTAACGAGGAAATGATATTTAGCTAAGCCATACCAAATAAGAATAGACAACAATAATCAGAAATCGACTCCTTTTTTTCTTGCTTTTCATTCAAGCAAGTTGAAAATGAGGTCCAAATTCGGAATTACTCAAAATTCCTTGCCATGAAAAAGGGCAAAAAAAAAAAAAAATCACAACAATAACCAAGCCAAATCTCCTATTTTTTAAAATTAAAAAATACACTTCGGAGCCGCCAATAATTTCGCATCAAATTGACATCTCCGGCAAATCAAAGACGACCAAAATCTTCGCTCTTCGTAATCAAACAAAAAAAAAAAACAAAATTGAAAATAAATGCAAAGCGAAAGTGAAAGGGAACGTACTGCCGGCGGCTTCGTCGGCCATACAAAGGACGGTAAGGCCGTCGGTACGGCGGACATGGAAGACGTAGCGGTCCTGAGAGTAGGAGACGTTGGTGTCGTTGTTTCCGGGAATCTTCTCGAGGATTTGCCTGGCGATGGCGCCTGCGTTCGTCGACGTCGCCGTGAACTCCGCCAGCACCACCGATCCCCTTGCCACCAGCGCGAACAGAATCGCCATCTCCGACAACTGAGACTTGATCGGAGATTCGATCGGAGGTTCCAACAAATTCTTCTGTCCCCCTCCTCGATCTCCGAGTTTCTCTAGGATTATAAAAAGGAACTCTCTCTTTCGTCTTCGCCTTTTTTAATGCTCTTTTTCCCTTTTCCTTTTCCAATTTTTTAATTTTTATTTGGAAAATGAGAAGTTTCGTTTTGTAATTCGTTGGCGCCACGCTGTTAAAAATACCGATTTACAGAATTTTTTATTTTTGTTATTTCAGTTTCGGCGGAAATGGAATTCACTGTTCAGAATTGAATTGGGAGGTTGTTTACTTGTTTCTTTTCTTTTTTTTCTTTTTAAAGCGTTTCTTAACTTTTTTTGTTTGGCTGAGTTGTATTAATTTTTTTCTTTTTTGGAAAAAAAGAGTTGTAGTGAGTTATGTGCAATAATAATATGTGAGTTTTAAAATTAACATATAAATTATATAATTTGTAGTCATAATCCCTTAAAAAGACATTTGTTATTCTTTCTCGAAGCAAAATTAATGAACATTTATTACAAAATACGTCACACACTTAATACGTTATTTTGCGGGCATAAAGTATTTAACAGCCGGTGTTTTTTGGTTGCATTGTTAAAGTCTTTTTTCCAGTAAAAAAAAATAATACACTATTCTTTATTTCTATAATCTTATGTTTTCCGGAAGAAAAAAATAATTCGTTCTTTAAAGCTAATAGAATAAAAAAGAAAAGAAAAGAAAGGGATGTATATAAAATGATCAAAGTGACAATGTGTATTTGCAGCTGTTTATGTCATCCGTCCATCATTAGTCGTCTATTATCCAAAAAGATTAAATAATCCAAAAGGATAACTTTTATTAAACGAGAAAGAAAACAATCAGAAGAAATTAATAATGTCTTATTTATTTCATCGATTTAAGTTTTTAGTTTTAAGTTTTTACAGTTAAAAGCTTTCAGAAAATGTCACATCTAACCTTTTCTGTTCCGTTAAAAACTCTCAAAAAATATCACATTTCAACTTGAATTGAAAACTCGAATCCGCAAAGTAAACGAGACTTGAAAAGAAGAGAGTCAATGGTGTGGATACAATAGAAAGGAACATGATAATAAAGATAATATGAGATTTACAAACAAAAGTTCTTGTATCATTGTCTAATACATGTGTATATTAAAAATTTACAGTGAGCATCACAAAAGTGTTCCTACTCACAAATTACGTGAAAAACTAATCCAATAGTTATAACACGGTTTTTAAACATAGAGTAAAAGTTTTCGAGGGCCCATTTAGTTCTCTGATTCAAGTTTTTAATTCGAGTTGAGATGTAATTTTATGTAAGAGTTTTAAACTGTAGTAAAAAAGTTAAATGTAACTGTTTTTGAGAACTTTTTACTGTAATAAAACTCCAATTCTAAACTCAAATCGACGAAATACACAGAGAACTAAATAGAAAGATCATTCATGCTATCTCATTCGTGTCACCAATTTCCAATGTCTAGTAAAAAAAACACAGCAACCTATCGATGAAACTTAAAAAAGGACATGACTCAATTCATGGTAATGAAAGATTTGTATTATTTCAATTTATTTCTGGTCATCAAAGAATTATACTATCTCAACATAACTTGAAATGAAGCAAAAAAAAGCCAACAATTTACTCCCTAATTTTTTTGTGCTTTTATGAATTATTTTCTAAATTTTTAATTTCGATCATTAATTTATGAAATTGTCAAACATGTTTAAATTAGTGATGGAAATGCCCATCGGAGGCGGAGCCTCGTGTTTTTTGCACTTTAACTCCTACTTTTTGGTACTCCCACAAATTATCATCTGAACTTTTTAATTTTTGTAACTGATCCCGTGATGGGCATAACGAGATTAAAAACTGGGGAGGGTTTATATTTTTAACCTTTATTTTTAGAGCTCGTTTAGTTTTTTAATTTAAGTTTTTAATTTAAGTTTAGATGTGATTTTATGTGAGAATTTTTTACTGTAGTAAAAAAATTAAATTTGATTATTTCTGAAAATTTTTTACTGTAATAAACTCAAAACGGTTAAAAAAACGGAATCTTAATTAATATTATTTTTAATTAAAAAGATAAAAATTTAAACTAATGTATTTTAACTTAAATTCAACCATTTTCTTTTCCAAAATTAGTTTGAAGTTGGGCCCAAATAAATACATGACAAGCCTAGCTGACCACACGCCCCATACACATGAGAAAATTGCAGAATTTATTTTTTAAAAGTATATGAGTCTATATTTTTATTTTTTATTTTTAATAAATATTTTTTTATTAATATAAATATTTAATTAAAAAATTATAAATTAAAAATAAAAGATAAAAATAATGATTCATACACTTTCAAAATTATTTGTGATTATCTCAGGCATTGACCGTCAAGCGCGTCCACTGAAGCCCATCCATTCCGTCCGACTGTAAGTCTGTATAAGACTGAAACCCATCAAACTCAAGACCCAAAAGCATTTTAGGCCTTAGGGTCAATTATTTTTTTTAGAAAAAAGATTTTCGGGTAAATTATTACGTAATTTATGAAAAAAAAAGATATAAATAACCTTAATAGCACGGAGAAAATTAAAAAACAACTAATATTATTCTTCGCTTCAACAAAGAAATTCATAGAGCAGATTTTAAAAGGCAATTACACAAGTAATTCTATCCCATAGGTGTAGAAGCGCGTCGTAATTTCTTGAGGATTTTATTTTACAAAATTATTTTCATAATTTGACACGTTTCATAAATTTATCATTTTAATTAATTAATTAGTAACATGTTCTTCATATATTATCGTGGTGGAGACATTTTGAACATTTTATTGTTTATCAAATAATAAGAAATTTATTTATATAATTATTTAAAGATTTTTGAATTTATTTTAAGAAAATATGTATAAAGATAACAATTGATAAAAAAAAAAAAAATTAAGTAGGAACACATTTAAAGAAAATTATTTTAATCAACTAAAAATAAAATAAGAACACATACGAAAAATTACTCTCATAGGAATAAAGTGAGGAACAACATATTTTTAAGAAACACACCAAAAATTAAAATGTAAAAGATTCAAAAAAGATAAAAAAGTAAAACAAATTAAAAAGGAAAAAAAAATAAATGTAGGGGTTGCCATGTGTGTTTTAGCAAATTCAAAAAAATTAATAAAAAAGAAAGAAAAAAACTAAGTAAAAAAGTGCTTTAGCCTTTTTATTTATTGTTAGATGTGCATGAGAATGTGAAAATTAATCATTTTTCTGGATTTCAAATTGTCTGCATTTCTCCCCCACATCTAACTATAGATTTTTTTTTGGGTGCTAATTACATCTAACTATAGATTTGTTCAATAATTCAATTGTGATATATATATTAATTATGGATATATTTTCATACGAGTTTAGTAAGCCTCGATGACGTAGCCCTAGCTAGGTGAGCCCTATCAAAGACAGCAAGTCTTGACAATTATGTGGATAACATGTGATTCTAAATGAATCCGGACCTGTGTCTTTACATAATTGAGAGGCAAAATATCTTATAAAATACCCAACAAAATACAAGACAAACACGCGAGATAAAGTGGTTTCATATCTGTCACACAGACCTATAAGCTGGAAACCAACATTAGGTTTTGTCCCCACATTACTGTAAATTGATTTTACTTGCTATTACTCACCATGTTGTTTTGTTAATTCCCTTCCATATATACGTATCCATATGTTAGGACCTAACAGATTATGAGTCCGTTTAGTTCACTAATTTGAGTTTTTAATTTGAGTTGAGATGTGATTTTATGTGAGAGTTTTTTTACTGTAGCAAAAAAAGTTAGATGTGATTGTTTCTGAGAGCTTTTTACTGTAACAAAACTCGAATTCTAAACTCGAATCGGTGAAATGAACGGGACCTATAATGATCGGTGTTTTAGAGCACAGAACAATTTAGAAATACCTCCATTAGCATGAAAATAAACACTATGACCGTGTTTGGAATTAATTTCGTTTTTATTTTTCACGTTTTTCAAGAAAAAAATAAAAACGTTCTCAAAACGGCGTTTGGCGCAATAAAGACAAAAAATAAAAATGAAAATGATTTTTTGGTTTAGTGTAAAATGAGAGAGAAATGAAAAATGACTTTTAGAGTATGGTTGGTAGGAAAGAAAAGTAGAAGGAAGGAAGAAGGTGGAAGGATTTTGGGAGAAAAAATGAAAATGTAAGTTGTTTGGTAGGAGAGAAAAGAGAAAGGAAGAGAAAATAGAGTGGAAAATAATACATGTGGGCCCCACCATTTTTTTTCTTTTCATAAGTGGGCAGAAAATGAGATGAAAAATTGTGACAACTCATTAAAGTGAGCAAAGTTACTAAACTACTATATATTTTCTCCATCATAATCCAAGCAAAAAATTTAAAGTATAAAAGTAATTTACGAGTAAGATTTTTTCTTTCCTCCCAATTTAACTTCCAATACCAAACAAGTGAAGGTAAGCTCATTTTCTTTCCATCTTCTCATACCAAACAACATAAAAGAAAATCAATTTCCTTTCCATCATTGCTATCTTCCATCACTTCCATATTTTCTTTCTATCATATTTTCTTTCCTTCCTACCAAATATAGCATTAGTCGCTTTTCATTTTTTGTTTTCGTTTTCTCCTCTCTCGAGCAGAGAGAGATAAAGAGAGACATTAATGAGTTTTTTTATACTGAAAATAATCTCTTGATAAAACTACCAAACGCATTTTTAAAAATAATTTATGTCTAAGATTGAAAACGTTTGCATTTTCATTTACATACAAAAAATAAAATCATTTTGAAACGAGTTATAAACGCGCCCTATTAACTCTTTTGTTCATAATGAAATGTTACTTTATAACTGTGTCTAGGTGGTCGCAAGCGTCTAAACACTCATATATGGCAAGAACAATATTATTAGGTAGATACATTCCGGAATTAAAAAATGGAATAAAACTTGTTGGCAATGACTTGATTATTTTGTTTATTATTATAATTATTTTTGTTATATCAATCTCTTAGGACTCGTTTGTTTGATGCGTTTAAGTCTATGATTTTGATTCTGCTACAGTGTTTTTCTCTCATAAAAAATTTAAACTCAAATGTCAAAATTAAGAATTACTGGTTTAAACACATAAACTAAACGGGCTCTTAGTATTTATACAAAATCCATAATTGCAATGTTTGTTTGCGTTGAATGAAATAATTGTGCCCTTATTTCATTTTGAGGATTCATGTAGTTATAATATTAATATACACCCACGACCTACCTGTATAGTATATATAAACATATGGTCCTGTATATATATACTAGCTACAATTGTTAAGAACCACCAGTTAAAAAATTTGGAAGGACAGCGTTAGTTAATTTGGTTATATGCATGCACGTGACTAAGTAATATCTCACAAAAATACAACTTAGTGTGCGCTTGGAGTAAGAATCCGTGTCATATTTCGTAACTCGTTACGGTATTTTTTTCTCACAAAAAAATACACGTAAATCACGTCCTCTTATACCATATCATTTTCACGTTCCATTTCCCACAAGCCTACAAAAAATTCCAACTGGTATACAATATCAGCAATCCCGTTTTCTCATCTCTTCCACTCAATCAAATCTCCAAACATGAACCTCACATTTTCCCTTTAAAAAAAGACCCCCCAGCCTCCACTAGGGCAGTACCCCCTCCAAGTCCAATTTTAGCCCTAAAAGCCATAACATTGGTTTGTTATAGTCTATACTATAGTACTATAGCCATGGCTGCTTCTAACAAGCTCTATGCCACCATCCTAATCCTTTCCATCCTCTTCTCCAGCTCAACATTCACCAATGCCTGTGGCACATGCCGGAAACTGCCTCCGGCACCGGCCCCCGCCTCCTGCCCTAAAGACACGCTGAAGTTCGGCGTTTGCGCTGACCTCCTCGGACTGGTGAACCTCGTGGTCGGGTCCCCTCCGTCGAGCAAGTGCTGTGCCCTGCTGTCTGGCTTGGCTGATTTGGAGGCCGCCGTGTGCCTTTGCACTGCCATTAAGGCCAACGTGCTCGGCATCAACTTGAATGTGCCTCTCACACTGAGTGTTCTCATCAGTGCTTGCCAAAAAACCGTTCCTTCGGGCTTCAAATGCGAATGACCGCCACATTATTGTCTTAAATTAGTGGCTACAAATTAGAGTTTGCAGTACTAGTGCTTCTTCTTGAAGTTTCATGCTGGTTTGAATTTGATGTTGTGTAACTTTTGTTTGTCGTCTAATTATTAATGGCCAGTTTTTAGCACCTTTTTTTTTTTCGTCCTGTTTTTGTGCTTGTAAGTTTCTTCTTTTGCAATTAGGGGGTGAAATTAGTGTGTTTTAATTGGTTCAAATAATTATAAGTAGGCAAACCTTTGGTCTTACTTTATTATGTAAGATCTGTTGTTTGTTGAATAACAACTTATTTCGTTTTTAATTATTAGTTTCTTTCCAACAAATCCTGCATTATAAGTTGTTCCACTTCTAAAGAATATCCATTCACAGCATATATAATATTTATGGAAGGTTTATACACGCTCACTTTTTCATGCATTTACTTTTTTCTTCTTTTCTGTTTTTTTTTCTTCCCCAAATAAATTCAAGTTGAATACAAACTAAATAACCGCAAGAATGATCCTGTATGGCCAACTAAGTCGATATGTATTAACGATTTACAATAATCCTCCAATCAAATTTTGAGAATTAATTCTAAACGATTATTTGGGAAAAATTTTTGCCTTTATTTTTTTTTTCCTTTCTTTCTTTTTGGGAGGGAGAAAAATATATTATAAATCCTATTATTCTTTTTGAAAAGCCTATTATTTTTATTTTAAGATTCGCATAATATCTTTGGGATATTTATATTTTTATACCCTTTGTTTTAAGTTTATTCAAAATTTATACCTTCGGTTTTTGATCTCATCAAATGTATGCCTTAAAATTTGATTTAATATACAAATCTATCATTTATCTCAGTCAATAATTGATTTTGACCTTTAAAATGACCAAACTATCCTTAAAAAAGAGAGAAAATAAAATTAAAACTTTCCAACATTACAAAAAATAAAAATTTAAAACCCCAAAAAAAAACCCCATTTTAATGGTATTTTAGATATTTTTTAGGTTAAAATTGTAAGTTTAAAGTTTTTTTTAGTTTTTTTCTTTTTTCTTTTTTATTTAAGGGTACTTTAGGTATTTTATGTTTAAAATCGAGAGTTGATTGTGAAAATGTATAAATTTGACTATTAAATTTAATTTGAAGGCATACATTTGATGAGATTAAAAACTAAATGTATAATTTTTGAATAAACTCAAAACATATGGTATAAAAATGTAAATATCCCGATATTTTATTTGGATATATATATATATATATATAAATATACTAAGATATATATGTCGGAATGGAAAAAGACTTTCTTAATTTTGAAAAATGATTATTTGGTAAAAAAATGGTTAATTACGAGATTGATTTGATAGTCAATCACCAATTTTTGTCCGTATTTAACCCAATGTCAATTAATGATTTATGAATCAGTGACTGATTAGTACTGTGATAAATTAATAATTGATCAGTACATATAATTGGCAAGCGTATAAATATGTTAATTATCTTCGGTCATTTAAAACAATAAAAAAAAGGTGGCCGGTTTGCCTTACCTAATTACTCTAGTAAATATATATTTTCCACGACTTGTGATGTTCTAATTGAAAATATTAAACAAAACAAGAAAATAATATCGTGATATGTTTTTAGCTTTGTCGTTTTTGATCTAGTGTCAATTTATCGGTTAATTTTCCCTCCTTTTTTTTTTTTTTTTTTGCTAATGGTTTTCTCTTCATGTTTGTATGGGAAATAATGCGAATGGCACGTTGGCATGTAATATGTGGCGGAGAAAATAACAATGACTAGCTAGTATTTGTTTATCTTGACAGCAAAAAAAAGCAAAAAACAAAAATTACAAAGATAAAGTTGTTTTCGAAAAAAAAATGATTTTTTTCCCCGAAACCACAAGCTGACAAAAAGTGAAACAAAACTCAGATAGACAAATTTGTGAACGCCATGTAATTTATATGACATTTTAAGGTACATTTGACTTGAGTTTTTAATTTTAATTGAGATATAATTTTATGTAAAAAAATTTTATTATAGTAAAAAAATTAAATGTGGCCGTTTTTAAAAATTTTTTTACTGTAATAAAACTCAAATTTTTAACTAGAATCAGTAAAATAAACGTTACTTAAATTTTAAAAAAGAAATTTTTTGATACACTTTTTTTTAGCCGTTAAATCTACTTACTTTTTAACTTTTTCATAATTTTATTTAAATTTAACAATTAAAAAACTTAACCTACCAATGTATTTCTTATTTTAAACAATAAAAAGTTAATTATCGAAATTTATCAATCATGAAGGCTACGTCATTATTGTTTTCGTTTTTTTTTTTAAATAATTCATGCTTCATAGAGATTACTTTGCTATATGTTATTATTATTATTATTATTATTTTGCTCATGTATTTTATTATTCTTTTAAATCTATCTACATCTACATCTACCTATATAAAAGTGTTAAAGCGTGAATCTCTTTCCTTCGGCCACGCGTATGGCCATTTTGTTCAGTTGTTTTATTTTATTTTTTTAACTTTTTTATTTTTTTCTTTCCTTTTTGTCCTTATTTAGTTTTTATTTACATTCGTGTTGTTTATTGATGTTTAATTATTTCTCATTTTCTAACTAATCAATTCAGATAAATATATCTCTACTTAAATATTTTTACTACAATTCTCTATATATGTTAGATTTGTATTTGACTAATTTTATTGGTCGTTTTTACACTAAAATAATTTCTCAAAAATACTTTTAATCAAACATTTTTTACTTCTCATATGTACACCTTAATTAAATTTCAATTTAATTTATTTTTATATGTAAAGAAAAAACTGCCCATGAAATAATTATTTCCAATATGCCCTTACTTAAACATATTTTCTTCTCTATAACTTAAATGTATATAATATCATGCAACTTTTGTATAAAATGTCACGTGCATGTAAAAGTATAATTTTACCCGAAAATCTATTTATCTGTGGGACCTACCTTAAATAAGTTAGGGAATATTCAGGGCTTGTTCTTTTAGAGTTTAACTTGAGTATAATTTTTGAGTTGAATTTGAGTTATAACTTAAGTTGAACTTGTAACTTGAGTTTGTGTTTGGTTGTATACATTTGAGTTATGGTTTGAGATAAAAATCTTTTTGAGTTTGTGTTTGAGTGAGTCAAAACTTGAATTTGTATTTAGATAGTATTTTAATAAAAACTCAATGCTGATGAAAAATTTTAATAGGGTATATGGGTCGGGTTTTATTCGTATTTTCGTTGTTAACGCATAGAAAAAAAATCATCTCAATCAGAATTAAAACGAAAAAGTTATAACATTTTTAAGAATAGAAAAAATATTGTTCATTAATTTGAGTTTGAGTTTCTGAACTCGAGTTGAAGGAAAAATTTGAACTCGAGTTTTAGTCCTAAACTCGAGTTTGAACTCGAATTTAAACTCGAGTTTAAACTTAAAAGAACATAAACTCGAATAAAGTTATAACTTGAGTTGTCTTTTTTTGAGTTTTTCACTCAAAAGAACAAACCCTCAGTTTAAAAGGGGTTAGATTGAAGTAGAGTTGCGGGAGTTCCCAGTTAATTATATCCTATTTTCATATAAATATATTGTATATAGTATACTACAATACATAATATTAAGAATAATATATTACATAATATATACATATGTATGAAAACACATATTTTGATACACTTGTTTTTTTTAATTAATTTAAATTTTTTATATTATACATCTATTAATTCTTTTTTAATCTCTCCTACTATTTTGTATGTTTAAAATCAAAATGCGTTTTTCTAATAGAATGCTCAGCTTACTCACGTGATAATATGCTCCGCCCCCAATATCGAGAAAGGCGCATTCAAGAATTGCTATTATTGCAGTATTGCCTATTTCTAATATTATCATCAAAGGATTTGTACGTCAATATTAATATCTATATCTACACATATTATAAGTTTGAAAAGGCAACTCTAGTCATTTAAATAAAATAAAATAAAAAAAAAACAACAACAACAACAGTTGTGAGCTACAGTAAATTCAACCAAAACGTACGTTTTGGTTGGAGCACACCTGTTTTTTTTTACTTTTTTCCTTTCCATCTTCTCTCTCTCTCTCTCTCTCTATCTCTCTCTCTCTCTCTCTCTCTCTCCCCTAAAATTTTATATTTTTCGTGCTTGTCATTCTTTTTAACCCTTTTTTTTTCTTTTATTTATCCAAATTAATTGTTTGCAATAGGTTGTTGTAGGTTTTAGATATTTTCTTCTGGTGGTGCCACAAAATTTAGGAGATGTTTGGTTGGAGGATTCAAACCATGATTTGAATCATGGTTCATGGTTCGCTACAATATTTTCTCTCATAAAAAATACACGTAAATTAAAAATAGTTTTAATCACACGATTCTAATCCATGAACCAAACGTATCATTATTTATTTATTTATTTTAGTCATTTTTTATTTTTTTATTTTTATTTTGAAATTTTATTTTCTTTATTTTTGGTTATTTTTATCTAAAACTTATTTATTTCTTCATTTTAGTCCTATTTTTTTCTTTTTTTATTTTAATTATAAAATTTATTTTTTCATTTTGGTTTCTTTTACCCTAAAATTTATTTATTTTTTCATTTTAGTCCTTTTTATTTTTGCCCTGAAACTTTTTTTTTCATTTTAATCTATTTTGCCCTGAGACTTATTTATTTCTTCATTTTAATTTATTTCTGACTTTTTTTCTTGTTTTTTCCGTTTGATTCCTTTTACCCTAAAACTTATTTATATCTTTGTTTTGGTCCTTTTTTGACCCATACTTTTATTTTTACTCTAAAACTTTATTTTCTCATTTTGATCCCTTTTGCCTTAAAATTTTATTTATTTACTTATTTCAGTCTTTTTTTTACCCTTTTTTTTAGCTTCTTACTAAACCTTTAATTTTTTTTATTTGATTCTTTTTTGAGATTTTATATTTAAATGTTATATACTTTAATAATAACAAAATAATTAAAACTTAACACATAAATTACTCCTCACGTCCATAGTACACATGAAATGAATGGTTAAATCATATTTATTCTATTTTTTTTTTCTCCTGCAATACTGTCAGATAATAAGTAGGAATTATGTGAGGATTAGACGACTTGGTAATAATAGCAAACCGAATTATGGTACTG